TGGGGCCAGGGTGCATGACATCATGGAACGAGTGCAAAATATACTACGGGGGGAAGGGGAAAATCCAGAAGTTGTGATCCATGTTGGGATCCATGACGTAGGTGATAAAAGGGCTGAGATCCTACAGGGAGAATATCAGAAGCTTGGGAAGAAGCTAAGGAGCAGGGCCTCAATGGTGGTGATCTAGGGATTACACCCAATGCCTTATGCAAGTGAATACCAAACCGGGAGGATCAAGCACATGAATGCCTGGCTGGAGAAATGGTGCAGGAAGGAGGGCTGCATGTTTCTAAACCACTGGGACCACTTCTGGGGCAGATGAGTCCTGTACATGAGGGAAGAGTTACACCTCAGCAGGTCTGGGACCATTGTCATTGCAAATGGTGTGGGGAAGTGTTCAAACTGATTTCGAGGGGTGATGGAGATCAGAATGTAGCATCAGGGAGGGGAAACGAGTGACATAGCGGACGATGAGAGACGAATAGAAATGAAACAAGGAATAGTCCAGCAAGAAGTAGAAAGATGGGGGAGAATTGTAGAGTGGATTAAGCCGGTCTTGGAGTGCATATGTGTAAATGCACGGAGCGTGACCAATAAGCTTGGTGAGTTGCGGCTCAAGGTACCCCATGGGGCTATGATGTAGTGGCAATTACGGACACTTGGCTCAAGCAAGGACAGGAATGGGAGCTGAATATTCCTGGCTACAACCTATTCAGGAGAGATAGGAAAGGGAAAAAAGAAGGGGTGGCAATACTCATTAGGGACATGGTCACAGTCCTGGAAAAGGACAATGTGTTAGAGGGTCCAAAAACTGAATCTATTTGGTTAGAGTTACGGAGCAGAAAAGGACCTATTACTCTATTAGATATTTACTATAGACCTCCAAATAATGGGAAGGAGATAGATGAGGAAATCTGCAAGTAGATTTTGGAGAGATGCAAAACCAATAGAGTAGTGATAATGGGGGACTTCAATTATCCTAACATAGACTGGGAAACACACAGTGTAAAGGGCAAGGATGGGGAGGAATTCCTGAAATGTGTGCAGGAGAACTTTCTGGATCAGTTTGTTTCCAGCAGTGCTGGATTTAGTTTTGGGAAATGAAGTGGGGCAAGTGGAGCAGGTTTCAGTAGGATAGCGTCTGGAAAACAGTGATCACAATATCATTAGGTTTAGAATAGATATGGAAAAAGACAACAATCAATCAAAGGTAAAGACCCTCAACTGGAAGCGGGCAAATTTCAGTGAGCTAAAAAGGGACCTGGCCAAGATAGATTGGCAGGTAAGACAGCGAACGAACAATAGGAAGCCTTCAAAGAGGAGATAGTTCGGGGACAGAGCAAATCCATTCCCACAAAGGGGAAAGGTGGGACAGTCAAACCTCCCTGAATGACTAAGGAAACTGGGATTAAAATAAAACAGAAAAATGAGGCTTATGACAAATGTCAGGTCCAAAACATACAGGATAATCAAATAGAACATAGGAAGTACAGAGAAGTGAAAAGGGAAATAAGAGGGGTGAAGAGATTGTACGAGAAACGATTAGCAGGAAACATAAAACCTAAGGTACTTTATAAGCATATCAAGAGTAAAAGTTCAGTCAAAGGTAGGGTGGGCCCAATTAGGGACTCAAGTGGAAATCTTCTTGTTGCAGCAGAGGACATGGCTGATGTTCTAAATAAATACTTTGCAACTGTCTTCACAAAAGATGATGCAACCAATGCCCCAGTATCGCACCTGTGTGAACAGAAATTGGATATGATAAAAATCAACATTAGAGGAGGTACTAAAAAAGCTGCCAGTGCTCAACATAGATAAGTCACCTGGTCCGGACGGGATGCATCCTAGGTTACTGAGGGAAGCAAGGGTGGAAATAGCGGAGGCTCTGGCCACAATCTTTCTGGAGAGAGGTGTGTAGTGGTGTCCCTCAGGGGTCGATATTGGGACCACTGCTCTTTCTGATCTATTTTAATGATCTGGACCTGGATATAGGGAGCACAATTTCCAAATTTGCAGACGACACTAAGCTAGGAAAAGTAGTTAATGGTGAGGAGGATAGCACCAGATTCCAAGAGAACTTAGACAGCTTGGTAAAATGGGCAGAAACGTAGAAGATGAGGTTGAATGTGGAGAAATGCAAAGTGTTTCATTTTGGTAGGAAGAATAAGGAGAGTCAGTATAAGCTGATGGTACAATCTGAAAGGGGGCAAATGAACAGAGAGATCTGGGGATCCACATAAGCAAATCTCTGAAGGTGGACGGACAGGTAGATAAAGCTGTTAAAAAAGCATACGGGATTCTAAGTTTTATAAATGGGGCATAGAATTCAAAAGTCAGGGGGTTACGTTGAATATTTATAAAATGCTAGTTAGGCCTCAGTTGGAGACTGCGTTCAGTTCTGGGCACTGCACTTTACGAAAGATGTTAGGGCATTGGAGAAGGTGCAAATGAGGTTTACCAGGATGCTACCAGGAATGAAGGACCTTAGTTATGAGAAGAGGTTAGCGAAAGTAGGATTATTCTCCCCAGAGAGAAGATTAAGAGGCGATTTAATTGAGATTTTCAAGATCATAGGGAGGATTTGATAGGTTGAACCAGGAAAAACTGTTTCCACTGGCATGTGGGTCAGTAACCCGAGGACACCGACTTAAGTTAGTTGTTAAAAGAACCAGAGTAGAGGTTAGGAAAAATGTTTTCACCAGCGAGTTGTTGGGATCTGGAATGCATTACTTGAAAGGGTAGTGGAAGCCGATTCAATAACAACTTTTAAGAGAGAAGTAGATGGGTGTTTGGGGAGGACAGGATTGCAGGGCTATGGAGAGGAAGCGCGCCAGTGGGATTGAGTTGGATTTTCTTTCGTAGCCAGCGCAGACACGATGGGCCGAATAGCCTCTTTCTGTGCTCTATTATTCTATGAATGCTGCTGATGCACCAGCTAGCTTGATATGGAGGGAAGAACTGGGCACTGTGCCAAGAATTCTTCCTACTCAACTCCTGTTAACCCATCAAACGAAAGTCCAAAGCAGTAGCAAGCTTGCCAGACAATGCTTTCGATGGCATGCTGTGCGGTTTCAGCTGATTAAACTGCAGGATGATCACCAATGCCACCCAAGTGTCAGACACCTGGCCAACCCCAAAGAACAGACATGATATGCAACTAAATTCTTACCTTTCCACAGCCTCAACACAAATCTAGAGTCCAAGGAAATCCCTGCTCTAGATCTCCACTTTAATTTATTATTGTAGAAAATCTGGTGAATTAAGTATTTTATTTTTTCAATTCTGTTTCTGAAATCTACATTAATAATGACAGGCTAGACTTGAAATCAGCTGATGACAAATTATCATAAGGAACAAACTATGAAAGATCAAACATTTCAGCCCAGTGTGAAGAGTTCTGTAGCTCAGTGGAGTCCTGTAGCTCAGTGGTTAGAGCACTCGCTTTGCAAGTCAGAGACCTGAGTTCAATTCCAGACAGGGCAAAACCTTGGGCAAGTTTCCTTACTCCACACAGAGCCTAATAATAATCCCTCCAAAACAAAACAATAATAAATTGGTCATTTTCAATCTACGACTGTTTGTGGGACATTGCTGTGCGCAATTGGCTGCCGCGTTCGCCCACAAATATACAGTCAATTCACTTTAGAGTCTATTCTGTGAAGCGCTTTGGGACATCCTCCCAACGTGAAAAGCGCTATATCAAATGCAAGGATTATTATTATTAAGAGACGCAACGAGGAACTGTTACCAGATTCTTGTGTAAATTGTGGTGGTACTGTTCCAATATTCTCATTTCTCTCAGCAGGGAGAGGAATTTCAGCAATTTCTGCATCCTCCGGGAAATTAATCTCCTCACGTGACTCACTGGGTGGTCTCCTGAAAAAAACAAAATGGAGTTTCTAAGGGATTATAATAAGCAACAACATTAACCACAGCAGCTTGCATTTATTCAGCACCCTTCACATGGGCTAGCGTCTCTGAGCACTTATGAGTAAAGCCACGTGTTTTTCATAAATACAAAATAACATAAAAAAAGTTTAAAATGAAAAACAAACAAATGCCAACTGCTGTCGCTAGTGCCTATTTCTTCCCCTTAACCTGCCTGACTTGCCTTCCATTGGCTCGCTCTTTAATCCAACCACCAAGCTCCAGAGAAGTATTAATGCGGAGTGAAGGTATTAATGCAAATGTAATAAAAATCAATCAAATAATTTTTTTAATGGATAAAACAAACAACAAGATCAATTTTACGGGACTCTACCCATGAGTACTATGCAATACGTCTGCAGAAAAGCAACACAATGAGCATTGGTCATTTTATCTCTCAAGCCCATTAATTCCTCAAACAAAATAATGCAGACAAATTCAAAATCCTGAGAGTTGAACAGGTAACTAAGAAAGATGATGCTGCAATGGTTGAGAACACGATTGAGGAGTCCAGCCTAAATATTTAAGAACTATTGACTGCCAGGTACTTACAGACGAAACAGCAAATTGTGTAACCCTGGAAAATAAAGAATAAATTAGTAAAATCCATCAATATCAATGCATTATGAAAACAGAAGTGAAAAATGAAACATGCGATGGACTACTTATGACCAATAATATTAATACTGAAAATGTTGGTATCCTGGCCAACAATCTTCCAGATATATTGATCATTCACTTCAATTTCGCTGTTTAAGATATCTTCAATGCTGCTTTTGCCACCAAAATACACAGTCATTATACTTGCCAGCAATTTCCTGTAAAGCACGTTGAAACAGTTCAACAATATAATTACTGTATCAAAGCCAAGAATGATTATTAACAATATTTGCCACAAGCTCAGGTTACTTACATGGGTTGTTATCACGATTCCTTACAACATATTGAAATATCAACAAGGTTGTCACAGCAGCCAGCAACATTCCGGCCACAGCAGCACCAATCACAGCTGGGAAAGCATTAAATGGTGGATCAGCTGAAAAACATAATGTTAAGCTGCTTTTTCTTTTTGTTTCTTCTCAAGAAGGACTTTTGGCAGATATCAAACTTACTTAAAATGATAAAAGTACAAAGATTTACGGTTCATCCTGAAAGATGCTTCTGTGCAAGTATTCCTAAGGGTGGTTATTTGAGTAAAATATTTTCTTGCATTATGGGTACTTAACTGAGTCCAATTTGAATGGAAGGAAGAATCATCAGAAGGTAATAATTTAAGAATTGTAAGAGATCTTCACTGTTGTTTGCTGTTGCCTCCTGTGATGGTTTGCTTAAATCCTGAAACAGGAATGCTCCACAGAACCACAGAAAATGATACCTAATTCATGAACTCTTTGAAGAAGGTGTGATTTTATAGATCGAGGTAAAGTTACATAATTACAGGGCAGAGGGAGGCCATTCGATTCATTGTGTCTGCACCAGCTCTCGGGACATTCAATTCCCCCTGCCCTGCCCTGTCTTCCATGCCCAAGCTCCCATTCCCCTTCAAGCCTCTAACTTGCAATAAACCAATTTATTCTATCTTGAAACCCATCACAGATTCTGCCTCTAGTCACCTTACTTTCCAGGAACATTTTTTTGGGCAACGCTGTGAATGGCGCTGTACAAATGTAATTTTGCTGTTGTTACTTTCCAGGGTCAGACCACCACACTGAAGAAAAGTTTATCTGAAATGTATCTATGAACATGTGATCAAATACGTCTAATGCACTTTGGCTCTATTGTTAAAGTTGGACCATAATAAACTCTTAGAGCCAGATCACCCAATGCCGGTCTTCCAATAATGAATGGCATTGACCATCAAACAATGAATAATATCAAAACTTGCAATATTTCCTTCTTTCGTCAAATACATGTTTCAGTATGAAAGTGAAAATACTAAATGTACGTCTCTTTGTAAATATGCAATATTTCTGATTGGTATTTGATATAAAGTTGTCATTGTGTTGTCTCGCTGGGCAGCAAAGTGTTGATTACCTACTGTGGTTATCACTGTGGTAAATGGGAAGAGGCAGGTGCAGAGTAATCCTCTTTTCCTAGGAACAGGCTGTAACTGGAAACAAATGGGTTAAGGAAAAGCTTGACCTTCTGCTGTGAACTGGGAGAAAGGGTTGGAACTCTTGTCCCGACTCCATAGATACAGCAGATATTTCCTTTTAAAATAAACATGATATTGGGGATATCTGAAAATGAAAGGCTACCTTTCAAAGCAAACCCAGATATTTATGATTCATAACAATATAGCTTCAGCGCTCACAAAGTACGTTCCTGCTCACAATTAAAAATAACCAGAGACTGAACATGGCAGCGATTTGAATACCTCCGACCCCTCGAATTGCCAGATGAAAATAGAAATTGTCCTTTAAACATCTTAATCGTGTTGACTTAACAGGAATGGAGGGCTATGCCTACCGGGAAGCCTGTGGGAAGAAACATGTGGTAATAACAGGAGATGTTAACTCACATATAAATTGGGAGAAGAATAATAGCATTAGTAGAAAATACAGTTTTGTTCCCTTATTAAATGCATTTAAGATGCTTTTCAAAATAACATGTCAATAAGGAAGCAGGTGATTCTCAATTTAATTATCAGTAACAAACATCAAATACTGTTCAGGTGATCAAGTAGCGTTTTTGGAATAATGATCATAATATGACATAATACAACTTTTTGAAAGTAAACCTGGATTTTCTTTGAGTTATTTCAATACATTACCTGGAGTTTTCACTTCAGAAGGAAACCCAGTTGTCCTATGATTGACAGCCAAAATGCGGAAAGCATATAAAATAGAGGGATCTTGACCCCCTAACTTGTGACCTCGGATATCAGCGTCAACTGCACTGACCACAGTCTCCCAGTGGTGTGGTTCTTCCTTTGTTAAAGCTGACGTGCGGCCGTTCGGCATCACAGACCGTCTCACTGGCTGTCGCTGCACCAGGAATCCGGTCAGATCACCTGAGCCTCGAGTGGTCCACTCCAGCAGTACCTCTGTTCTCTGCCTCCCGAACAGCAGTTTGCTGATTGTGACATTTGGAGGCGTAGGATACTCTGTAAATGTTGAAGAAATAAATCGGACTAAAGATAGTTCATGCTGTGCCAATTAATTCCTTCAAAGCTTAAATACATTTCTCATGGATTTAGTCTTAAAACTATTTATCTTATAATTTAAGATCATAGAGAATTTTACAATACAAATTTGCATTTATATGGGTCTTTGGCAGGATGTCCCAAGGTACCTAAGGGTCGTGGATTGGCACCCAAGCTGCGTGGGGGTCGGGGGGGGGGGGGAGAGAAGGATAAAAGTTAAGAATTTTCTAATATTTTGCATGATTTTAGCCTTTAATGTTGTTCCACGTTTGGGAACAATATTAGAGAGAAGTGTAAACTGAAACAATCAAGTTCTCCACAGGATTTCTGTGTTTCTGGAGTTGGGGGAAGAGAAAGATGGTAAAATATCTGTGGGAAGAAGTATGACAGGATGGAAGAGACACAAGAGAATGAAAATGTAAGATCTTTTGCAGATCATGAAATATCTGCAGAACCCAGAGTTTTTTTATGGGGTTAAATCTGTTATTGTTTAGGTTTTGTCGTCAGTAGAAGGAAATGGACTTGAATATAGTTTCTCATTCCATGTTTTCCTATATATACGTACACAAAGCACAACTTAAAACACAAAATTCAAAGCCACAGTGCATAAAAAGAGAAGACTTGATACTTTTGACATGAAGTCTGATGACCAGGGTGGAATACCCCACCACGTTTAGGGCTGTGCACCAGTAAGGTCCGCTGTCACCATTGCCATCGGTCTCCCTCACTGTAAGATTGGACCAGAAGACCTCTTGATGCAGCTGGTACTTTTTCGGTGCCAGCCAAATGCTTTCGTTCCGATTGTTGTACCAGATAATTTCTGAGACAGGATAAGCAACTTGCAGTATACAGGTCAGGTGGACATCACTCCCTTCAAACACTGTCATCGCACTCCTTGGTGTGACGAGAACAGGGGCTTCTGGAACAACAAAAACAGACTATTGTCCTTCCAACAGATTGTTCTCATTCACCAGCAAACCACTTAAAATGACTTCTAGTTTGCAAATATCAGATTGTCGAATTTATAGCCCATGAATTACAAAGTCTTTAAAATAAGTGGCTGTGCTTTTATAGAGCTCTACCACCTTGGGATTTGTGGTTCACTCGTCATTTCATATTCCAATATTCACAACCGCGAACATTGCCATTAATCCCACAAATCTGATTTGTGAGTATTACAAATTAAACCCTAACTGAAGAAAAAAATTGCATGAGATCACTAGCAAACACATAAACATAGACGACTTATTCAATGGAACAGGAGAGGGGTCAGACACTTGAGTTTTGTACACATTGTATATTAGTTCAGGCAGTGCAAAGTAAAGTTTTAAAATTTCAAAACAAATGTTTAAGATGTTGGTTGGCAATACATCAGACATACCCTGGATTTCAAATGTTACGAAAAGCAAACCATCCCACCAACCCTGTACTGACATTAACAATTTAACCATCAGTTTGGCACTGGTTAACTCTTGTAAGTTATACAGATTCTACATCAATAAGAACGGTCAATGAGGAAGGTCCACTGTCACCGTTGCCGTCAGTCTCCTTCACTGTGAGATTGGACCAGAGGACCCAGAAGAGTGTTTTGAGACCTCTTCCCTATGTGAAAGGCACTGTATGAATGTAAATTGGCTCCTTAGCTCAGCCTCAAGCATTGACTGCATCAATTTCCACGAGTGCTCACTAAACCTGGAGTCCTGTAGCTCAGTGGTTAGAGCACTCGCTTTGCAAGCGAGAAACCTGAGTTCAATTCCAGGCAGGGCGAAACCTTGGGCAAGTTTCCTTACTCCACCCGCCTAATAATAATCCCTCCAAAACCAAAAACAATAATAAATTGGTCATTTTCAATCTACGACTGTTTGTGGGACATTGCTGTGCGCAATTGGCTGCCGCGTTCGCCCACAAATATACAGTCAATTCACTTTACAGTGTGTCCTGTGAAGCGCTTTGGGACGTCCTCCCGACGTGAAAAGTGCTATATCAGATGCAAGGATTATTATTATTATTATTATTATTAAACCTCACCTGTGCAGAATAGGTCCTCTCTACTTTTAACTGCAGACTGTCGTCTTGTACACCCAACTCCATGAGCCATCACCTCCACCTTCGCCTGGGACCACTGACTCCCAATCTCTCAGCAGATCAAATGCAAGATCTCCAACTCCATAGTCAAATCCCTCCATAGCATCGCTCTACCCTACCTCTATGATATCTTGCAGTTCTAGTAGCCTGGCTACTTCTTTTGCTCAGTGAACACTAGCTTGTTCCATATATTCTAGCGTATATGTCCAACAATCGGTAGGCGAGCTTTCATCCTGTTCTCTGGAATTCCATCCCAGATCAGCTCCAATTTCACCAATTCAAAGTCTGCCTCAACTTACTTTTTGATCTTTTCACTCCCCATTCTTCCTCTTCAGCTCTCCCCCCACCCGGTGTAAAGCCTTTTGAGATGTCCTCCTGATGTGAATGCCACTATTTAAGTGTAAATTGTATTGTAATTGTAAGCTGTTATATTTATATTTGTAGGGCAATATGAGGGGACAGTTTACATCATCATATTCGATCAACAACAACTTACATTTATATAGCGCCCTCCACGCCAGGTGGTGTCTCAGAGCAATTAACAATGGCGGAGCGCGAGGCCAAGCCAGGGGAAGGGGGGGTGAATGTAGGCGCAGTCGAAGAGGATCATGTGACAACCTCCCCTCGAATTCCTCTTGATTAAATGGCAATGAGTTCAGCATCTCTGTATAACTTAGAATCTGGTTTCTGGAATCATCCTGATTATTTTTCTTTCTATTTCTACTCCATTGTTTAAATGCCTTTTGAAAGTAGAATGCCCTAAAATGCTCTGCATCTGAAATATTCATAGCAATCAGTCAGAGAGATCTGATTCAAATTTTCTGAACAAATATTGTGCTAGAGAGTGCCAACATGGTTAATGTAATGCTGTTAGTGAAAAATAAATGCAAGGGAATAATTTGAAACTACTCTATAATCCAATTTGTCCCATAGCTGTGGTGTGCAAACTTTAAAGGCTAAAAAGACTCATGGCCTTAGCCTTAGGACTATTATCTTAAAATGCAGCCACATGGATTCTGGAGCTCCCTAGGAGATAATTGTGCCCCAATTGAGGCAGACAACAATAACTTGTTGAAGAAGATTCTGGAACATTTAGATTGTGTCATACCTAGTCGGACACTACACATCTCATCACTGGTTAAGGGATGGGCTGCCTGGCAGACAAAGTCTTTGCCATTGTAAGCTGTGGTAGACTTTAGCACTTGGTTGTTGATTGAACGTTCCAAGTTCCCCAGAGGCTGGTTTCTCCAGTTTTTCCATTGCAGTGAAGCCAAGGGCAGACCTCCCTCCCAGCTACAGGACAACATTGTGTACTCGTTGTTCTTCACCGCAGTCGCAGAACACTTCGGCTGCTCCTCTGGTAAAACTGAAGAGAAATTGAAACGCAGCAGCATGAGAAACAATTTCAAACTAAAACAAATAAATCAACCAACCAACAAAGTTGATCACGACTTGAACAATTGAGCAAGTTCATCTTGGAAACCGAGCAATGTAACTGGGGAGGTCACATTCAACATGTCTTTCTCGGTTGCTGATCAGTCACTAAACTTGAAAGTAATTAATGTTGATGATGATAATCCTATAATAATCTTTACATTTGATATAGCACCTTTCCTAACCTAAAGATATCTCAAAATGCTTCGCAGGATCTCCTCGAAAGTGTAATGACTCTATTTTATAGTACCGAGAATGTTATCCATTTTAGCAATGCATACTTTTATACTATATGAGCAAAAATATACAAGAATTATTCTAAGACTGTGAAAAAGTTGGTATGTTTTAATAAGCAAAACATAACAACACCTTGCATTTATACTGCAGCCCTCATGTGTGGTAGCACTTAAAACTTAAACTATTTGATCAAATTCAATAAAATAATGCAGATATTGGGGTCAAAGTAGTGGAACATTGCATATTTAGTGCAATTGGATAATGATAATAATGATAATCCTTGCATTTTGCCTTATCACATCTTTGAGACGTCTCAAAGCGCTTCACAGAATATACTGTAAAGTGGATTGACTGAATATTTTGTGGGCGAAACACAGCAGCCAATTGCGCACAGCAGCATCCCACACACAGTTGTGAATTGAAGTGACCAATTTATTACTATTTTGTTGAATGAATTACTACCCACCAGAAAAGCGAACAGGCATTCGATGAACAACCGGGTTCCTACTTACTTCTAGGTAAACAGAGGCGTGTGGAGTAAGGAAACTTGGCCAACATTTCGCCCAGCCTGGAATTTAACCCAGGTCTCTCACTTGTGAGGCTAGTGCTCTAAGCACTGAGCTACAGGATTCCACTATAGCTACAGGACTCCACACTAAATGAGCACTAATTTGACTCCAATCTTAAAATTTTTCATTTTCAGAAACTCTGAAATGACCCATTAGTGTGTGCAATGAAAGCAACCTACATGCAATAATAATTCAGCTAACAATACGTACGTGCTGTAGTCCTACAGGACAAGTCTGATCTCAGAGCTGGGTGAGAGGGATGACAGGTATAGGTACTGTTGTTCAGGATATCCTCTCCTGCCTTGACTTTGGTAAGACTGGAATATTCCATCACATCAATTATGCCGTCCTTTACTTCAAGCCACTGGAGACCCGCTGCTGGATGGCCGCCTTGCCACGAGCACCACAAAGCTACATCCTGATAATTATTTACCGCCAGCACTGTGCAGGTGGGCTTCCCATCAGGTAGATCTATACACGGCATGAAGGACTGCAGAGGTCAGTAGTTCACAATACGGGGAGAATTAGAAATACAATTGTGAGCTATGAGCAATGATTAGACAAGCTTGGGCTCTTCAGTTCTTGACAGAAGACATCTCAGAGAGGACCTTATAAAAGTATAAAATTTTGTATGGGATTGAAAAAGTAAACCCAGAACAATACTTTAGAATGCACCAGGATGGTAAAACAAGAAGACATAGGTTTAGAGTTGCAAGGGGAAATTTCAGGTCAGACAGAAGGTTTCTTTACCCAGAGGGTAATACTGGAAGTGGGTGCCAGGAAGAATGGTTGAGGCCAAGACACTGAACTCATTTTAAAATGAAGGTGAGATGCTGTGATGGTAGGAAAGGAGAATGGGTGTTCCAGAAAGTTAAGATCAGATGGGTCGAGGGGCCTTCTTCATCTGAACCAATTGCGTGATCTTATGAACTTATTACCATCTAGACTCTCTCAAGCTGCCTCTTCCCATTTATAATTAGCCACAAGACAACTGGAGACTTAGCCACAGGACGATCACAGATCCAGATCTGATTAATCGCATTTAGAGGGAAGATGGAACATGTCTTACCAATTGATAAACGTTAACTACAGTAACCCTAGAAAAGTGGTCAAATTTGCATCGCAAATCTACACTGCATATCAAGTACAATATCTTCTAGACTCCCCGAAATAAAATCATTTTATTGCTTATAAGGAGAATTGTTGTATACATTGTATCATGAATAATCCTTGTCAATATTCATAATGCATAAGATTAGATACAAATAGGTTTCTTGTAATACATTCAGAAATATACATTAGGCAATCAAGAGGAATGGAAACAAAAATATTTCATCTCTTCATCCGAACTTGTGCTCAAAACCAAAACTGTTTTCTCACTCAGACACTGATTGACTTGTGGTTTCTAGTTTGTGCAGGTGTTTTTCTACTAATGATTTTCCTGTAAAGGTTTATAGAACGTAAAATGACTGGATGTAAAAAGTCATTATTACTCTTACCAAAAATATACTACTTTTTTTGTATTGAATTCCTTTTTCCACAAATGCATCCACTGCACTAACAGTGTTCAGTTGTAGCCACCAGCATGGTTCATCATTGTTAACCACACCTCCCAATTTAGTAGATTCTGCAAATTTGGATATTATTCCCTCTCCAGATCAGTAACGTCAATTGAGAACTGAACAACAGTCTATAAGAGTGCATCCTGAATTGCAATATGAAGTGAAAGACTAGGGTAAAGTTTTCACTGTTTCATAATACGTTCCTTATGTTTAACGTGAGGAACATATTATGAAATGCTTCAAATTTTTCGAACCTAAATAATAAACACATTTTGTATATTGCCTCGGTGAATTCTTAGCTCTGATGTGACCTCATGTACAACATAATAATTATATTGGCAACACTCTAAATGTGAAAATGTTTGTTACTTTTATACTTGTTTTTATATACTAATATTTACATATTCAAGACTGATATTGATAGATTTTTAAAAACTAAAGTGATCAAGAGATATGGGGAGAGGAAGGGTAAATGGAATTAGGTTATAAGATCAGCCATGATCTTATTATTTGGCTGAGGGGCCGAATGGCCGAATCCTGCTCCTAGTTCTTATGTTCTTAATATAATTTTGAAATTACTGATTGCATCACCTGCAAGTTTGTTGATCTTACAAACTTTGCCCTATAAAGACAGAAAATACTGAAAAAGTAAATTATCACAATATTTTGAAAACCTCTTTTAGAATACTTACAGTAGACAGTGAGTATGATTGTGGTCTTGGTTCTGGCATTGAGGGCAGAGTTCTGTGCAAGACACATGTAAGCTCCTGCCTGACTTCGGGATATTTTCTTAATGACAAATCGCTGCCCTGAGTAAATCTGGGAGTTATTGTAGAACCAGATGTAGTGGCTGGGTGGATTGGAGGAGGCTGAACATGTCAGGAAGATGGTATCCCATTCAATTGCTGAATATCCCATTGAATTGAGAGTGTATGGAGTAACATTAATGAATGGCTCATCTGGGCCAACTGCAAAACAAAGAACAATGATCACTTTTGAATACGGATGCTTTGTTACTAATATTATAATTGTTAATTGGGTGTAACATAATTTATAACAATGACTACATGATTGACGGTCAGTCTTTGGGCAATGCTTTTGAAACCTTCACACTCTATCTCAGTATAAACATTCACACTTTAGCTCCAAGGTGAATAACTATACAGAAGGAAAAGCCATGTCCAGCCACTGCGACTTTCTCTCTGAGTCAGAATTGCTAAATTAATGCTAATTATTTTAGAGTTGTCAACAACTTTGAGACAAAAAAAAAATAATTACCTTACTTTTGATATAGAGCCTTCCAACTCAGGAGGATGTCTCAAAACCCTTCATAGGATACATTTGTTTGACTGTGTGTGTTTTGTGAGCAAATGGGACAGCCAATTTATGCACAGCAATGTCCTACAAACAGCCAAGAAGTGAATGACCAAATTTATTTGGGTGACTATTGGCCAGATTGTTTAGAGTAACTCCCTGCTCCTTTTGAATAGTGCAGTGAGATCTTTAACATTCAGCTGAACGGGCAGATAGTCCTGTTTTTTTTTACATCTCTTCCAAAGAACAGCACCTCAGACAATGTTGTACAGTGCCAGCATTATATTCACATCTTGGATTATGTGAGTTCCAAGTCCTGACATGGAGCTTGAACCCACAATCTCTGACTCACAGGCAAGAGTGCTACCAACTGAGCCAGGCTGAGCAGAATATTGGATGAGATCGCCCCAAACACATTTCAATTTCCATCTTGAAAGTTACGAGAAGGACGTTTCAATCTGGATTGAATTTGAAGAGGGCAAGAAAAGAATGGACAGCTGCTAAGTAGACTTCCCCTCCTCCCAACCCCTTACCCCACACGCTTTTTTTAGAACACATATAACTAATTTAAGGTGAATGGTAATTACTAAATTATTAAGTCTCAATCTGGCAGTAGGTCAAGGGAATTTTGGTTCCCTAAGGGTGGGCTTTTTGTTGTGACGTAGTTCCCATATGTATCACTCAAACACATACTAATTTTATTTTTGGGAAATACATATTGTACCAGGATCGGACCTGGCTATAATTGAATTTAGTTTTTCTTCAAATTGTGTACAATCTTAAAATTTAAGAGCCTTAAGTCTAGGATTCTGAGAATGTTGGTCCTCTGGTTCTATTCTATTGACAGGCATCTTCTTCGCAGAATTTTTCTTCAGATATTTACAAGGACTCACATATCACTTCAAGCCACAGTGGGTCGCTGCTCTCTTCATTCACCTCACTCCTGACAGAGCAGGTGTACCATCCTGTGTGGTTCCGGTGGACAGAAGTTAGATTCACTAGCCCTCCTGTTGCTTCAGAGACATTCACAAACTTTTTTGACAGCGTGGACTGCCTAGTCCAAGTGTACTCAAGGGGTTGAGTTCCATTTTCCACTGTGCACAACACGAATGCTACAGAACCCTCTACGGGGGATGAGTTGCTCAGCTCAATGAATGGTTTGGAAACTGGAACTGAAAGATAAAGGAGTACAATTACCTAAACAATGTAAAGACAACAAGAGAGGTTCAAATGTAGAATCAGTCCATTTGGTTGTGTCAAACTGGTATCCCATTATCATTGTGATGGAATTCTGAAGGGCTTCAAACCCATGGGTTGATCAATAATTAAACTATTGACTAGTTTTTTTATAACTAAATGAAGTTCATTAATTAACACAAGTATTAAAAATGCTATCCCAGCTTTCGTAGGGTAAGTAAAAGGCATTTTAAAATAGGCCTATCTTATTGAACATTTTTTTCCCTTAGATTCACATCCCTTTTAACACAGGTGTTGATAAACACACCACAGGTTGCAATGTTCTTTAGCTTTGTTGCTCTCTGGTGATTACCTCCCCGTCTCCACCACCTTCAGTCACATCTGGGAATTATAGACATAAATCTGTGTCTTATTGCTCTGTGGTACTCATAATCACAACATTCCTGCCAGTGGCTCTTGAACAAAACATGTGTTGGGATTATTGTGGCTTTCTACAAATGTGGAAGTTAGTGAGGGGGAACACTTTAAGGTCAATTATGGAATAAAAGTATCAAACTCACTCAGAACAAATACATTCACAAAGGTGTACACAAGTTTTGTTCCATCATCAGTCTCGTACAAGCTTTGACATGTGAAGCGTCCTTCCGCTGCTAACTGCAAATTGCTTATGACAAGGGCTGCACTATCAGAGACCACGCGCACATCACCAAAGATTGAAGCCATTTTCTGCAGTTTGGCTCCTTGTCCGTAATTATACAACACTGCTCGGATGTCAATGAAGCCAGTTCTGCTGAAACCCCAGATGTAAATGCTTGGTAAGGATTCTCCACATTCCAGCACTACAGAATGGCCAATGACTCCTTTCACCTGTGTCTCTATGTATTGCACCTCCTCGGTATCAAACATGACCAATCCTAAATAAAACAAAGAACAGGTTAAACCTATAGATAAATGTGAATATTTTGTTTTTTAAGTTAATCTATTTTTTAATAATTGCATGATAGCAGAATAATCTGGGGCTCATTGGTAGTTTAGTGGATACATGTACAACAATGTAAAATATTGACTGAGAGATTCCAGCTTCCACCCCTGATCTGCTCTATTAGTACATTTAAAATAGACCTGAGCCATCAGCCAGGAAATGGGAAATAATAATAATAGTCCTTGCATTTGATAAAGCACTTTTCACATTGGGAGGACGTCCCAAAGCGCTTCACAGAACACACTGTAAAGTGAATTGACTGCATATTTGTGGGCGAACGTGGCAGCCAATTGCACACAGCAATGTCCCACAAAAAGTCATAGATTGGAAATGACAAATTTATTATGATTTTTGGTTTTGGAGGGATTATTATTAGGTGTGTGGAGTAAGGAAACTTGCCCAAGGTTTCGCCCTGCCTGGAATTGAACTCGGGTCTCTCGCTTGCAAAGCGAGTGCTCTAACCACTGAGCTATAGGACTCCACAAATCAGCCAACATTACAGCTTCAGACATTTCAAACTTCCCTTACTCTTAACCTGAAGACCAAAATTGTCTTAAAATTTAAGCTAACGATCCTGCCTGGAAATGTCAACACATGAGGTTAGCTATAATTCAGCCCAAAATATTCGTTATCAGATAACTCTGGCTCCAGAGATAAACAAATTCAACTATTTAGGTGGTTACCTGACACATTCCAATCACACCCAACATGTTAAGTTCTCAACACTTCAGCTATTTCCAAAAATTGTTTGTTTCAAGAATAAAAATTTGTTTGCTTATGTCTGTTAAACAACAGGAAAATGAAGACAGAAACTCAGTCACTTCTGCGGTTGCAGACTCACATTACTGTAATGGCGGTACATTCTTTTTCAGGCTGATGTGTTTATCAGAGTGAAGGATGTCAGTGCTGGAAACACTTTTCTGAACAACATTTCATGTAACAATGATCTACGATTAAAAATAGAGAAATCTCATTTGAGACTGACATGAGAGGGAAAGTGCTCTGGGAAGATACCCTGGATGAGGGAGGCTATAAATGCAAGTTGTTGTTGTTGAAAACCAACTGGAATTTCAGCCTTCTGATTGTCAGTGCTCAGATTCAGCAGAAACTGGGCAGAAATATTACAGGTGAGTTGAATAATAAAGCTCTGTGAACTCATTGCAGCACTAAATGTATTTTTTAAAATTTATTAATGAATCATTACAATCATATTTTTACTATAATTAGTATTTTTTTTAAATTAATTATTATCCCATAATTCTTTTAAGAAAGAAGCAGATAATTATTTGGGGAGGACAAGTTTGCAGGGCTATGGGAGAGCGGGGGAGTGGGATTGATTTGGATAGCACCCTGCAAAGAGCCAGCACAGACTCGATGGGTCGAATGGTCTCCTTCCGTGCTGTATAATTCTATGATAATACCCCACAATATCTCTGCAATTTCCTGTGGTCCTACCTCTTCACCCATTCTCTCTACTCCACCAAATTTGGCCTGCTTCATGCTCCCCTCCCCCTCTCTACCACCGTGTTTGGGTGGGCTTTCAGCCACTTTGCCCCTCATTGAATGGTTCTCTCACTTTATCCCATCTCTCAATCATTCTTCCTCCTTCCTTTTTCACTAGCAAATGCCATCTAAATGTCAATCCCTTTGACTTGACCTTTAGCCCAACTCTTCCATAACCCTCCTATCTCCTACCCATCATGTGGTCCCACTTTGTCTTTGCAGATAGAACTCTTAGACATTCTACATGAAAAGCTGTAAATTTCAAATTGCTTTTGCCCTGTATAACAAAAATACTAATCTTTGCGTCCTTGCAAAGCACTTCACAGGATTTACTGTAAAATACAACAGTGAACATGACAGCCAATTTTCAAACAGCAATATACCATAATTTTATTTGGAGAATTATGGGCTAGAACCCCAGGAAAAACTCCCTTCTCTATCAACCTAGACCACGATGAACAAACCATTAACCTATCAGTTTAAGGAATGCTGGCTTATCAGCCTGTCCAATGCCACTGTCCAATTGTCAGCAACTGCCTTGAAACAATTTTTCCCTGTGAGTTTGCAATAGCGATCAGCACTCATAACAACATGCAATATTGAAAACTCTTACCATGGGCCAGAGGAGTGAGGATCCAGAATAACCTGAAGAGGATGTTTAGATGTAAATTCCAAGTCACTCCATCATCCATTTTATAAACATAAACATACTGCTTGAAAATCCTCAGGTTGTATGGTGAACACCCTTACACTAGCATAAAACAATCACCTGCTCCACAATTCCTATGGAGTCTTCTCAACCATTTTACAATCTTTGTGCATTTCTGCTTGAGAGCACGAGTAATCACAGTAAATCCTGGACTGAGTTATAGCAAGAAAAACACCTGTTTATTGCAAAGCAACAGCACCCGGTCAACATTCCCTCAGACTGACTGAATTATTCATTTCCCTATCCTTTTACAAATCAGTCTCTAATTACTAGTTTACTTCAATTCTCCAGCCGCAGTATTAATGTTGAGATAAACATTTCTTAAAGTCACTGTATAATAATGCTTAACAATTGATTCAGATTGAGCCTCATTATAAGCCTTATCCTATTGGGGACAGGAGTATCATTTGACATGAAATTGTGAATGTTATTACATGCCTCATTCAGTGGTTCGCTCCAGTACCTCACAACTGTGCTGTACAAATCAACCCGATGCTGCAATGGAAGGACAGAAGTAGAAGGGGGATTCTCAAAAGATGAGACCAAATGGGCTGAAGGATCATCTTCATAGTAACCTCTCATGATCTTGTAAGCATTGTTTTTTTTTGTCATCCAGATGTTTGATACATGGGGAAAACCATCACTGTGCTTAAGAGTATTCAAACCAAACTGAGAAATTTAGATCACGAGTATAAGAAAGCCTGGAAGGAGAAATGGGCAATTTGTCCATCAAAGCTGCTCCTTCCTTATTAATTTGATCATTTGTTGGATAGCTCCCTGTGCTCTCTCCCTAAACGTCTTGGAGTACGTTATGAAGTTTCAGAATGTCTTTCAGCTTTTAAGTCTTGGTCATGGGTCATCCATTGGTTAGAGGTGTGCAACCTTCCTGTCGATTGAGGATGAAGCTTTGTCTGTCCAAGATACCAATCAGCCTGTCTTAGTGGTAGCAACAGAAGGTTGTGGGTTCAAGCCCCATGTCGGGATTTGAACTTATATCGTCTTGGCTGACACTCCAATGCAATGGAGGTGCCATCCTTTGGATGAGACATTACATTGAGGTTCCCTCTGCCTAATCAGACAGACATTAAAGATCCACGGCACTATTCAAGAAGAAAAGGGATTTTTTTCCGGTGTCCTGGCCAACATGTCCCCCAAATAAAATGGACCATTTACTTCATGGCTGTTTGTGGGGACATTGCTTTGTGCAAATTGGGCAATTGGTCATTGGGCAACTGCTGCGTTTTGCCCACAGATTTCACAGTAAATCCTATGAAACACTTTGGGACCACTTCCTGATGTGAAAGGCAATATACCAAATGCAAGGATTATTATTATTATTATAATAATCCTTAATCTCTTTCCCTCAATAAATATTCATCTACTATTTTTAAAGGTGGATTAAATTCTTTATCTGACAGTCTGTAGGAATGGATCCTTTCATCCCTGAGGAGTTTTTTTCAATCAGGAAACTTTAATTGTTTAGTGGCTTCAATTTGCAGATCTCCTTGATAACAGGTCCCTTAGAAAGAGATAGACTTACAAGTCTTAAAAGATACAGCATAGTTACCAAAATATCCAGAAACCCTGGCGGCTGCCACTAAATTGTCACCTTTTCCTTGACTGTAGTCAATAGTAGAGCAAACCATACTAGCAGAGCAGGATTATGAGAAAATAAAATTTTCAGTTTTATTCCTTGCTCTGGCTGGATGCCCTGATTCTGTTTTGAGTTACTGAAATGCTTCCAGTGAAAACTCAGATCTCACTATCAGAAAATTAAAGCAAACCATAAATAATTTGATTCCCAAGTATCATTGCACTTCTGCATTAATAGTGGCCCAAATGTACTTTGATGTTACATCTCCTAGAAACACACTAATGTTGAAGGAAAGCTTTAAATATCAATTTAAACCAAAATAGACTGGATTATCATCTTTTCTGGACATATGATAGGCAGTGGTCAGCAAATCTGAACTCATCCTACAGGATTATAATAATTCTTAAATCACCTTTAACATCAGGAGGATGTTTCAAAGCTTCACAGGATTTACTGTAAGTTCACTATTTTAGTTGAATACAGCAGTTAATTTTGTCCATGGGTGTGTTCCACAAACATTCATGAAGTGAACTATCAATTTTATTTGCAGAATTGTTGGTCCACTGGGAGAAACGCCCTTCTCTTTTCAAATAGGATTTTTAATGTCCACCTGGAGAAGTTCGGTTTAACATTGCTCCCTGAGGATGGCAGCTCTAGCAGTGGAGCATACCTTCAGCACTGGTACAACATACAGCTCAGATATTACTTTAATTTATATATATTTCTCTATTTGCCCTATAATGGATTACATGTATCTAATTCCATCACCTCCTGTTTAATACAAATGTATACATTTCGGGACGTCCTCCCGACGTGAAAGGCGCTCAATAAATGGAATCTTGTTGTTGTTGTTGTTAACCTGGTGATCTATTTCCATAAGTTAATTCATGACCCCTTCCTAGATGGACCAGCTTGTGCCCAATTTAACAAGCACTGCATTGGAGAATATATGGAGAATATATAAATCAAAGTTGTTGTTCAGAATCAGCTGAGACTGTATGAGTTCCAAGTCTTGATGTGTGGCTTGAAAGCCACAACCTTCTGACTTTGGGAGGTGAGAGTGCAACCAACTGAGCTAGACTGACACATTAACAGTACAACAACTTGCATTTTATATGGTGCCCTTCATGCTGGGTAATGTCTTGTGCTGAAAAATGGCCTATTTTACGCCGAACTAGGGAGAAAGGGAAGGTGACCATGTTAGATGACCCTTAATATTTATTTGACAAAGGATCATCAAAAGATGATTACAACAAATTCCACTGGATGATAAAACACTAATTTAGGAGAAATGGTTTTCAATCAGATTGGACTTCACCCAGAAACCAAAGTCTTCATTGCACCTATATAGAATCCATAATTCTCACATTGTAAACTAGAACATACAGCTTGATTTGCAACACATATTACGGGCAAATCCAATCTCAAGTGTCTCTCAGGCAGGCAACATCAAAATCATTTGTGTGTCTACAACAACAACAAGATTACATTTGTATAGCGCCTTTCACATCGGGAGGATGTCCCAAGGTGCTGGAGTATCTCCATCATTTACATAGATTTATATATACTGTAAAGTGCAGAAACAGGCCATTCAGCCCAACTCAATGCTGATGTTTTTACTTCACATGAGTTTCCACCTACTCCTTCCTCTTAAATGGATCAACGCTATCTACTTCAACCACATTCTCACTACCTTCTGTATGAAGACGTTCCTCCAAAGTCCTCTTTTAGATCTCCTAGTCACTATCTTATACTTGTGGTTGTAGACTCACCAGCAATTTCTGTGAGCTGAGAGATTTGAGGAAAACAAGTATTTGAAATAATTCATTCCAGATCTAGTCCTGTTGAATCATTTTACTGAATAATTTACATTGTAACTGAGAACGTGAGACTGATTAAGTTTCTAATCCTATTTAAGCACTATTGAGTGAAGAATTGCTATTGCATTCTATCTATTGGACAGACGTTGTAAATAATTCAGCTGATTGTTCTACAATATTTACTACTGCTGGAGTCACAGTGTTAGTTATAAAGGTTTGCAATGCAATAAATGGAGTGTGCTTCAGTGGGCTAGAACATGGGTTTGAATACAGCAAATACCAATGGGATGGAAAACCTCTTGGTCTGCTAGCTGTAAGCAAAGGGAGTTTATGGCACCTTCAATCCAATTCCAATTAAAGAGTGAAAACACAGAACAAAATAAGATGTTTCTAAATTGGCATATCATTTACCAATGTCATTAAGACCATTTGAAATTCAGATAAGAACAACAATGCTAAATTGGAAATAAGATGGAAAAACAAACTGGCTTTTCTATAACTTGATCTCAAACTGAGATTGTTAGTTCAAGCGAGATTACTGCACTGGAATTAGAAGAGATAAATTTGCTATTTCTTGGGGTGAACTGGAAATTATGAACTCACAGGCTTGAATGTGAGTTGGTTATAAAGTAGATCAGTTCTGCAACTCACAATAAAAAAGGCTGCTTCCTCAGGGAAAACAGCTGTGAGAGAGGCCCATCCTAACATGTGAAACCAGTGATCTGTTTCATTCAGATCTTATTATATTATTTTGACATTTTTCTGTGAATGTAACATACAATTCTATGTAAATTTAATGGAAAGAATGATTGTAATTGTTGTTTAGTTACATAACTTACCTCACGTGCAGATTCATTGGTTGTGGTTTACCCAGGGGTGGGGGTGGGGTCCAACCTTTTTTGGTGTTGAGGGCAAGATTTCACTGCGTGCTGCAACGTGCTTTTGTTTTTTCCATTCCAGAAACATAAAGAATCATATAGAAATCCTATATTTTAAATACTGTGACTGTATCACTTAATAATGATCATCTCAAATTGAAATAAGTGCAAGAAATGTTTTAATGTGTTAAAGTCAAAACACAAGATATCAACTCAGCAGATGGAGGCCCCAACAGAGAATGCTCAACAAAACAAAACCCAAACAGATTAATTCATAATTGCGAAAACTAACAAAGGAACATGATAAAGATACTTTTGAATAAAGATTATTTTGAATATATGACTAATTTTAACTAGTTTTCCGCAAAGGGACTGCTGTATGATGCATTGGATGGTCGTATATTCAATTCCATTTTGTTTCAGCAAACCTATCAAACTATATTTACAGCTGGTCATTGATTTTGCACTATCTGCCACGATGCATGAACACTTCTGAAATCCACCCCGTATTTCCTGAAAGTTGAAGTCAGAACCTTGTAAATATCCAACCCCTTTTTAGCAGTTTTCAGAGGAACTGACTCAAGTAATTCTTCATGAACAAGAACATTTTCATCAATGGGTCTGATGAAAATTAACAGCTGACTGCTAACAGTAACGTAAGTTCTCTCGTCTAGAGCTAATAAGTATTTACATTTTTCAATATTTGTCCTGAGCTTTGTATTCGTATGTTCGTTCATGTCACTTATTCTACTTGCAACAGTTTGGTGAGACAGTACCACACTTTCAAAATTATTGGTCATTTTTACATCACCAAATGCATGAGCTATTTTGGCTGCAGAATTTTTTTTACCATATCACCACCTCTAAATTGACTGCCTAAAGACCATAAGACCATAAGACAAAGGAGCAGGAGTAGGCCATTCAGCCCCTTAAGCCTGCCCTGCCATTTAATACGATCATGGCTGATCTTCTAACCTAATTCCTTTTACTCGCCCTACCCATATCCCATAATCCCTCTATCCTTTAGAAATCTCTCAACCTCAGTCTTGAATATGTTCAAGGACTGAGCATCCACAGCCTCTGGGGTAGAGAATTCCACAAATTCACTACCTATCTGAATGAAGAAATGTTTCCTCAACTCAATTCGAAAAGGCTGACCCTTAATCTTGAGATTCTGATCCCTAGTTTTAGATTCTCCAACCAGGGGAAACAGTCTCACGGCATGTACCCTGTCAAGACCCTTAAGAATCTTATAGGTTTCTATAAGATCAGCTCTACTTCTTCTATATTCTGGAGAATATAGGTCTAGTTTACTCAACCTATCCTCATAGGTCAACTCCCTCATCCCAGGAACCAACCTAGTGAATCCATGCTGCCCCCCCCCCACCCTCACCCCTCTATGGCGAGTATCTCCTTTCTTAAATAAGGAGACCAAAACTGCACACGATATTCTAGGTGCGGTCTCACCAAGGCCTTATACAACTGCAGCAAGACTTCCCTACTCGTGTACTCTAACCCTTTTGCAACGAATGCCAACGTGGCATTAACCTTCCTAGGTACATACTTGCTGTACCTGCATACTAACTTTTTGTAACTGGTGTACAAGGACACCCAAACTCCTCTGAACACTAACACTACCTAGTCTCTCCCCCTCTAGAAAATAATCCGCTTTTCTATTTTTAATACCTCGGTGAATAACTTCACAGTTCCCCACGTTATACTCCATCCACCACCTACTTGCCCACTCAACTAGCCTGTCTATTTCCCTTTGCATTCTTTGTGTGTCATCCTCACAGCTTACTCTCCCACCTATCTTCGTATCGTCCACAAATTTAGATATGTTAAGCTCTATTTCCTCATCTAAATGATTGATATAGACTGTAAATAATTGAGGCCCAAGCACTGATCCTTATGGCACTCCACTAGTCACATCCTATCAATCTGAGAAGGACCCGTTTATCCCTACTCTCTGTTTTCTTCCTGTTAGCCACTCTCCGATCCATGCTAATATATTACCTTTAATTCCATGGGCTCTAATCTTATGCAATAGCCTTTTATGTGGCACCTTGTGGAATGCCTTCTGGAAATCGAAATATACCACATCTACTGGATCCCCCCTATCTAACCTGTTGGTTACCTCAAAAAACTCTTAAAAGATTACCTGCCCGTATCCTCCGTTCCTCTGGCTCCGGTCTGCTCCACATCCCCCGCCCTAACCGCCCTACCATCGGTAGCCGGGCTTTCAGCCTCTCAGCCCCGAGGCTCTGGAACTCCATCCCCCAGTGCCTTCGCTGCTTCCTCCCTTTCCTCCTTCAAGGCCGGTCTCAAGACCTTTCTCTTCAACCATGCCTTCAGCTCCCCTCTCGACTAACTACCCCCTTCTCGTTCACCTCCCTTCCCTCCCCTCACCCTGACCAGTTCCCCCCTGCTTGGGACCTGATCCAACTGTCCAGCGCCTTGGGTCGTCCTCCCGATGTGAAAGGTGCTCTATAAATGCAATCTTTTTGTTGTTGTAAACATGATTTCCCTTTGGTAAAACAATGTTGACTCTGCCTAATCATGTTATGATTTTCTAAGTACCCCAATACTACGTCCCTAATTAAGGACTCTAGAATTTGACCTAACACTGATGTCAGACTGACTGATCGACACTTCCCCATTTTTTGTCTCCCACCCTTCTTAAATATTGGCGTTACGTTTGCGATCTTCCAATCACTGGGAACCTGTCTCTACCTGCAATGGACCCACATTCACTTTTGTAGTCTCTTCCTCTTTATATACTTGTAAAAACTCTTACAATCCGTCTTTATGTTCCTCGCGAGTTTACCCTCATATTCCATGTTCTCCCTCTTATTCGGTTTCTTGGCTTTCCTTTGCTGATCTCTAAAGCTCTCCCAATCCTCAGGTTACTGCTCTTTTTGGCAGTATTATAAGCCTCTTCTTTTAATTTTATACTTTTCCCTAACTTCTCTAGTTAGGCAAGGTTGAACCACGTTTCCTGTGGTATTTTTATTTTTCAAGGGAATTTAGTACTCTATCTTTAAATGTTTGCCATTGCTGGTCTACCGTCATATTCATAAATGTAATTTCCCCGTCTATATTAGCCAAATCTTCTCATACCGACAAAGTTGGCTTTATTTAGACTTAAGATCCTTGCTTCGGATTCAACTATATCACTCTCTAACTTAATGTTTAATTCCATCATTGTTTGTTTGTAATTTGTTTTGTGTTGTCATTGCCTTTAGAAACCAGCCTGGGCTTCCCCCCCTCCCCACCCCCCACCAGCCTGGGCTTCCCCCCCACCCCCCACCAGCCTGGGCTTCCCCCCCACCCCCCACCAGCCTGCGCTTCCCCCCCACCCCACCCCACCCCCCACCAGCCTGGGCTTCCCCCCCACCCCACCCCCACCAGCCTGGGCTTCCCCCCACCCCACCCCACCCCCCACCAGCCTGGGCTTCCCCCCACCCCACCCCCCACCAGCCTGGGCTTCCCCCCCACCCCACCCCACCCCCCACCAGCCTGGGCTTCCCCCCCACCCCACCCCACCCCCCACCAGCCTGGGCTTCCCCCCCACCCCACCCCACCCCTCACCAGCCTGGGCTTCCCCCCCACCCCTCACCAGTACTCTGGCTTCGCCCCTCTTCCTGTCACTCACAGAGGAGACTTCCGGCTCCGCCCCTCTTCCTGTCACTCACAGAGGAGACCTTCGACTCCGCCCCTCTTCCTGTCACTCACAGAGGAGTCCTTCGACTCCGCCCCTCTTCCTGTCACTCACAGAGGAGTCCTCCGGCTCCGCCCCTCTTCCTGTCACTCATGGAGTCCTCCGACTCCGCCCCTCTTCCTGTCACTCACAGAGGTGTCCTCCGGCTCCGCCCCTCTTCCTGTCACTCAGAGAGGTGTCCTCCGGCTCCGCCCCTCTTCCTGTCACTCACAGAGGAGTCCTCCGGCTCCGCCCCTCTTCCTGTCACTCACAGAGGTGTCCTCCGGCTCCGCCCCTCTTCCTGTCACTCAGAGAGGTGTCCTCCGGCTCCGCCCCTCTTCCTGTCACTCACAGAGGAGTCCTCCGGCTCCGCCCCTCTTCCTGTCACTCATGGAGTCCTCCGACTCCGCCCCTCTTCCTGTCACTCACAGAGGAGTCCTTCGACTCCGCCCCTCTTCCTGTCACTCACAGAGGAGTCCTCCGGCTCCGCCCCTCTTCCTGTCACTCAAAAGGAGACCTTCGACTCCGCCCCTCTTCCTGTCACTCACAGAGGAGTCCTTCGACTCCGCCCCTTTTCCTGTCACTCATGGAGTGCTCCGGCTCCGCCCCTCTTACTGTCACTCACAGAGGAGTCCTCTGCCTCCGCCCCTCTTCCTGTCACTCATGGAGTCCTTCGACTCCGCCCCTATTCCTGTCACTCACAAAGGAGTCCTCCGGCTCCGCCCCTCTTCCTGTCACTCACAGAGGAGTCCTTCGACTCCGCCCCTCTTCCTGTCACTCACAAAGGAGTCTTCCGACTCCGCCCCTCTTCCTGTCACTCAAAAGGAGACCTTCGGCTCCGCCCCTCTTCCTGTCACTCAAAAGGAGACCTTCGACTCCGCCCCTTTTCCTGTCACTCATGGAGTGCTCTGGCTCCGCCCCTCTTACTGTCACTCACAGAGGAGTCCTCTGACTCCGCCCCTCTTCCTGTCACTCAAAAGGAGACCTTCGACTCCGCCCCTCTTCCTGTCACTCAAAAGGAGACCTTCGACTCCGCCCCTTTTCCTGTCACTCATGGAGTGCTCTGGCTCCGCCCCTCTTACTGTCACTCACAGAGGAGTCCTCTGACTCCGCCCCTCTTCCTGTCACTCAAAAGGAGACCTTCGACTCCGCCCCTCTTCCTGTCACTCAAAAGGAGACCTTCGGCTCCGCCCCTCTTCCTGTCACTCACAGAGGAGTCCTTCGACTCCGCCCCTTTTCCTGTCACTCATGGAGTGCTCCGGCTCCGCCCCTCTTACTGTCACTCACAGAGGAGTCCTCCGGCTCCGCCCCTCTTTCTGTCACTCACAGAGGTGTCCTCCGGCTCCGCCCCTCTTCCTGTCACTCAAAAGGAGACCTTCGACTCCGCCCCTCTTCCTGTCACTCACAGATGAGTCCTCCGGCTCCGCCCCTCTTCCTGTCACTCATGGAGTCCTTCGACTCCGCCCCTATTCCTGTCACTCACAGAGGAGTCCTTCGACTCCGCCCCTTTTCCTGTCACTCATGGAGTGCTCCGGCTCCGCCCCTCTTCCTGTCACTCACAGAGGTGTCCTCCGGCTCCGCCCCTCTTCCTGTCACTCAAAAGGAGACCTTCGACTCCGCCCCTCTTCCTGTCACTCACAGATGAGTCCTCCGGCTCCGCCCCTCTTCCTGTCACTCACAGAGGAGTCCTTCGACTCCGCCCCTCTTACTGTCACTCACAGAGGAGTCCTCTGACTCCGCCCCTCTTCCTGTCACTCACAGAGGAGTCCTTCGACTCCGCCCCTCTTACTGTCACTCACAGAGGAGTCCTCTGACTCCGCCCCTCTTCCTGTCACTCACAGAGGAGTCCTTCGACTCCGCCCCTCTTCCTGTCACTCACAAAGGAGTCTTCCGACTCCGCCCCTCTTCCTGTCACTCACAGAGGTGTCCTCCGGCTCCGCCCCTCTTCCTGTCACTCAAAAGGAGTCCTTCGACTCCGCCCCTCTTACTGTCACTCACAGAGGAGTCCTTCGACTCCGCCCCTTTTCCTGTCACTCATGGAGTGCTCCGGCTCCGCCCCTCTTACTGTCACTCACAGAGGAGTCCTCTGACTCCGCCCCTCTTCCTGTCACTCACAGAGGAGTCCTTCGACTCCGCCCCTCTTCCTGTCACTCAAAAGGAGACCTTCGACTCCGCCCCTCTTCCTGTCACTCACAGAGGAGTCCTTCGACTCCGCCCCTTTTCCTGTCACTCATGGAGTGCTCCGGCTCCGCCCCTCTTACTGTCACTCACAGAGGAGTCCTCTGACTCCGCCCCTATTCCTGTCACTCACAGAGGAGTCCTTCGACTCCGCCCCTCTTCCTGTCACTCAAAAGGAGACCTTCGACTCCGCCCCTCTTCCTGTCACTCACAGAGGAGTCCTCCGGCTCCGCCCCTCTTCCTGTCACTCAAAAGGAGTCCTCCGACTCCGCCCCTCTTCCTGTCACTCATGGAGTCCTTCGACTCCGCCCCTATTCCTGTCACTCACAAAGGAGTCCTCCGGCTCCGCCCCTCTTCCTGTCACTCAAAAGGAGTCCTCCGACTCCGCCCCTCTTCCTGTCACTCAAAAGGAGTCCTCCGGCTCCGCCCCTCTTCCTGTCACTCAAAAGGAGACCTTCGACTCCGCCCCTTTTCCTGTCACTCATGGAGTCCTTCGACTCCGCCCCTATTCCTGTCACTCACAAAGGAGTCCTCCGACTCCGCCCCTCTTCCTGTCACTCAAAAGGAGTCCTCCGGCTCCGCCCCTCTTCCTGTCACTCACAGAGGAGTCCTTCGACTCCGCCCCTTTTCCTGTCACTCATGGAGTGCTCCGGCTCCGCCCCTCTTCCTGTCACTCACAAAGGAGTCCTCCGGCTCCGCCCCTCTTCCTGTCACTCAAAAGGAGTCCTCCGACTCCGCCCCTCTTCCTGTCACTCAAAAGGAGTCCTCCGGCTCCGCCCCTCTTCCTGTCACTCACAGAGGAGTCCTCCGGCTCCGCCCCTCTTCCTGTCACTCACAGATGAGTCCTTCGGCTCCGCCCCTCTTCCTGTCACTCACAGAGGAGTCCTTCGACTCCGCCCCTCTTCCTGTCACTCACAGAGGAGTCCTTCGACTCCGCCCCTCTTCCTGTCACTCACAAAGGAGTCTTCCGGCTCCGCCCCTCTTCCTGTCACTCAGCGCTGTCTAAGCACAGACCAACCACAAGAGGCGCCACCGGTAGTTAAAGCTGTCGCGGTGTTGCATCACAGCCCTCGTGAGTCGGCCCATAAACCACCACTACAACAACAACAACAACAAGATTCCATTTATAGAGCGCCTTTCACGTCGGGAGGACGTCCCGAGGCACTGGGACCATCATATGATCGTGTGTTGGGCCCTGACCCTAATGTGAGGCTCTGACGGGGCTTATTCTGAGGCTGAGGCTGAGGCTGAGGCTGAGGCTGAGGCTGAGGCGTCCCTCTGTGCCGATTCCCCACCCAATGTGTCAGGTCCAGAGGAAGCTGTCGGCCAGTTTGACAGTCAGATCCTGGCCGGTGGCTCTCACCCTCAGGGACACATGTCCTGAAGCTATCACCTTAACTGAGATCCACTCACAGGAACCTGGTGTTGTAGCGTTGAGTAAAATAATAATTCTGGCCTTTGATGCAGCGCCTCATCATGTCTTCGAGACGTCTCCGAGCGCTTCACAGGATACACTGTAAAGTGAATGGACTGTATTTTGTGGGCGGAGATTGTGAGATATAAAATAATAATATTCCATTTCAAGGACAGAGTTTCCATTAAAAACAAATTAACAACAACATATACTGATTGACGCAAAATATTTAATGTACTTACACCAAAAGAATATAGTCCTGGAAGTGCCATAGAACAATGCTTCCTGAGTTAAGATAGAACTAGTCAGATCCCACCCCAAAGCTGTACATTCCTGCAATATTAACGCTAAGCACAGAGGCAGTGCGCAGCCCTCTGGGACTCACCCAAGCGAGGAGTCTGAATCTGAACCCGCAGTCTCATCATCATTCCTTAAACTACAACTGTCATCCAACCCCATTATTTAAAAATGATACAAATCCATTTAAAGTGCTTTAACTAAATAAATGTATCCCATTAAATTAGCAAAATACCATCATGTATCAAGTAATAGTCAGTCAGCAAAAATATTGCCTAACACGAGGAGGTATTGTTTTTCACAAATCCCAATGCACTCTGTCCCATAACATTATAATTGCAATTCATTCAGATTTCATTTGAAGAAAATTAGAACCCTGAGTCTTTACTTAATCAGTCACAGTAGTGGCAACAATTGCACCTATGATGGTAATCAAGTGCTTTTTCTCAAAGTATTTTAATTGGAAATGATTATGTTCTGAAAACCTGGGAAACCATATATTGGAAAGTACAGCTAATCCTCACTATAATTTAGACTTGTTTGTTCGATAGCTGATTTATTTTAGAGCCACCTCAAAGCAGTTAATCAGAGGCCAGTCCTTGGGAACAGATAAGAGGTATAAATGTCAGCAAAACATGACAGTATTTAGAGGGAAAACCCTATTAAATATCTTTACCACTTATTTCAGCCAACCCATGTTGTCAAATAGTCAACAGATAGTTGGCATTCTAAATTGACATTAAATCAATGGCATTTCCAGTAAAAAAANTGTAATAAAAATAGTTTTTTTTTAGGATCCCAAAATCCCAAAGTATTGACAGTCTTTCAACAAAGCAATAATAAATGTTGTTGCAGTTTTGCCAACATTGCAATTCACTTCTAAATATATCTAGGGACAAAACCTTGCTCTTTCCATTTGAATCCTTAGCTTCAACATTAGCTTTCTGAATAGTGCACAAAATCTTGTTTAAAAATCATAAAACTACTAATAGTGTGCAAGGTTCTGAATGCAAACTCTTCGATCAGAAACCCTGACTAAATTAAAGGAATCAATCTAAAAGTTCATAAAAATTGCTTTGAAATTTTCTTGTAAATCACAAAACACCAAATGTCAGAAGAGTAATATCTGCCATTGATTTCACAAATTCCGCATGGCTTTTGCACTAAATGTTTTTGCATGATTATTTACAGTCTCTTAGTGCTGAATTAACTATTGTGTCTAGATCAAGATTAAGAGTCTAGACAAGGCACACATGAAACATGATTCAGATAGAAATTGTTATTACACAGAGAGAGAACCTTCCCTAAAGTTTGATTTTCCAATCAGCACATTAATCAATATGGGATTGCCGCCATGAGCTTCCATTTTAGCTTCCATTAAGAGATCTTCTGTATGGTTTTCATTTGCAGTGTTCAATAAGTAACCTTTCCCGCCGTATCCTTCAGCAACTATGTGATAATCTGGAGATGGGAAGATATTCTTTGAAAAATACTCGACAGCAACTTGGATTGAACAACAACATCTTAAAGAAATAGATTGTGAAGAATTTGACTCCCAACTTGAAAAGATTGGATTATTTCAGTACCTGTGTAGGCCAGGTTGCAAGCTACACTGCTGCCCAGCATTGGAACTTGCTCACGGGAAATCTGGCTCCAACAAGCATCATTACCAACCAAAGCGATTATAGGAGCCTAGAAAAATAGAGAAAGGAAATTCTAAAAAAAATTTATAATGCATGATCCCTGGATACTCTTTCAGATCTGCAGAATATAATAATAATAATCCTTGCATTTGATATAGCGCTTCTAGAAGTTCCAAAGCACTTCACAGAATACACTGTAAAGTGAATTGACTGCATATTTGTGGGCGAACGCGGCAGCCAATTGTGCACAGCAATGTCCCACAAACAGTCATGGATTGAAAATGACCAATTTATTATCGGGTTTTGTTTTGGAGGGATTATTATCAGGCGTGTAGAGTAAGGAAACTTGCCCAAGGGCTCGCCCTCTGCCTGGAATTGAACTCAGGTCTCTCGCTTGCAAAGCGAGTGCTCTAACCACTGAGCTACAGGACTCCGAATATTAAACATTCCATCGGGACTGACTACCAGGTTACTGAGTGAGATAGTGAGAGGTAACTGGAGTAACAATAAGGGAGATATAGTCAGTAAAACAAGGTCTTGGGCTATTACTGAACCCAACTCTGCAACAAAAGATCCTTAACTCAGCAGCACAAAGATTGGCCTTTTGCTTTTTTGGCTAAACTCAATTGTAGTTTCTGTGTTTATCAGTTATTCCTTGAGCTAAAGTACCTGCCTGAAAGGCTCTTCTGTTGAGATTCTCCTGTGCTACACAGAACACACCCGAATCTCACCCAGATCTGGATCATTATGGGGAGGATTGAGCTCTTGGCTACAGCTACAGCCCTCTGTTGGTTATAGTCGGTATTGCAGCACTTCCCACTTGAGGAATGAGATCTGCCCTCCACAGAGGGTTGGCTCGATTAGAACATTCTGTTGCCAAACGTATCATTTTGCAGCCAGATGACCTCCAAGGAGACCCCGCTCCCCTCAACCCACCACCACAGGAGGATAGTCATTTGACAAGTGCGGGTTTCAGCCCTCAACAGGTAGGTACCAGGCACTGCCTGTGAGCTTCCTGGTGGGCAACACACCTCAACATGAAATGTGTGAGAGCATTGCCACCATCTTCCTGTCCATAGCTCGGACCCATATCTCTTCCCATTGAGCGATGGTTCTACCAATTGGAGATGCAGAGCTTAAGACAGATCTGAAGTGAAATTTACCTTTAGATTAAAAAGTGGTGTTAAAGGAGCAAAAGTATGAATAAGTTGATAAGAACATACGATAAAAATGTGCACACTTCAGAGGATATTCCAACTGGTGCAGCACTATTCCCATTACATTCAGTGTATCAGCGTTAAGGGAACCTATTCTGCACAAACACTGTTCAGTTATTTGTGTACCCCCTTTTGCCAATGAAGAGGTTGCGAGTACCTTGTGCCTTTTGAAAGTATCAAACTCAGCAATGCTGTAGCCCACAGAGCCATCGCCATAGATTATCCAAACCTGAGATACAGAAAAGAGATGCAATCATTCTGAGGATTCCTTTATGTCTCATCCCAAAATCACACCACTATCAATTAGAAATTAGTCACATTTGTGTTCTCCAGCAAGAGGGACGTAACCGCTGCCACTGCTCAGAGATCACTGATCAGAGATGTTGGTCATAGAAGCATAGTTTTTCTCCATTTTCTTCTCTCCTTGTGACTTGTGCTGAGGGGTGTGCTTCTATTTACACCAGTCATCCTACTGCTCCTTGCTAATCGGCCATTCTTAATGTGTGAGCCTTGACAATTAGTGTCAATAGGCTGTGCACCCATGGAGACAACACGGCTGAGCCATCATCAACATGTAGGGCAATCTTGTTATAATGCTTTGGTCTGAGTCCATAATCTCAGGCTCCCATTAAAAAGCACAAAAAAATTCTGCCACTTTTCGACAGATCAGCCATAAATTTCCTTAAAAAAAAACTATGTACAGCGTAGTTCATATTCTTGTTCAGCACCAGATGTAGGTGCAGTGTGGATCCACAATAAACCCACAACACAAGCAAGTCCCAGCTAATCCAGAGTACCTTGTCCTGTACATGTACATTCCAGTTGGGGTCACTGGAGACATGAAAGGCGCGAAACAAATGTAATTTGTATTGTATCTGGAGAGGAAACCTTGAATGCCATTTCACCTTTTTTTGTGATGATAAACAATCAGAATTACAAAGTCCATTAAGATTAGATTTAGCTGAAGAGAAAAAGGAGCACCAGCAAGAACCCTTCCTCTTATTCTGGTTAATAATGAAAAAAAAACTCTTATTTGCTGGTGGATATAAACTGTGGGCGGTACAAGACACATGTAAAGAAGCTTTAAAAAGCTGCAGTCAGGGAGAAAGTACAGAGAGATTAAGCTTTTTAAAAGGGACGTTCTAGATTCATAGAATCATAGAAATTTACTGCCTAAGAAGGAGGCCTTCAACCCATCAAGTCTGCACTGGCTCTCAGACCAAGGTGTCAATACCACTGCTATGCCTTATGCCTCTTCATATACTAATCTACTTCCCTCTTGAAACCCACAATGGTCTTTACCACCTAACTGGCAGAGTATTCCACATCCCAACAGCCTTTCGAGTGAAATAAATGTCTCCTAGGCTCTCCTTTTGGTTTCTTGTGACTTTCATATAATTATGGTTCCAGTTACTGACTCCCCTACAGTGGAAATAGCTTCTCCTCATTTACTTTGTCAAAACCACTCATAATGTCATACATCTCTATCAGACCTAACATCTTCAATCTCTCGTCAAAAGTGAAGCTCCTAATGGCTAGTATCATTCTCTATACCTCCTCTGTACCTCTTCTAAGGCATTAACATCCATTGTGAAGTGAGGTACCCAAAACTCACTGTTGTCTAACCAGTGATTTGTCCAAACTTACCGTTATTTTACTGTTGTACTCTATGCCCTTATGTATAAAACTAAGAATAACCTTAGGTTTTTCATAGCCCTTTCCAATTGCTTTGCCACGTTCGAGGACTTGTGTATTTGTCATTGCCTCTGAATCTCATCCCAGAGATCCTCATCTGGCCCTACACCCTCAGCTGCCCCCTCTCGCTCAGGCTCCCAGTCAGCTCCATCAAGCAATTTGAGACGTCCACCTGACGTAAAACGCACTGAGTGAATTAAATTGTTGTCAGATTATTAAGAAACAGCTTTATGCTATAAATAATAATTCAGTGGAAAACCTGGATGGCTGGGTAACTGGACACTGGTTATCCCTGGACGCCAGGTTAATTTGTTCAAAACTCCCGGCCCCGATTCACTTGTATTCTTACCGGTTTTAAATATGCCAGTTAATTCGTACAACAATACGGTTAATCCGGACAAAGTGCTGTGCTGCTCGCCGGCACTCTGATTCTCAGCAATTACAAAATTCCAGTCACTAGCAAACTGATCTTGCGAACTGCTCCGAACCAGGCCTGATAAAAAACAAACTATCAAACCCTAACTCTAAACCCTAACTCACACAAAACCAACTCTCAACCCTGAAACAAGGCTTGTGTCTCCAGGTGGAGTCAGATTGTGATTGATTGACAGCAGACTCCAGCCATTCACAAGTGGCTTTGGGCTGTCAATCAATGAGGAACCAGAGGAACAAGGGAGGAAATGGGAGGAGTAAAATTGCAATTGATTTGACAGCTGGAGCCATTTGTGAATATGTGGAACTGCTGCAAATTTGTCCTTTTCCTGTCCAATGGGACCCTCTCCTCTGCTGGCTTCCATGACTTACATTTAATATAACGCGTTCCATATCTGGAGGAAATCTCATACTGTAAAGAGTAGTGATTGTGTATTTTTAGGCACACAATGCTAGATAATTAGTTGGGGAGGACCAAGTTTGCAGGGCTATGGGTAATGATGAAATAAATGATTAAGATAACAGGTCAAAAGAGAGAACAGGGGAGTGGTATTGATTTGGAAGCTCTTTTCAAAGAGCCAGCCCAGACATGATGGGCCGAATGACCTCCTTCTGTGCTGTGTAATTCTATTATTCTATGAATGGGAGGAAGGTAGGTTGAATATTTTCAAAGGATAAAATCTGTTAGGCTGAAATGCTTTCTTCATCCATGTCTCTCTTTTGATTTTCAATATTGCAGAAAAGTGGGAAAAGAGATTAAAATATCACCACCATCGAATAAAATGTTGAGGTAGGTTCGAAGGGCCAAAAGGCCTTTTTCTGTAGTTGCAACTGCACTGACCTCAGACTTTGGTCTGCAAAGCTTGGCCCCAAGAGCAAACCCACCGCCCACTCCAAGTGTCCCAAAGGCGCCTGTGAACAGAGGAACAAAACGTGTACAGCTTATGTGCAAACTCCGACAAACGCACACGAGACGTGTGCAGTGAATGGGGATCTGTGCAGATCAAGATCCATTGGAATCAAAACACCTGGCACGTGGCATTCTGCTTCTCCTTTGAAATTTTCACTCTTTCCAAACTCCAAGTTAAAAATTTTTAGTGCCTCGGCAGGCACTGACCTGCTCCATGCCCCCAACCCATTGGCGGTCAGGCCTTCAGTCCCCACCCTCTGGAATTCCATGTCGGAGCCCCTCCAGCTTGCCCTTTCCCTTCCTCCTTCAAAGCCAGTCTCAAAACTTTTCTCTTTGACTGTGTCTTCAGCCACCCTCCCACTCCCCTTCTTCATTCCAGCCCCCAGCTCGGATGCAAACTCTTCACTGTCCAACGCCTTGGGATATCCTCCCATTGTGAATGGCATTATAACAAATGTCGTTTGTTGTAGTTAAAAGTTGCAATTCAGATGCTTCTATTGTTTAGTTTCATCACAATCTGAACTTTAAAGTAGCTTCATGTGTGAACTGAGACCAAGCACATGGATTGGTAGGTGAGATACAACAGAACAGATACAGTTTAATTTCAAATGCAGGGAGCAATCTGTGGGGTGGATTAATTACGTATAAAGAGAAATTTTGAGCTGTTACCTTAAGCACAATCCAGATGCTTTCCCATCAATACATAGAGGAGGCAAAATGAAAACTCAATGTGAATATGGTTCTTTGGAGCTTTTATTTCCGACTCACCAGGATCCAGCCACTGTAAAGGGCCTCGGGGATGCAGGATATACGCACTACTTCCCACAAAGTCACCTCCATCTGCCACAATGATGCTGTCTTCAGCAATTATTTCATCCAAGCAGTACAGAATATTCAGAGGGTTCAAGTACTTTAGCATCTTCTCTGTCCTCTTTTCACTGAAAGGAGATAACTCAATAAGGACATAATTCTATATTAAAGACTTAAGTCATGAAATGGAAACACACCAGACCCAGACGAGCTGGCCTGATAGCAAAAGTCTGATGATGACAATAAGTAATCTCACCGATTTATTTTGTCAATCTTTTTGTCCTCCTCCTTCAGGCTCCATGTCCATTCAAGGGGAGACGTGTAGCCTGTCAGGAGATTTGCTAGTTTAACCAGGAAGCTGCCAGCATCACCTGAACAAAAACAACATGTCCTGTTTATTATGTAACTTAATGATAACAAAAGGCAAACCTCATCACAAAGTCTTAAAGCAGTCTTCACCCTAATGTTATGACATTACTCTCCTGTCAGTGACGACAGAGGCTTGGATCCTCTACCTCATGCGAGTCAATGGGAAGTTTATTTAGAAAATAGAGAAGGACAATGAAGCCAAGCCCAATCCCAACCTGACACATATGACATCCACCCATGGCCATTTTCCCTGGATAGTCATAAAGAATTGGAATCCTGACCTATTCCTCTTTCTTAACCTTGTACTCCAAGGACAATGAAACCAACAGAAACACTGACGATCAGCATGGCTGAGACACATGGACAGTGCAGCTCGAGGATCAAACCCAGAACCCCTGACTCATAACACCAGGCAGTGTATTTCTTCATTGAGCAATGATTAGAGTCTGATCCTTGGTTATTAAGGAGTTTCTGGACCCATTTGCAGAGGCAGCTTACCTTGTATAGCAATTTTCGGCTTCCAGAACATATCTGAGTTCTTGAGGAGTTGTTTGTGGTCACGGTTGACTGCAATAATATTACTGTGCTTGCTCAGAATACGGCCGTAGGACAGACGGAAGTCACAGACTGTGCCTATTGGCATGAAAATGCAACAAAAATTATTTTTGCAGCACTTCTCCTGAAAATGCTGACCAGGACTCAACAGGACAGCAGGAGTGAAGTAAAAGTGAACAGTAGCAGCTGAACTGCACAAACTGACCTGCCAGGATGACGAGATCTGCTTTCTTCAAAACATCTGCCCGCTTGTTTCGAATGTGAATGGAATTGTTTTTTCCTAACATCCCTCGAGCCATACCTCCCAGGAAACAAGGAAAACCAAGATATTCCAGAGCTTCCCTATTCAAACACATCTAAAATGAGGTTATGATTATTTTATTCTTACCCTTGCTATTGTGGTCATAGTGATCCAAGTTTAGATTGCACAGTGCCTTTATAACAGTAAATAATGATAATCCTTGCATTTGATACACTGCCTTTCTCATCTGGAGAGACTATGTAAAATGTTTGGTTTTACATAGTTTTACGGGAATGTATAAAACTGGCAGGGTCAATAATGGTCTACCAGAGAACGTACTGTAAAATGTAACTGCGTATTTTGCAGGTGAGAGTAGTAACAAATTTACACACAGTAGTGTCACACAAACAGTCGTGAAGTACAGTATCTGGGAAATTGTTGGTGAGGACACAGAGGAAACTTTCTCCTCTTTAAATTTGTGTGTCAAGTCTGTCTCAGGTGGTAACATTCTTGCCTCAGAGTCAGTAAGCTATGGGTTCAAGACCCACACCATGACTTGGAACTCATATAGTCTCAGCGTTTTGGGATGTCCTTCTGACGTGAAAGATGCAATACAAATGTCATTTGTTGTTATTGCCTGACACTCCAATGCAATGCTGGGGGAGTGCTGCATTGAACATAGTACCTTGTACACAACAGAGAAAGAAAACAACTTTAACTCATCAGTTTAGATTAGATTCAAACTAAACTTCTAAAAAGGAAAGGCAATGCGTAACCCAGTGTACAACCTATTTTTCAGTGTAAATCCCAGAAGAAGCCGACCACCTAAGCCATTATCTGGTGGACCATTATTGGCCTTCCAGTCTTATACATTCCCGTGATCTGAGTCTCAGCAAACATTTTACATACTCTCTGGGGAGGCAGAGTATTTAATAAAATTCAGAAGAGTCTAGGTTGGCCCGTTGCTATTAGATGGCTAAATCTTACCGAAGGCTTTGCGCAGGTGTAGGAGGGAGCATTACTTGGCTGCCCAGAACAATAACTGGTCTTTTAGCCCTGCTTACCAACTCCACACACCGCTGCATCTAGAGAAACACAAGAATGAGAATTAAATAGCAGCAGCGTTTAAAAATGATAATTCCAGGGCAACCCCATATAAGGTGCCTTGCAAAAGCACACGTTAGTTATGATGTAGGCGTCCAGTTAACCCGTAGTTGCTAGAAGTGGGGTATGGGCTGCCAACTTCCGGCTTACATGCATTGTACATGCACAGGACATCGCCCAGTCCATATCAGGAGCCTGGTGACAACATTGATGAGCTGAAAGCAGGAGGAAGGAATTATTTTCATGCAACTGTAATAATACCATGGACCTAAAATACTGCTTTATAAATGGGGTTGCCCTACATTCGAGCCATGTTATGAAACTTCAGTAAATGTCAAACAACTGGTAGAGTATTTCCATGTGAAGTGTGCTATATAAATGCAAGTTGTTAGAGTTTCAGCAGGTACTAGCAGGTAAGAGAGAGAGAAGGGCTGGTACAATGTGGAGTTATATGGTAACAGTATAATTCCTGATTATTTGGAAGAATTATTTTGTTAGTATATTATATTTTGTATAATGAGCAATTATCTCCATTGTTTCCTCATCCACAATGAAATCAGTGCCAATCGGTGTGAATAACTGTCTCTCTATTATACTGTTGTCCTGTGTGCAAGAATCTACCTCAGAAACTGTGGCTTTTGGAAACACCACTGGAAGTGGACTGATATCTGTGGGCTCCCAGGCTCCAACAAACAGATTCTGTAGATACATCTGAAGGTACCTGAGTAAAGAGTGAGATAAGAGAGCAGAACAATAACACAACTGATCTCCTCCATATATTATTCTTGCCAAGGTCCAAAGTTCAAAATAGAACAAACACAGAAAATTGACATTGACGCAAATAAATCAATACTTACAACAGAACCCTTTCATGGTGCTCTTCAGTGAAGCACTGCCTTCCCTATAGTGTCTGCTGTGAACCTATGTTAACCTGATCTGTGGTACACACAGCTTCTGGCACTGACTAGCCAGCATAAAACATGGTCAACTTGTGGGTCATCAAATTGTCACTGTATTCTCTGTGTTATGGGCAAGGAGGATTTCTCTGCTTCAACTAAATCTTTTAAACTTCTCTTTAAACCTCTTCTCTCCTGAAGCAGTAAATCATACTGGGAGATAGGGATTCCCATGTATACCTCACCCAAATTATTGTCCTTCATGTAGAAGTCAAAACAATGAGTCAAAACAAGAAGAGGACCTTGAAAGATTCGGGTGGAAGAAAAAGGGAGAGGGAAGGCACAAGCATTAGCTTGAACTGATCCATTTCTGACACTGGCACATAAATCCATTGCAGAAGAGAGAGAGGAAGGTTTGATTTGATTGTAACCAGAAGCAAAAATCTGGCAATTTTTTTTCTCTTACAGCCACAATTCTGATCTCATCAGTCTGAGCAGCATTTGGACTCAGGGCTCAGTGGTGGAAGAATTCTGTGTTAAATCTGTGGAGTATCTCAAATGCACGTTCTTTCAATAAATGATAGCACATCTAAATTGGGTGCATTTTCACACTAGTACAAAAAGCAAGCCTTCCATAGAAACATTCAAGAACATTTTTCCTTGCACATCTTATAATTTAATAAACTCACCATTTTAGAAGTTTGGATACGATTCCTGAGCCAGATTTTGCTGCAATATTTTTATTGACGATATGGTATGGATAAAGGACATCGATTGGGAACTCGACAAACACAGGCCCTGGTCACATGGAAAATTCAGAACAAAACATTCACAAACACTGTCACTTTAACTTAAGCTGGAAAAACAGAAGCAAGTTTTGAATCCTGACAGCCACTGACAGCATCACCTCAGGCGCTGACAGCATCACCATCCATGGTTGCTCACTCCACCTTGCTAAGCCAGTCCAGAACCTTGACGTCTTGTTTGAAGCTCAACTATCCTTTCTACCCCACATCCGTGATGGACCGCTCTGCCTTCCCCACCTCTGTAACGTCGCCCGGCTCTGCCACGGTCTCACACCGCAGGTCCCCAAGACCCTCATACGCGCCTTCATTATATCTAGGCTCGACTCTACAAAATTCTTGCTCCTCGGCCTCCCCAACTCCTCCCTCCACAGGCTGCAGATCATCCAGAACTCAGCCCATGTCCTCTCCTGCACCAGGCACCATGACCCTATCATCCCCATCCTCGCCCGACTCCACTGGATTCCCAACACAGAGGATACAGTTCAAGATCCTGGTCCTCACCTTCAATGCTCTGCATGGTCTTGTTCTACCCGACCTCTCCGACCCCCTAACCTCCTACCAATCCCTCACTTCCTCCGCTCAGCGGGCTCCAGCCTGCTTCACGTCCCCCGCCTCACTCACCCCACTATTGACGGGTGTGCCTTCAGTCATTCTGCCCCCACCCTCTGGAACTCCATCCCGCAGTCCCTCCACCTCGGCCTCTCCCTTGCCTCCTTCAAGACCCAACTCAAGACCCTTCTCTTTGACGGTGCCTATGATCACCCTCCTCCTCCTGCCCACCACCCTCCGCAATCCCGACCCCCGAAACTGATTGTCCAGTGCCTTAGGAAAACCTCCTGACGTGAAAGGCGCTGTACAAATAGCTGTTGTTGACATAATAATAATAATAATCCTTGCATTTGATATAGCGCTTTTCACGTCAGGAAGACGTCCCAAAGCGCTTCACAGAACACACTGTAAAGTGAATTGACTGTATATTTGTGGGCGAACACGGCAGCCAATTGCGCACAGCAATGTCCCACAAACAGTCATGGATTGAAGTGACCAATTTTTTATTATTGCTTTTTTTTTGGAGGGATTATTATTAGGCTCTGTGTGGAGTAAGGAAACTTGCCCAAGGTTTCGCCCTCTGCCTGGAATTGAACTCAGGTCTCTCGCTTGCAAAGCGAGTGCTCTAACCACTGAGCTACAGGACTCCACACTTCATGCCCCATGACAAGTATCAGTCTTTTTAATTACAATTTGTAATCCATGTATTTGATATAGCGCTTTTCACATCTTCTCAACGTCTCAAAGCGCTTCACAGAATATGCTGTAAAGGGAATTGATCGTATATTTGTGGGCGAAACGCGGCAGCCAATTGCACACAGCAGCGTCCCACAAACAGTCGTGAAAATGACCAATTTATTATTGTTTTGGAGGGATTATTAATCCTGTGAATATACCTTCACAGAATATACTGAAAAATTAATTGAACTGTATATTTGTGGGCAAATCGCGACAGCAGTGTCCCACAAACAGTCGTGGATTGAGTGACCAATTTTTTAAAAAAAATTAATGGAATTATTATCCCCAGAAAAGTGATCTGGAAAATGAGTGCCCATATAAGATAAACAGAACACATTCTACATCAATAGACATGCTCCAATTGTTGCATTTCCTGAATCAATTGGTAGCACTGGGAGCATCTGAGTCAGAACCTGATGCTTTGAACTCAGTCTTTGCTGATACTCTAATGCAGTGCTGGGGGGAGCAATGTGTTGTGGAAAGTGTCATGTCTCAAGATGAGATATTAAACCAAGGCCCTAAATACCTATCCAGATGAACATTAAAGATCCTGTAGCAATATTCAAAAATAGAGTAAGTTTCATACTGTGTTCTGGTCACTGCACTTTACAGAAAACTTAAGATACAGTATTTTAACATAATATCCTTTGTCAAATGCAAAGATTATTATTATTTCTCAGCAATGTTATTTGTTAGCAATGCTACAATAATACCCGATGCTTTTTAAAATATTTGCTGGCACCTAAGTTTAACATCACACTATCAGGTCACATAGCTGTTCAATCTAGTACCTGGTGTTCCAGACATAGCTACCATAATAGCTTTCCGAAGTACTGGAGCGATGTCCCGGACTGTTTTGACTGTAGCAGAGAACTTGCACAGTGTTCTGAAAAGTGACAGCTGGTCAATGTCTTGCAATGCACCTCGACCCTAGGTACAATTTGCAGCCGGATGAAATAAAAAAATGAAAATTACATTTTAAGGAAACAGAAAATGTATGCATACTGAAGGCCAAATATAACCAAGTAATAAACAGACACACATGACTGACAGACACAAACATGCAGAGACACACATCCACACCACATACACGCAGCAGGTGAGGAACAATATCCTCTCATGTGACAGGAAAACAATCAGATTACTGTGGCTACTCAGCATTGCTAATTGGCTAAAAAGGTGCCATTGGACTCAAGTTTTACCTTTAGAAGAGTAGAAGCTGCTCCTCCGATCAGCAGCACTGGGGATTCAGCCATCTGTGCATTCTTCACAGCTGTCACAGTGTTGGTTACCCCAGGACCAGCTGTTACTGCAGCAACACCAATCCCACCTGATTCACAGCAAATGTCACAGTCAGAATAAACAACTCTGACACCAGCTTCACAAAAACCATCACCAACAACCATCAAATAGGTAAATGCAGCCCCCAGGCCTCAAGTTGTCATGTAGCCTCTCCACATTGGCAATGTATTCCCTTGAAGAGGAGCCAATCTCCAGCAATTCATGAAAGTTATTAAAAGAGAATGATCTGGGGAAGGACTTCGATCAGAAAATGATCTGTAAACCTATGGCCTACACTATAGCAATGTGACAAATTCTGCTTCCCTTGGGTCTTAAAATGGTTTAGTTGTACTAGATGTTTATTCTGTGTTCTAAGTGAACATGGCAAAGAGGGGAGATATTGCAAAACTCCTCCCCTGCCCCTCACCCCCATTATACAGCTAACCTGACACGGCAGGTACGATGGCAATTACAGGAATGTTGTTCAAGCTCCAATTTATATACACACACACACAACAACAAGATTACATTTGTATAGCGCCTTTCACGTCGGAGGACGTCCCAAGGCACTGGACAGTGACAGCATTTCAGACCCAAGCTGGGGTCAGGGAAGGGAAGGGAGGGGGAGTGACCGATGGCATGGTCAAAGAGGAGGGTCTTGAGGCGGGTTGGTAGAGGGTTAGGAGGTCGCAGAGGTAGGGTGGGGAGAGGCCATGGAGGGCTTTGTATGTGAGGACCAGGATCTTGAACTGGATCCTCTGAAGGATAGGGAGCCAGTGGAGTCGGGCGAGAGTGGAGGAGATGGGATCACGGAGTTTGGTGCGGGAGAGGACACGGGCTGCAGAGTTCTGGATTATCTGCAGCCGGTGGAGGGAGGAGTTGGAAAGGCCAACAAGCAGGGGGTTTGCATAGTCGAGCCTGGAGGTGATGAAGGTATGAGCATGAGTTTCAGCGCCTGAGGGGTGAGGTAGTGGCGGAGTCGGGCGATGTTACGGAGGTGAGGGAAGGCAGAGCGGGTCATGGCTTGAATGTGGGGGAGAAAAGACAGTTGAGGATCGAACAAGACACCTCGGTTCCTGACTGGCTGGTGAGTTGTAGTGTGCAACCATGGAGGTTGATGCTGCCAGAGCCTGAGGTGCTGAGGCGCTGGCGTGAGCCAAGAAGAAGGGCCTCAGTCTTGTTCACATTCAACTGTAGGAAATTTGCCCTCACCCAGGACTTGATGTCCAACAGACAGTCTGTCAGGACAGCAGTGGTCCTGGAGTTGAGGGTGGAGGCAAAAAGATAGATTTGGGTGTCATCCGCATACATATGGAAGTTGACCCCATGTCTGTGGATGATGTCACCAAGGGGGAGCATGTGGATATTAAAGGGGAGAGGGCCAAGGAGAGAGGCCTGGGGGACACCAGATGTGACAGTGCGGGGGCTGGAGGAGAAACCGTGAGAAGCAACAAAGTGGAGACGGTGAGAGAGATAGGAATCGAACCAGGCAAAGGCGGGTCCGTGAAGATTAAGTAAAGAGGAGAGGCAGTGTATGAGGATGGAGTGGTTGGCAGTGTCGAAGGCGGCAGAAAAGGTCGAGGAAGACAAGGAGGCAGAGGGAGCCCTGATCACAGATGTTCATAATGTCATTAGTGACTGTGACCAGGGCTGTTTCCGTGCTGTGGGCAGAGCAGAAGCCAGATTGGAGGGAATGGCGAGAGAGAAAGGAGCGGAGCTGGGACGGGACGACTCATATCAGTGTAAATGTTCCTTATGTGTTACACAGAATTACAAACAACATTCACACAGCACAGACACAGCAACAACAACAAGAAGTTGCACCTGTATAGTGCCCTCAACGCAGGGTGGCGTCTCAGAGCGCTTAACAGTGGCGAAGCCTGATTCCGAGTCGGTGGGGGGTTGGGGGAGGTGGCCATAAGCACGGTCGAAGAGGAAGGTCTTCAGGCAGGACTTGAAGAAGGAGAGAGGGTGGGGGGTTGGGGGGCAAGGCAGAGGGATTAAGGGAGAGAGCGTGGGGGGCAAGGTGGAGAGATTGAGGGAGAAAGCGAGGGGGAGAGAGGGTGGAAAGACTGAGGGAGAGAGAGGTGGGGGTATTGAGGAACACACACCATTACCACAGCACAGAAACACACTATTCAATCTGTGTCACAGTATAAAATGTTAAAATTGATTCTGCTGCACACAGAAACATCAAGTCTGTTCGGTTTTTGTGCAGTTGTGCAACTTAATCTAATTTTATCCACTTTTCTGTGTGTTACCCATATTCTTCAAATTCCTCTTTCCCCTCTCGACTCTCTTCCTCCTCCTCGCTCCCTCCCTTCCCTCCCCTCACCCTGACCATTTCCCCCCTCCTCTCTCCCTCCCTTCCCTCCCCTCACCCTGACCATTTCCCCCCTCCTCGGGTCATGACCCAACTGTGCAGCGCCTTGGGACGTCCTCCTGACGTGAAAGGCGCTCTATAAATGGAATCTTGTTGTTGTTGTTGTTCTCAAACATCCATCAAATTCTGTTTTAATATAATTGAGACTCTGCTTTGGAGAGATTTCCACATATAAACCACCCTCTGGTAAAAAAAAATGTTTTCTAATCTCCCTGTCACTCCCTTTGTCATTTCTTCAATGCTGTGCTCTGGTGTATGGCCCAGTTTATACATCGCTGAAACAGTAAACCTCACCTATGTTGCATCAGTCGAGACTATAACATTTAATATGACTTGCACTAAGTATGAGTTGCAAGCAAACTTGTGTAAGTTGCTTAAAGTCCAATTTAATCAATAATCCACACTGTGTGTGCATAATTCACTACAGCCGGTAAGCAAGCAAGCGGCAGCTGCACAGGGCTTTGTTTCCCCCACTTGTTTCAAATGGAGTATTTTGCACACAGACGTCAACAACTGAATGAGACTCGGGTACATGTCCGACTTAAGAGAATGTATGATTTATAAACATAAGACTTATGTAAATTCTACTGTAAAATACAAAAGCGCAGACAGATTTTAAACAATTATTATTATTAGTGCTCCTGAGGTTTGATTAAGGTGCCTTTTAGGGCGTATACTGGAAGCACAGTTCTCACTTTGCTTTTCCTCAAACTATTTTCACTGGATACAACTAACTGTCCCATCACCATCGCTGCACCTCATTACCTGAAAGTCTGGCCACAGCATCCGCAGCATAAACAGCTGTGACCTCGTGCCGTGTGTCTACCACACGGATCCCAATCTTCTCGCACGCTACGAGAATGGGGGAGATGTGGCCTCCAACCAACGTGAAGACAAACTTCACATCGTGGGCCTTCAGGACATTCGCTACAATCTCACCACCATGTTTGGGGCTGTCGGGTTCCATCTGGTCAAGAGTTTGACACAAAGATCAAACCCAATGAAATACAAACACATTTCTTATACAAATGTACCCCATGTAAGGAATCCCTACACCTCCCACCAACCCACCCACCCCCTCCCCCTCAGCCCCTCCCCCCCAACCCCTCAGCCCCTCCCCTCAGCCCCTCCCCCAACCCCTCAGCCCCTCCCCCTCAGCCCCTCCCCCAACCCCTCAGCCCCTCCCCCTCAGCCCCTCCCCCAACCCCTCAGCCCCTCCCCCTCAGCCCCTCCCCCAACCCCTTCCTCACCCTCAGCCCCTCCCTCACCCTCAGCCCCGCCCTCACTCCCTCAGCCCCTCCCCAACCCCTCAGCCCCTCCCCCAACTCCTCAGCCCCTCCCCCTCCCTCACCCTCAGCCCCTCCCCACCCCTCCACCCCGCCCACAAACTCTCAGCCCTCCCCCAACCCGTCCCTCCCCCAACCCCTCTGCCCCACCCTCACCCCCTCCCCTCACCCCCTCCCCTCTGCCCCACCCTCACCCCCTCCCCTCACCCCCTCCCCTCTGCCCCACCCTCAGCCCCTCAGCCCCTCCCCCACTCACCTTGTAAATCAGGTGGTGTAACAATCCCAGTTTATAAGCGATGACGAGCAGCGCGAGAGTCGCGGACACGAGCGCCGCCCAGAGCAGCGCCAACAGGTCCGGCTCCATGTCCTGGTCGGTGTCGGGGTCCAAGTCCATGGCTGCTGTGCGGATGCGCCGCTCTGACTGCTGTGCGGATGCGCCGCTCTATCCGCTGCACCTACCTTGATTGATGGCGATTTGCTCCAATCACAGAGAGGTAGGGGCGGGGCCAGCCGTCTGGCCAATCAAATGTCTGGGGGCGGGGCCTGTGATTCATTGTTGACTGAAGGGCCAAACCCAAAGGATCACTGCTCCACGATTGGCCAATTAATGACACGTGACATGCGGATGGCGCCGCCTTGTGGCCGGAACAGCAACAGCAGGAGTGACACCTACTGGTCACAGGTGGAGCAGCAAGTTTCAGTATTGAGTATGTTTTTTTCTTTGTATTTTTAAGATTTAAACAGAAAATTCTATTGATTTTCTCAATATTGGGAGAGAAATATAGTCATATTTGTGAAGTTTGGTTATTTTTGTTGAAGTAGAGGGCCCACCCTGCCCTCGGCACCATTGGCGGTCAAGCCTTCAGCCTCTCTGCCTCCACCGTCTGGAACTCCATCCCGGAGGCCCACCTCCCTCGCCCCACCTCCCTCGCCCCCACCTCCCTCGCCCCCACCTCCCTCGCCCCCACCTCCCTCGCCCCCACCTCCCTCGCCCCCACCTCCCTCGCCCCCACCTCCCTCGCCCCCACCTCCCTCGCCTCTTCAAGTCCTGTCTCAAGACCGTGTCTTCGTCTCCTATCCTGTCCTCCTGATTCCAACCCCCAGCTCGGGTGCGAACCCCTGAATGTTCAGCCCCTGAGGACATCCTTCTGACGTGAAAGGCTTTGTATGAATGTAGTTTGTTGTTGAAGAAAATCGCTGCGTGGAGTCCTGTAGCTCAGCGGTTAGAGTCCTCGCCTCGCAAGCGAGAGGACCCGGGTTTCATTCCCAGTCGGGGCGAAAATGTTGGTTAAGTTTCCTTACTCCACACTCGCGCCTCTGTTTACTCAGCAGTAACTAGAAACCTGGTTGTCAGTCGATTGACGGATCGCTTTCCAGAGGGTAATAATCTCTTCAAAAAAATAATAATTTGGTCACTCGATCCACGGCTGTGTGTGGGGACGCCGCTGTGCGCAATTGGCTGCTGTGTTTTGCCCACAAAATACAGTCACCTCACTTTACAGTGTATCCTGTGAAGCGCTTTGAGGCGTCTGGAAGACGTGATCGGGCGCCGCGTCAAACGCCAGAATTATTATTGTTATTATTGTTGAAGAAACTTTGAAATGTTTGGAGCCGTGAGATTGAAATCAACCCTCACCCCCTCACGCCCCCCCCCCCCCACCCCCTCACCCCCCCTCCCCCCAACCCTCCCCCCCCTCCCCCCAACCCTCACGCCCCCCCCCACCCCCTCACGCCCCCTCCCCCCAACCCTCACCCCCTCACACACTCAACTCCTCAACCCCTCTTGGATGCGGACACAAACACACACGCGGGGTTGGGGGGGCGGGGCCTTTGAGGGCGGAGCCTATGGGGGCGGGGCCCGTGGGGCTGTAGGGGTGGGACCCGTGGGGTAGGGAATGTGGGGTCGGGGCCTGTGGGGCGGGGCCTGTGGGGCGGGGCCTGCGGGGGTGTGGGCTGCGGGGGCGGGGCCTGCGGGGGCGGGGCCTGTGGGGGCGGGGCATGTGGGGGCGGGGCCTGTGGGGGCGGGGCCTGTGGGGGTGTGGGCTGCGGGGGCGGGGCCTGTGGGGGCGGGGCCTGTGGGGTTTTGGGGCAAAGCCTCAGTTTGAGTTTCTCGTTCAGTTGCAGTTTCCGGTTTACCGCCGTCACTCCGCCCCTCCCCCCACCCAGAGACACAGGGACACAGGTAGTGACACACACCCTCACACACACACAGACCCTCACACACACAGACCCTCACACACACACAGACCCTCACACACACACACACACACACAGACCCTCACACACACAGACCCTCACACACACACACCCTCACACAGACCCTCACACACACACACACACACAGACCCTCACACACACACACACCCTCACACAGACCCTCACACACACACACACACACACACAGACCCTCACACAGACCCTCACACACACACCCTCCCACAGACCCTCACACACACAGACCCTCACACAGACCCTCACACACACACAGACCCTCACACAGACCCTCACACACACACACAGACCCTCACACACAGACCCTCACACAGACACTCACACACACACCCACACACAGACCCTCCCCACCCTCACACACACCCTCCCCACCCTCACACACACCCTCACGCAGACCCTCACACACACAGACCCTCACACACACCCTCACGCAGACCCTCACACACACAGACCCTCACACACAGACCCTCCTCACCCTCACACACACCCTCACGCAGACCCTGCCCCCACCCGCCACACACACATCGTGACACAGACTCTCCCCCACCCAAAGCCACTCTCTGTTTCAGTGAGTGTCCTCCCCTCTGGCTCCGGGAGCTGACAGTCATTGTGTGCGCTGGGCTCGTCCTCTTGTTGCTGGACGTCAGAGAAGGAATGAGGTTGGAGTAAAACCGAGTGAAGCGATGGATAAAACGTTTCTTCCAAACGTTGTAAACTTTGCTGTCCTCCAGGTTTGAATCTCGATTCTGTTCTGAGATTCTGTGCTGTTCAGCACCTTGGGACTTCCTCCCAATGTGAAAAGCGCTGTTTAAGTGTAAGGATTATTATTATTTTTTATATTACAAATGTAAGTGTTGTTGAGGTAGCTGATCTTAGCTGGGCTCGTTCAAGGAGGATAAAAAAATCTGCAAAGGGACTGGAGGTACGTGTGTGTGGATAGGTTTGCTGAGTTGCTCCTGCGCTCAAATAACCTGCTAACACACTGTCAAGCTTCATATGTGATGAATCTCTCTTGGGGTGAGATGCTGGAGCAAGATGTTGGACTGCGGTCATTAGAAGGACATTCGTGAGAAAAATATTCAAAAACTGAAGTTGTCGGCTTTTACGTCATTTTTCTGCCTTTTGGTCAGTGTTTGGTTTGAGTGTTCAGTGACTCGATTTAATTCTTTGATTCAAATGTATGACTGAAACATTGTGTGAAGCTAATATCGATCACTTGTCTCCATTCAGAACTCTGCAACCTGTGTCCTCTCCCAGACCTCGCTCTGTGAGCCTAAGACTCCCGGCTTCCCATCCCCCAGTAGATTGAATTCAAGATCCACAATTTCACTTTCAAATGTGTCCATCACCCCATCTTATCTCTGATCTCTTGCAACCATTCTGCCTGATCACTCCCACTGCTCAGCAGACAACAATTTGTTTAAATAGCACCCTTCATGTGATAACATCACCCGAGTACTGAAAAAGCACCAGCCTATTTAATGCACCATCCAATTCTCCCCACTGGTGGGAGAGGAGCTTCCATCCATTCTGCTTCTGCTCTGGATCCTACCCCGTAGTCTCTGCATTTCCCTTACCCTCCTTATCTTCAAAATATGCCTGAGGTCCTATCTCTTCAATCACACTTTTGGCCACCTTCTCCCCCTTACCTCCTGCTTAGGCTGCCAGTTAAAGAACTTCAGGTCGTCTTCCCAGCATGAAAGGCACAATATAAATTAATTGTAAAATTGTAATTGTGTCTGGATCTGGAGTCCAACAGTAATCGTCTGAAAAAGTGCTTCTGCACTCCTACTGACCATAGAACAGTACATTTCTGCCCTGTTTCTTGTCTAGAAGTGAAGTGACATTTGCTAACAGCAGTTGAACGATGTGAACCACGAGGCCTGATTCACGTTTTTGTGCTTTTAGACTCATTGACATTGCGTGAAACTTCAAATACCAGTTGCTAGTTTTTAATGTAATGGCGAACTGACAGTTGCTGGAACAACGTGATGTGGTTTCTTTAGAGTTTCTGGGAATTCTCAAGGCTGTATTATATTGACTGGAATTTCATTCTATTCTCACTGCCTGTGTTGCTTTCAAGTGCAGTGACTGTTTATTGTCAGAAAATATGAGTCAAGTTTTTCAAATGAAGTTAGAATAGTGAGTCCTTATTTTTAGATGTCACTTACCTTGAGATTTCTTTGTGTCTTAGATACTGGATGGCATCAATCATGAGCCAGGATTCAAATGAGGGGAATTCCAAAGATGAAGCACCATCTGCAAAAAAGCCCAGGTACAGTATTTATATTGCTATAATCTAGTCTAGTCTAAGAACACAAGAATTTTCTGGCGAAAGAAGGCCAAGATCCATCTAGTTCGCCTTCCGTCATCCTGGCCGTCGCTTGACATGTCATGTCCCGAACTATACACTGTATCCTGAGATATTATTTTCTAGCAGAAATCTGTCTAATTTGTTCTTGAAACAAATGACATTTCCTGCTTCCACTGTCTCCCTGGAGAGCCTGTTCCATAAATTTACTACTCTCTCATTGAAGTAGGATTTCCACAGATTTGTTCTGAATTTACCCCCCTTCAGTCGTAGGCCATGTCCTCTGGTTCTACTGTTCAGTACAAGATAAAATTTCTTATCTATTATCTACTCACTTCAGAATCTTAAAGACCATAATCATATGGCTCCTTAACCTTCTCTTCTCCAGTTGTACAATTACTGCCTGAGATTTGGTGCTGGTGATTGGAACAGCTCAGGTCCCGCTCTGATGCCACAAATGATTAAACTTTTTATGATCTTGTGAAAACTGGTCTGCAAGATGTGCTGCCACTAAATGTCACTACTCGGCTGGTGAAGCCGATTCGATAACAACTTTTAAGACAAGTCGATAATTATTTGGGGAGGACAAGTTTCAGGGCTATGGGGAGAGAGCGAAGGAGTAGGATTGATTTGGACAGCTCCTTCACAGACACGATGGGCTGAATGACCTCCTTCTGTGTTGTATGATTCTGTTGACCGATCCCTTTCCAGTCAATCAACGTACTAATAGTCTTTTAAGAATATTTATTGAAATCAGAATCACCTTGCCTTTGGTCACACGGTAACCTCTACAAATAAAAGCAAGCGATATTACCCGAGATTGGGAGCTGGCCAAGCTTCCTCAAGTCTGGATGTCTCTCTCTTTCCTCGTCCCAGACGTAGGCGTTTAAGATGTTCCTTCTTCTTCGATGTGGATATTTCCTCGTCCCAGACGCAGGGATTATCCGATAGTTCTTCAAATGTAAAGTCTGCTGATCAGTTGGTCTCCGGAGTCGATCTCTCGAACAAAAGACTCACCAAAGTTTTATAGTCCCAGGCAACCTTTGATCACGTCGCTCATTTGCTGGCCCTGTAAGACCCTGCTCAATTCCAAGTTCGGAGTTGTTTTGTTCCTTTGCCCCAAACCGATCTGACTGGTTTTGTCTGGGTTTTTCTGGCTGCTCACCGTGCACATTGTCCGATAGTAACCGTTTCTTCATTCTGCAACAATTCTGATACTGTTTTGTCCGATTTACTCGGGTTCCTGAATTAACCGGCGTCCAGCTAAAGCAGCTTCCACTGCACTGCATAAATCCAGATGGAATTTCTTCCCATATTTTGTTCTAATGTGTTGTTGAATTGCCACTTATTTTTAATTAATTTTTCTTTAGTTTGAAAATTCCTATTGTCATCAAAGCAAAATGAAAATAGGAACTCTATATAAAAAGATTTTATGTGACCCAACAGGAAGCTTTTGCCAAGTCTGAAAACCAAAAAGCCACAAGACTTGGTGCTGGTGATTGGAACAGGTGTCAGTGCTGCAGTAGCCCCCGAGGTCCCTGCTCTGAAGTCCTGGAAGGGACTGATCCAGGCTTTGCTTGATGCCGCCAATGACTTTGATCTCCTGGAGGATGAGGAGAACAAAAAATTTCAAAAATCCCTCCATGAAGATAAGAACCTGGTACATGTTGCACATGACTTGATACAGAAACTCTCGCCGGTGAGTGAATGTTTAAAACCTTTCAGTAGCTTCAGAAATCAAACAGCAACTTTAAGCCATTTGAGCTGAAGGAACTACTAATTTTGTCTCTGGATCAGTGATAATATTTCTAGGCAAATCAAGAGACCTGTGAGAAGAGTGTATTGCATTATACTTTCATATGTGCATCGTCCATTGATGACCGAAGGCAGATAGAGGAAAGTCAAAGAGGAAGGTCTGGAGACGGACCTTGAAAGAGGTGAGGGATGGGGTGAGTCAGAGGGACTCTGGGATGGAGTTACAGAAGAGCTGGGGTAGTTTGGCTGAAACCCGACCAATGCTGGTGGGGTGGGGGACATGAAGCAGCCAGTACCTGCTGAGCGCAGGGAGAGGCTGGGTCAGTACAGTTTCAGGAGGTCACAGAGCTATGGTGAGGCAATACCGTAGAAGGATTTAAAAGCGAGCACGAGGATCTTGAGCTTGCTCTGTTGGGGGATGGGGAGCCAATGGAGCCGGGTGAGGGTGGAGGTGATTGGCTTGCGGAGCCTAGTACCGGAAAGAACATTCTGCAGAGTTCTGGATGGTCTGCAGCTTCTGAACGGATGAGTTGGGTGGTTTGGCTAGAAGGGCATTGGCGTAATCAAGCCTGGACGAGGAGCTTTACTGGAGATGGTAACTGCTCTAACTGACAGAGTGAACAACTTTTTCAATCCTGGATGTTACTGTAGAAGCCAATCCTTTGCCTGACCTTAAGTATCTGCTGGGTAGGATTGGCATTACAGTAATCAAATGGATCCTGACCTTTTACTTAGCACACAAGCTGCTCACTTTATTGGTGTCAACTGAACGGGAATGGGTTCTTCTGCATTTGAAATGTCAGACTTTTGAACTGTTACTGAGTTCACAAGAAACCAGAATCTGTTTTGAAATGTAATGGTACGAAAGATCAGAATCTCCCCCCTCCCTCACATAGATTTTCCTTTTAACTGAGGAATATGATGTCTTCATCAGCTCATTTTTTTTGTATTTGTAATATATTTTTAAAGCTTTGTTATAAGCATGTGCTTACAGCCAGGGTAACAAAAGGATAGAACTTGCCCGAAAGGCCTATAGATTTTGATGAGCCAACCTCTCAAAATGACATATGGAATAGTAGTGTTCCTAGACTTCCAAAAGCCAGTTGGTAAAATTCCACACGCGAGACTTCTTTACACTAGTCAGTATCAAGAATAAGACATTGACGTGGATTATTAAGAAAATAAAGGGAACAGAGGAAAGGAATGTATCAGACAACACAAGTCAAATCAACTCGACAGCAGAGTGAGTATTCTGGAATGTTGAGATAAAATGGGCCATTGAAATCTTTAGTGATTGATTCTATATTTCACTGTTGTTAGTTGGTTAGCTTCGCTGATTATTTGCTTAATACTCCACAGCGCACAAGCAGTGTCAGATCAACCTTCTTTAAAGACTGTTTGTATGAAGTTTTTGACGACTTGGAATCGAAAATGGATGACGTTGGGAAGCACCTGTTGCACTCAGTGCTGAAACTGATGGAGAATGGAGCCCTGGTTTTAACCACAAACTTCGATAATCTGGTGGAGATCTATGGCACTCACCAAGGGCAAGAACTAGAGTCATTAGACCTTACTGATGAGAAAACGGTAAAGATATGATACTCTAGTCATTTCTAGTTGAGCAAATTTGTGTTTGTGCAAGTGCGTAATGTCAGTAAGCCTACCTGCTCCAGATATGACTTTTCCTTTAAAGTGTGAAGGCAGAAAATGGCCACTTCACAGACAGATACATAGAAGATGAGCTCTTGGTCCTGTTGAATCAAACTTAGAGAATCAAACTTTCTGCTCCATTGTGGCTTGATGTATGATGGGACTCAGTCAGGGCTGAGTGGATCTGAAAATATTTTTGTTTGGTTAGTTGGGTGTCTGACAGATGCAGAAACCCATCACCGTACTTAAGAGTATCCAAACCACACTGAGAATTCCATGCATCCCACTTACACATGGAAATTCCAGATAGATTGTTGGAATGGAATGTGCACTCTTTCCCTGGAGGGACGCATCCTAATTCCGGGGGTATTAGGCACAGGTTGGCAAGAGCCAAGGCTTGGGAAGCTCAGAGTCTGCGTTGGGGTAGCTACTGGAGGCTAACCAGCTAAAACCGCATAGTTTACCATTGATACCATTGTCTGCAAGCTTTCCCGCTGCTTTTCCAGCTAGGACCCCCAATCCTACCTTTTAGGGTGCAGGGTTAATAGGAGCTGAGTTGGAGGATTCCCTGCCCCCAGTGACTGGTCTGTGTTATCATCAACAATGAACCTGGAGGACTGAGGACCTGCCTTGCTCAGGAACCAAAACAACAAAGAGAATAAGCTGTGAAGATGTTTGCGATTAGAAAAGAAGTATTGGTGGAAGATCAATATTTCTTTGCTGACAAGAAGAATGTCTGTTCTATGTTTGGTAATTGCAAGAAAGGTGGAAATAAACATAGGTTATAGAAACTTAACCAATTTGGTAAGGGGAAAGCAATACAGTTATCACAATGAATCACGTTAATCCACAACAAGCAGTTTTCCCCCTAAAGCTGTTTCTTTTTTCTGTTTGTTGTCAGGTAATGGAATGGGCCCAAGGGAAACGAAAGATGAGCGTATTACATATTCACGGAGTTTACACAAACCCAAGTGGGATCGTCCTACACCCTGCGGGCTACCAGAACGTGCTGCGTAACACAGAAGTGATGGTAGGTTACATGTCGCTCTCACTGTCTCAATGTAAATATTACAGTATAATATTTTATATGGTTTATCTAGCTAGGACCACCTTGCCTACAAGGACTTTGGCTTGCATGGTAAACACGTTCTCAGTGGGAAAAATCCCCCAGTAGTTTGTTTTAAACAGGGAAGCATTTAGAAAGTGGTTGTTTTAATGTACTTTTTATGTAATAATGTGTTTTAAAGTGTAAATGCCGGAAAAGGCTGCTTGACAGACAGGATGAGCTCTTGACATTGTGGAATCACGCTAAGGTACTGCTCCATTGTAGCTTGATGCCACTGGACTAAATACCTGTCTCCATTTTACCCAATTTAACCATTGAAATTTAACTGCAATGCAGGAAATGTTTGGAGCATTTCATGTTCTCCTTTTCCTGTAACCAGTAGTGTGGAAATCCCACATCCTTGAGTCGGTTTTGAATTTGATGTAAAGTGGAAACTCACCAATAATGTTAGCAAATGGACTGAGACATTCTCACCACGAGCGAGTTGACCTCACCAGTGAGTTAGCATTACTATACTATATAACATAATGCTGAAATGAAAGTCTGTAGACAGTCATTGTATTAGGAAGTTGACCACAGTAGTTGAACTTAAGGTGAGTTTCCATTTACTTTCATTAGGATGGAGATGTAGACATGAGTGGCTATAATTTCAGTTCCTAATCTTCACGGAATAGATGCTGCTGTAAAGTTTATGTTTAACTTATTGAACAGAGGGAAATTCAACAGTTGTACGAAAACAAGGCCTTTGTCTTCCTCGGCTGCGGGCGGACAGTTGAAGACACAACGTTTCAGGCATTGTTCCTGGAAGCAGTGAAACACAAATCTGATCTGGAGCACTTCATGCTCGTGCGTAGGGATGATGTGGACGAGTTTAAAAAGCTTCGTGAAAACATGTTGGACAAAGGGATTAAAGTGATCTCTTATGGAGACGAATACTACCACCTTCCTGAGTACTTCGAGAGGCTGGCCAGCGAGATATGTACGCGGGGAAGACACGGTATGCTTTTTTGGAGAAAGTTCTAATCAAACAGTAATGAAACTGGCAGCTACAACTAGATCCCACCAAATAAATTTGTTCCTCCATCTTGTACGGTAACTAGCAAAGAGAAAATTCCTTTTGACCATATTGGATACATCAAAAATACCATCAGCTGGTGGTGCATCAGGTGAGGCCATTCTCACAGACAATGAGACAATGCACTGCCTCCAGTTGTAGGTCACCACCCTTCTGTCTGCTGATACATTACAATATAAGCCCCTGGGTCATGGCTTGTGCCAGGCCACAGAGGGATCTGATCCCAGAATTGTGGCTTTGGCGCTGGGCAACAGGAGTGGTTTTCAGCCATTGCCCACCAAGGCTGACTGGGATGAAATCTGTGAGGATTCATTCCAAGACATCACACTGCCCTACTGTCACCCCATCATCTATTCAGAAACTCTACAAAAGTCACACTTGACACATTGAGTTTTCAACATAATGGGTATTGCCAGTTTGCCCTGTTTAGTTAGTTTTCCAAATGTGCCACATGTAATCATTAGCAAATACAATTTATGCTCAACAACTATTGCAGGCACCTGAACCGAGTCTGACACTGAGTTAAGCACTCTGGGACATTGCCCGGCATGAAGGGCACTATATAAATGAAGTTGTTGTTGTTGACACAATTGCTGTGCAGGACCATGCGGGATCCCAAAGACAACTGTATTTCCATTCAGCAGGTGGTGATTGGGAATGGCTCTAATTTCCGTAATTTCCACTTTTAGCTTCTCACAGACCAGCCCACTCCTGACACATGAATAGCCATCTTCCAGATAAGACAAGAGGCCTGCTGAAAATTATTCTCAATAAATAGATACTGTAATTTAGAATTAGGACAGAGAGCACTAATGTTTGTTGGCAGATGGGGTGGGGGAAGGGTTTTCACTATTAACATTATTAGAAAACTAAAACCATTCAAAGGAATTTTGATAAAACAGACAGAATTCTTTTTTGTGTGCCCATATTATTGTTAAATGGTTAAATGGAGCATTATGTCCAAGTGCAGTTACTGGTCTAATTGTTTGTGAGAGAAGAGAATGGTCATAAAAGCACATCAGGAGCCTCACTGCTATTGTTCCCAAATTATTTCATTAGTACTCACTGGTATAGGGCCTTTCATGTTAGGAAGACATCCCAAATCACTTCACAGAATATTCTTTAAAGTGTAAACACCGCATCCAAGTTGCACACACTACGAACAGTGAATGACCAATTTTATTTGGGGAATTGTTGCCCAGCTCACTGGGAGTCTGTCTCCCTTCTCTTTTTGAAGAGTGCATTGGGATCTTTAACATCCATCTGAACAGTGAGATGATGCTTGACAATGAAAGTATCTACTACTCACAGCCTTTGCTTGCTTACTTTGCTTGCCACCCACTCCTATCTTGAATTTACATTGTTAACATTGAGGACAGTATTAATTGATCAGCCTCCGTCATCTGGACAGTGCAATTACAAAGAAATGCAACTAACTGTTATTAGATTTTCTGATCAACAAAGACTTGTGCTGATTTTCATTGTTTTTCCAGAGAATATACCACCCAATCATCTTTCTCCATATCACAGGATAAGGAAACTGTTGAGTGGAGCAGGGCTGAGGGAGTCTAATTAGGCCAGGGATAAGTGAAGTTCAATTGAACAAAGTTGCTTTACCAATAAAATTGCATGTTGTAATCCTCAACCCATGGAGAGCGGCATGAATTAATGGTGCCAGCTGCGTTCCAAAGCAGTTTCATTTATTTTCAGGGACGTGAGCTTGATTGGTTATTACTGACCTTTGCTGTAGTCAAAGACCTCTTGATTGTCTCTGAACCAATGCAAATCGCCAGGATTCTTCTGTAATGTACATGTGGGCTGCATGAGGATACGTTGGGCTGCACAGCTTACAGACTTGCTCTCTCTGGTCAAACTTCAAGGAAAAGTTAGTTGGTTGAGGCACTGAAAGCTTTGGCACCTTTGGAAACACACTCATGCCTTCCTGAGTCACAGGGAGACCAATAATAGACTGATTCAAAGGAGGAAACCTCAACAATAGTTATGCAACTATTGTATTGAAACTTCAACAACATAACTATTGTATTTGTTACTACAGCTGTAACATACTGTGTAATTCCAGTGTCTGTGCGTTTAACTGTTCTCTTTCTATCAGCCACAGGAATAGTCAATGATGGCTGTACATTAAAGAATGGTCCTGTTTCAGGAAACAGTCAAGGTACAAGTTCAGAATCATTTTTAGGATACAAGACCAATGTTTACATAATAATTTCATGTGATTAAATACAATATCAGTGGTACGCTTAGAGTAGCCGAGTCTTTGTCTCTGCTTTTCATTTTGCAAGATCCCAAATTAAATTAGGGAGAAAAATGAGAAGTCTTAAAATGTGATCCAGTGAACAATCTTCTTGTGCTGGCTGACAGTTCAAGTTGCAGCCTCCGCCACAATTGATTAGTGCCTTTTGCATTTGGGTCAAGGGAAACTACACTGCCGCATTTTGCCAAAAAAGTCAATTCACTTTACAGTATATTCTGTGAAGCATTTTGAGGCTTCTAGAAGGCGTGATAAGATGCTATGTCAAATGCAAGGATTATTTAATTTTATTAGATACTTATTGTCTCTCCTGTCTCCTGTCCAGATCAGAGAATTGATGCAAAAGATAAAATGTTGGGGAGATGAGTATTTATGTGCTCTTCACCATGAGAATACTGCAACGGAGGCCCATTCTGGGAGTTACCAAAGTGACCAAAGCTCATTATCAGAGCTGGTGGAACGGAAGCATATGGTGACAATAGAGTTTGTATTCACTTCATTACAGCTGTACTCAAACACTCCAGCTTCTTCAGGCATCTATAAAGCAAACATACTCAACTTCAAAACCAGTTTTGTTCTTCTGCACATTAAGATGGATTTGATAGACTGGAGCATCAACAAAGATTTGCAAGGCCTAATGGTTCTTGCTGTTATTGCAGTTAGTTTGGTGTAGTAATTTTATACTTTAAATGACATTGACTTGTGTACAAAGTATTTTTATCATTAAACACTTAATGATATTGCTGTGATGTAGATAATCTATTACAGCACAACCTCAGTAGAAACTTCAGAACATCGGTGATATTTGTTGGAATACCAGTGGGTGGAGGGGGGGGCAGGTCACACCTGCAATTTCTCCATGCGGTACCTTTGTGATCAATGGTGATGTAAGAACTTATTGCTAAGGTATAGTAAGGTTTTTGTATACAAATACAGCAGCCATTATTCAGGATTTCACAAATAGCTATGAGATGAATGATTGAATAATCAAGATTGTTGGCCAAAAAATCCTTTCTCACACACACACACACACACACACACAGGATTAAATGTGATATCACCTTCTCCTGCAGGACATAGGTTCCAAATTCAGATTAGAATAATTGGCTGCTAGTGAGTTGCAAAGTGTCCTAACAACAATTACATCCATGGCATTCCTTTTCTCACTACTTGTTTGTAAAGAGGTCTTTAATGTGGTACTTTCTCATATGTCTTTTCAAAGTCATGGTGGACATCGATTAGGTAGTCACTGCAGAAACAATTTTTTTTTATATTAGGCAGTGTTGCAGGTTTCCAGGATCATAATACTTAATACATTAATTGATAAGATAGCACTGCATCAGGCAAATGGATAGTCAAGTAAGCTGAAGAATGAGATAGTCATGATATCTCCTTTCCCTGTTATCTGAGCTTCCACCCAGATTTAAATGTTTTCAAATATCGCAAATCTCTCTGCCTTCGACTCACAGGAAATAGGCTGATTCTGCATCACATACAGGTCAAAACTCACTTAAAGGCACACACTATGTTGGTGCATAGAAATGAATCAGATACTGAATTATTTTCTAATACGAACAGAAAATTGCTCTTGTAAATTGAATAGAATCAAGAACCTTTCAAATAATCCATGTACTCACCTTGCAATGACATATCCACCAACAAAATAAACACCTTTAAGCCTCATGAAGGCCATGGCTGACAATTATAGCAGCTTTATTTAATAAATTCTCTTTACAATTTCTCTGTAATTCCTAGGCAGCCAGTACTGATATTTATTGCACTACTTAGAATTAACAATGTTGGTAAAAAAAAGCACTGAATTTATTTTTGTCCATCAGTTATGCAGTACACTTCCCTGTGTTTTTATTTAAAAAGCATAATCAGAGTATCTGCAGAGAACTGAAGGAGGTAATATGCTGAAAATGTTAGTGATAGACAAATGCCACAAAGCACATTCAACATTGATCCTTCAATATGTAGGGAAATTCAGCAAGGGCTGTTGTGGGGAGCAGAAGGTTGCTGACTGTTGGTTGTATTAAGACAATAGTGAGAAGCAGGTGTTTAAGCCTTGATCAGAGCGCTCACGATGGCCTTGGCATTGAGGCTTCGCAAGTCGTTGTATGTCTGTCCAGTTCCAACAAAGACTATTGGCTGGCCAGTAATGTAGGTCATAGAGATAGCAGCACCAACCTAAAAGTAAGAAAAATTGAAGTATCACTGAGATCCTATTGTGCAAATGGGTTTGCTCCATACCACATTACCTTCAGTCACGAGCCAATGTTCATGAGCACTACTGTTTTACAGGAAAAATTGTGAATTTTGAGACAAGGAACAAAAATCTAAATTACCAATTGTTTTAAGTTTGGGGACCATTGTTGGTTTAATTGATCCCAATTTAACATCTCAAGATGCCTACATCAAGTTGGTAGGTTTGGGAGAGCACTAAAGGTTATGAAATAATGTTGGAAAGTTTTCTGGTTTGCAGCCTTGGTGCAGTGTATTATGAGGCAAAAACACTTGTCTATGGGAAAGGACAATTTAACAAAGCACCAAGTGGACCAGTCCACGTACTGCATCTGTTTATTCATATAACTATCGTTGCAGTTGATACAGCACCATATCACATTTAACAACTTATCCGAAGGACAGCACTTTGAACAATACAGTACTCCCCAGCATTGCATTGGAGTGTCAAACTAGACTTTCAAAATGTTGAAATGGGGCTGGAACCCACACTACTAACTCAGAGCATGCTACCAACTGAGTCAGTGACACCTTATTAAATATATTACCCTACATTCATTTGATATAATGTATTCGCAGTTTGTAACTGTGATTAACACTAGACATGTACTGAATGTACGCAGTTATACACTTATCTGTTATACACCAGGTCTAATGTTTCCATTAATTTTTGCTTCCTCTTAAGATTCACAAATATTTCACCACACCCAGAAATGTAAATTCTTAAGACATTAACTTTCCTATGTTACACAATTCATTTTGTCTACTTTGGTTTTCCCTTCTTACCTTATCATCAATTGTATCAAATTTAGTCAGTACAATGCCATCAATCAGCTGTGGTTTCTCAATCATAGAGTGATCAGCCAAAGCCTGGTTAAACTTCACCTTAGAGGAAGACAGAGAGTTAGTATTTACAAACATGGGAGAATTAGCAGCCAGTCTGAAAACACAAAGCCAGTATTTTATCTAATAATGCAGGAAAAATAAGCATCAGAACCTACAAATATCAACAGGTATGTCAGGCTGGCTCAGTAAGAAGCTCTCTTTCTTGTGAATCAAGTAGAGGTTGCAATCCAAGTGAACTTTCTATCCAAACCACCACATTAAGCTCTACACCATATGCCCTCAATTTCTCCAACAGCGTTTGGCATCAAATTCTCACAATCATGTATATACATAGTTCATACAACAACTTCCATTTATATCGCGCTCTTGACAGAGGTTAGTATCTCGGAGCAATACAGTATGAAAACAGGCCATTTGGCTCAAATAGTGATTCAATTGAATATAGTAGAGTCTAATACTTACCAACTGATCCACGGCCTCATTTCCCACCAGGGCCTCACCAACAAACAGAACCAGATCTGGCATGTTGATGGCAATGAGCTTGGCAAGCGCAGTCATCAAAGGGGTGTTGTCCTGCATTCGGCCTGCGGTGTCCACCAACACCACATCAAATTCATGGTTTCGAGCTACAGAGAAATGTACCACTTCAGTAAAGACTACAATAGTTATTGAAAAGATTAAACTGAAAGGCTCACACACAATTCATTTCTCAGGAAAGACACCTCAATAGACCATGTCTTGCTTCAACAAACTACAACTTGGTGTTTTCCTCCTAATAACCTCTCTGCCCCACCCCCCACCTCGTAAACTAGCATTCACATTCAATCCAGTTGGATGAAGTTCATCTCCACACACATCACCCAAAATCAAGATTCACAGTAACCGTAGCTATTTAAATAGGCTCTTTATTCAATATATTTTCAGTTTCTTTTTGTATTTGTGTACTAAGTGTTCTGCTCATGGTCTCACTAAGTATTGTGTAAAAATACTTACACTTTTTTAAAAAGTATTTATTAAGTATTGTATAAGGATTGGAATGAAAATGTTATTACAACAAATTAAAAAATAATTTACCAAATGCAATGGCCTCCATAGCAATTCCAGCAGCGTCCTTCCCATAGCCTCTTTCAAAAAGCTGCACCATGGGCTGTCCATTGTTCTTCTCTGGTGGATGCAACGAGTTCAGGCGATGAGCATGAGTGCGGAGCTGTTCTACAGCTCCAGCTCGGAAAGTGTCGCATGCAGCAATTAGCACCCGAAATCCATTCTCCATCAGCCAAAAAGAGATCTCCAGAAAATAAAGAACAGTTTACTTTATTCAAGATGGACTGAACATTTGATCATGTCAATAGAGAAATACAATCTGTGGAAGTCAATCCAGCCTTGAATAAACAAAACAACAACAAATTACATTTATAGAGCGCCTTTCGCGTTGGGAGGACGTCCCAAGGTGCTGGACAGTCAGGGGTCAGGACCCAAGCATGGGATTGGGTAGGGGTGAGGGAAGGCAGAGAGGTGGGAGGGCGACTGAAAGCACGATCGAAGAGGAGAGTCTTGAGACCGGCCTTGAAGGAGGCAAGGGAGAAAGCAAGGCACAGGGACTGTGGAATGGAGTTCCAGAGTGTGGGGACAGAGAGGCTGAAAACCAAGCCACCGATGGTAGGTCAGGTCAGGTGGGAGACACGGAGCAGGCCAGAGCCTGCTGAACGGAGAGAGCGGACATGTTGGTAGGGAGTCAGTGGGTCAGAGAGGTAGGAGGGGGCGAGGCCAGGGATGGCCTTGAAAGTGAGGACGAGGATGTTGAATTCGATTCTCTGGGGGATGGGGAGCCAGTGGAGTTGGGAGAAGGTGGGAGTGATGGGGTCACGGAGCCTGGTGCGCGAGACTACATGAGCTGCAGTTTTGGATGATCTACATGTGGAAATTTACCCCATGATGTCACTAAGGGGGAGCATGTAGAGGGTGAAGAGGAGGGGACTGAGGACAGAGCCCTGAGGAATGCCGCACAAGATGGTGCGGGGGCTGGAGGAGAAACTGTTTGCTGAGACGAAGTGGAGGCGATGTGAAAGGTAGGACCTGAACCAGTCAGGGACAGAACCTTGGAGGGTGCGTTGGAGGAGAGGCAGTAGAGGATTGAATGGTTCAGTGTCAAAAACGCAGAGAGGTCGAGGAGGACGAGGAGGCAGAGGAAGCCCTGGCCACATATGGTCAGGATGTCATTTGTGACCTTGACCAGAGCAGTTTCACCCGATTGGAGGGGCTCATGGAGGGGCTCATGGAGGGAGTGGGAGGAGAGGAAAGAGCGAAGAACAGATTAAGCATAGCTAGATACCAAATCTAGGGTTGGAGAGGGTTGGGAGCTCCTGAAATATCCTGTGAGCTCAGTGTTACCCATACCGCAGTCAGCACTAAAGAACGCATTCGCATATTGTGAAAATGAATTAGGCATCAGAATCAAAAGCACCTGCAACCACTTCAATGCAAAATGCAAGCTTCCTCATAAATTAAGATAGTTTTCTACTTCACATCAATCTGTGCTAAATTTACAGACTCAATCAGTTCAGCTGATATGTACCAGCTCTGCAATAATAACTCAGATTTGATCATCTCTAGGGCAAGGCAAGCACTCAATGTCAGAATGGTGAAAAGTGGGCTCTATGTGACAATCAGAAATAAATATACAGCCGATCAGGAAGCCTTGAACAAATCTTTATGCAAATGACAGTCGTAGCAGGGATGCTATTCCTGGAAATGAAGACAATTGCAGAGCATTTGAAAGATGTAATCAATCGACTAGAAGCAAAATGCAGAAGAGCTATTAAATTAGGACTGTACATGAGTTACAGATAACTACCAGCTTGGCAATACACTTTAGTAGCGTTGATTTAACATGTTAGTATTGATGATGTACATCATCTCTACTATATGGATTTCTCACCCACCTTGGCAAGGTTAGTAGATTTCCCAACTCCATTTACGCCGCAGAAGGTAATGATAAAGGGCCGTCTCTGTTTTTGGGCTTCAATGACATCACGCAGAATATCCACACGCCTCTTTGGCTGAAGGATCTGTACGAGGGAATCCTGCAAGGCTTGCTTCACTGTGGAGGTTACCGCTGCAATTAAAATGATCAATTAGCAAACTACTCATATGAACATCATTAAAGACGGTCAACTTTTCCCCTCCTCTTCATTCTTCGCCCCTTCTCTTGAGAAAAGTGACTCAATTACAGTAAACCATTACAAGGTCCCAAAGTGGCTGTTTCTGGGTAAATTTAGGTAGCACGTGTTAGCAGGCTATTCAACTCTGATGGGTACCACATCAGAATCAAACACCCTCAACCAGTCTTCATGCAGAGGCCAACAGATAGGAACTTTGGCTGTTTTGGGAGTAACCAGTCACCATAACTGATTGACCTTTCAGGTGCCAGCCTGGCTCACTTGGTAGAACTTCTTGCCTCGGAGACAGAGGGTTGTGGGTTCAAACCCCATGTTGGGAGCTTCAGCTCAGTCTAGGCCGACTCACGAATGCAGTGCTGGGGCTATGCTGCATTGTCAGAGCTGCTGTCCTTAAGATAAAACATTAAACCGAGGCCCACTCTGCCTGTTCAGTTGGATATTAAAATCCCATGGCGCTGCTCAAAAAGGGAAAGGAGTTTCTCCCAGTGTTCTGGACAGCCAGCATCCAAATAAATTGATCATTCATTTCATAGCTATTTATGCGACAATGCTGTGCAAAAATTGGCTGCCACATTTGCCTACGAATAGTTATCATTGCCATACCATTACAATTACCATATCAATACATCCAGTAAAAATGTACACTGGCCTTCCCACCCAACCACAGTTGCTAAATTATCCTGACAATTTGCCACACTATCACAAACTCAGAGAGTCTGGACCAAGCTACAAACCGACTTACTGCTGAAAGTTCCCATGACTTTTCCCTCCAGCTTTTTGGCCACCGATTCACAAAGTTGGACTGCGATGTCAGCTGCAACATTTTTAGCTTTGTGGGAGGGAGGAAAAAAAAACTTAACTTTTAGGCAAATTATCTAATAAATGTCTAATATATTTGCATTGTAATATACAGCAACAACTTGCACTGATATAGCGCCTTCCACACAGGGTAGCGTCTCAGAGCGTTTAAATATAGACAAACAGGACTTTTTTTTTGTTGACACATGCAGAAACCATCACCATGCTTAAGAGTATCCAAACCAAACTGCAATTTCCATGCATCCCACCTATACATGAAAATTCCAGAGATATTCGTTGGAATGGAATGTGCACTCTCTTTCCGGAGGAACGCATCCTGCTTACCTAATTCCGGAAAGTATTACATGCAGGTTGGCCAAGGCTTGGGGACCCCTGCGTTGGGGTGACTGCAGCATCTAATCAGCTAAAACCGCATAGCTTGCCATTGAAAGCACTGTCTGGCAAGGTTACTGCTGCTTGTCCAGCTAGGACAATCCTAACATTTAGGGCTTTGACTTCCAGGGTTAATGGGAACTAAGTGTAAAGAATCCCTGCTCCTAGTGATTAGTTTTGCCTTCCAAGTCCTGCCGATGAGCCAACCTGCTCTAGAGTACTGTGGATCTGCCTGGCTCAGGAACTTGATTTCCAAGACCGCCAGAGGGTTGTCTCGATTCCAATATTCGGTTGCCAGGCATGTTACCTTGATCCAGTTCAGCTCCAGGGAGACCCTGCATACCTCTCCCCTATGCCCTAAGGAGGATAGCACTAGTTGGGTCATCCAACAAGCAAGGGTTTGAGAACCTCACTATGTTACTTACCAGGAACTCCCAGCAAGCTACATGGTGGGCAACACAACAACTTCCACCCTAGTGCCCTCCACGTAGGGTAGCGCCTCAGAGTGCTTAAACGTGGTGGAGTCTTGGGGGGAGGGGTGACCATAAGCACGTTCAAAAAGGAAGATCAATATGAAATGTGTAACAGCATTACCATGATCTTCCTCTTGCACCTCGGACACACATCCCTGCCCACTGAGTGATGGTTCTACCAGTTGGAGGTACTGAGCTTAAGCAGCAGCTGCTTACCTCCCTGCAAGCCAATCAAGGTGGATTCCAGATGGTGGATGTACGAATGTGTTCACAAAGGATATCTTATAACATTACAAAGAACAACTCTAGACCTACCAATTAGGTGATCTTTCATCTTTTCAAGCACAGGTTCCATGTCCTGAGGAGTAAGGCTTTTAGATCCAACCAAGCCCTTCAGCATTCCTAGCATCCCTCCAAAGCCAGCTCTCTTCTCACTGCATGCAAAAGGTTTATAGATCAGTGCATTTCAAAATTCATGTCACAGTTTTGATTTCCATTCAAGTTGAAGGAGGATTGTTATGAAGATGTACCTGGTCTTTGAAACTTCTTGGATAACACTGTGCTCTTCCTCCTCCTGCTCCTCAGAATCACTGCTATCATGATCCACATCTTTCAGATTTCCTTTCATTGACTCAAGATGCTTGCTCTGAAATGCATAAACATTGCAATATTCATATTAATTTTTAAAAAATAAATATACCTTCAAATTAGAACAATAATCCTTACATTTCATGCATAACACCTTTCTTGTCGGAAGTCTTAAAGTGCTTCATAGAATTTACTGTAAAATGCTTTGCGAACACAAAATCAAAATTCCGCATTTCATCCACAAAATGTAGTCAATTCATTGGTGGCAGCCAACGGTGCACAGCAGTGTCCCACAAAGTTGTGGATTGAGTGACCAAATTATTATTATCATAGGAAGATCGTGGTAATGCTGTCACACATTTCATGTTGGTCCTCCTTTTTGAACGTGCTTATGGTCACCCCTCCCCAGATTCCACCACATTTAAGCACTCTGAGGCACTACCCTGCGTGGAGGGCACTAAGTGTTGCCCACCATGTAGCTTGCAGAGAGTTCATGGTAAGTTATATAGTGAGGGCTCAAACCCTTGCTTGTTGGATGACCCAACTAGTGCTATCCTCCTTAGGGCATAGGGGAGAGGTATGCGGGGTCTCCCTGGAGCTGAACTGGATCAAGGTAACATGCCTGGCAACCGAATATTGGAATCGAGACAACCCTCTGTGGCGGTCTCGGAAATCAAGTTCCTGAGCCAGGCAGATCCACAGTACTCTAGAGCAGGTTGGCTCATCGGCAGGACTTGGAAAAGGATTATTAAAAAAGATTATTACCCCTGGAAAAGTGATCCAACAATCAACTAATAACCATTTCCTACTTACTGCTAGGTAAGCAGAGGTGCGTGGAGTAAAGAAATTTGCTCAAGGTTTCGCCCTGTCCGAAAATTGAACCCAGGTCCTCTCGTTTGCAAGGCCAGTGCTCTTAACCAAAATGCTACCGGACAAAATGAATTTATTTGCTAGGGTACCAGGAAAATCTCCTTTGAACCCACAAAGGAGAAGAAGCAAGTGTGCACACCAATAAAGCCAGCCTAACACGTTAGTAGTTACTTGACAGTTATCATAAGAGAGAACGCTGGGTTATGTTTCTTTTCATAAGCCTAGATATCTGACTGGTATCTTAGATGAAAAATGATCTTAGTACAGACCAAGGATCATACACTTGACCTTCCATACACTCCATCCATTGTATTTATCAACAAGCATCATAGGAGCCTGGAGATACAACACTTCATTCAGGTAAATTTCTATAATTCTCACGAACTGAAACGCATGCAATACTTTCACTGCCACTGTCATAAAGATATAGCAGACCTACTCACCCTCACCACCTTTAAAAAACATTCACAAAGGAAGAAAACACACATTCTTGAATACTCATTCAAAATCACCTGCAGAATGGGCATGACTGTGACTTATAGAGTATGGGAATTTGAAATAGGTTTGAGTATATGGAGAATGAAGCACATTATTTCTGTGCTCAAAAAAAGGTAATACTTGGCACTCAACAAAATCATTTTTTATTGATAAGTCTCTTTCTTTCTTAATCTGCAAAACAATCTTTAGTTCCTCTCCAAAATAAAACCAGAGTTAAAGAGAATACATCGAAGAGGTCAACATGGAGCATTTTTATATTTTCATTTATGAGGCTGAGCAAAGCTCATTAATTGAAATAGGAGCTCCTTGAGGAAATCTCTATTTATGGAATGAATCAACTGAATAATAACAATTAAATAGTACCATGTTACTGCTGCTGTTGTCCCCACTATTACTGACAGTAGATTGACCATTGACCAATGAGGGGCTGTAGTCCAGTCCTTTGGCACTGGCTTTTTGATCCAGAGACCATTTACGGTCCTGTTTTGGTTTCCTTGGTTTTGGGGATTTGCTGCTGAAATTTAAAAGAACAAAGGTTACTGCAGAACCACCTTATTACAGCCCAACATTCACGACCCCTATACACTACTCTCCCTCCACTCAATCATTATTCAATTTCAGAGAATGCTGATGATTTATACAGCTGTGCAGTTATCTCACTTACTAAATATGGCTATTAGAAAATCTAGCTGCCAAATGTAAAATGGTTATTTAGTGTCTCGTCTCAAGCACATCTAATTGTCATTATACCCATTACTTTTCTAGCAAACCTGTTGCATAGCACTGAGGAGTAGGATCCTTGGAATTCTGGGAGCACTCATCAGACGATATAGAAAGGCTGCCTCTATGACTTCTGAGGGCACAGATCCAGTTATAACAGTTCTGTCTACTGAAATTATTTATTCTGAAAGTTAAAAAAACGTTGAAGGCTATTTGGTAAGTGCCTGATTTGTTACTCTCAGATAAGAAATACGGAGGCTTTTCATCTCCTCTCACCTAGTTTCTTTTTTCTCCTTTCTTTTCAATTTTTTGGACAATTCCTCCCGGTTTCTCAAAATGATTTCATCCTGAGTCAATCCATTCTGGTTGGCATCCCCTGCTGCGATGGCCTTTAATGGGATCTCCACTGCCTTTGGTACTGGAGCTGGCTCTGGCACAAGGGCTAGATCACAGAAGCACACAAACCATCAGTAAGTAAAATCATTCAGAACAGCTTGTTAACATTCCTACAAGCATTTAAGAAAAAAATTGCATATATCACTGAGAAGGTGACTTCAGTTACATATAACTGGATATTTTCCATCAAATGGAACCAAACAGACATTTCCTTGAACAAAACACAAAATACTGCAGATGCTGGAATCTGAAACAAAAGCAGAAAGAGCTGGGAAAACTCAGCAGGTCAGGCAGCATCTATGGAGAAAGGAAAGTGAGTCAACGTTTCGGGTCCACGACCCTTCGTCAGACATTTCCTTGTGTCATTCCAAGCGTGCTGCTGCAGGATACCAGGTTACCCTTTCCTGCACATGTGCCGAAGAAACTAAAATAATGCAAGACAATTTATTACATAAAAAGTTAAAATGCTGGCATGAGATTGTGGCATTCTGGTCTAGCAATGTGAAAGGGGAGTAGCACTTCAGAGTATTGCTCCTATTCAAGGTGTCACATTGGAGAGTTTTATACAAAATGTCCACCACAAGCTCTTTAACCACCTGTTGTAAAGTCACTTTTTCTGTGCCAGTCAGGCAGAAACCTATCCCATCACCATGTACCTACAAAATACAGTGATTACACTTTACAGTAAATCTTGTGAAGTGCTTCGAGACATCCCCCCCATCGTGAAAGACACTTTAACAAATGCAACAATTACTATTAGAAGTATTGAAACCAGACTGAATTCCATGTATGCTTGACATCTATGTATAGAAATTTTGATACAATGCCATCCCTCAATTAGCTGATACCTAATAACTTCCCCAGTACCGCTCTGACAATACTCCATCATAGCAGAACACTACTCACCTTCCTTCTTGTTTTTCTTGTTCTCCTTCTTCTCTCCCCCACGGACTTCTATCAGCGATTTTACAGTTTTCCTTGATTTATCAGATTGTTCAAATGTTTTCATGGCAGACGGTGCTTTTGCTTTGGTGCGTTCCTCAGCTGCCCTAAATACAACCAGCAAATACTTAAGACACTGCAAGTAGAATAAGCGACTAAAAATCTGCGCCAGTTTCTCATTCTACAATTTTCAAAGGTAAAACATAAGAAGAATCTTTCAAACTTAGATTTAATATTTTTATATGCTGACAAACACACATTGTATTTAATTTTCTCTCCCTTCAAACAGGTTGACTAACGTTCGCAATTGGTTTCATGGATACCAGCCACATGTCGTTCACACTTCTTGTGTTCCTGCATTTTGATTATCAGATAGTGTGGAGATCATAACCATGTCCGATTCTATCCTTAACCAAGGTCTCCACATACTTTCCAGCAAAAAGGGAGGAAGTTACCAAATTGGGAATGATTTTCAGTGATTGAACTGAAACCCTGGCTGATTTCCCAGCTCAGGCATTCAGATGCTATTGCTAGTACCCAATTGAAATTATGTATAGCACAAAAAGGCCATTCGGCCCATCGATTCTGTGCCTGCTCTTTGAAAAGAGCAATGTAATGTCAATCCCACTCCCCAGTCCTTTCCCCATAACCCTGCAAACCCGTCTCCTCAAATTCCCATCCACCGTATTTTTAAAAGTTGTTATCGAATCGATGTATCACCATTCTTAGCAGTTGATGGAAAGCAGAGAGCATTTACAGCCCCCTCCCCGCACAAGCAACTGGATTACTGTCTATAATAAAAGCTGGCTCCACAATTCTCCTGCTATCCTGCTGGTAGGGTATGTTTGCAAGGACACTGGCTGCCCCTCATTATCTTAATAGATGATCCCAGACAAGCATCAAAACTCTATTCATTGGCAGGAAGAGAGGAAAGTGTGTAACGGACAGCCAAATATTAACGCTGCTCCCACCTAGTGTCCAGACAGATCACTGGACAGTGGGAACCTGATTCATTCAACCCAAGGATGCTGCAGCTCCAACATCTTTGGAATATAAATGAGTTTATTCCTTACCTTAGGAGCATTCTAAAGTCATCTGAAAAGTCAAAAGAGCCGCTGATGTGGCCAAGCACTCCATGCTGTTGCAATTGATTTCTATATTTGTCACGAAACTGCATATGGATATCATCAATAAATTTGTCCACATAAGTTAAAGTTAGGATTTTTTGGTAACCCACCTGCAGAATAAAGAAAAAATGTGTTTAAATTAACAGGACGTCCTTACCATCCAGCTTCAAGTTGTCAGTTATAAATACACCTTAAATCTTGGAAATGGCAAATAGTTATAGCCTTTTGCAATATAAAAAAAATTGGAGACAAGTACATAAAACCACCTAGCCATAATAATCCTACTTCTTGCATTTGGTTTAGTATCTTTCATGTTGGGAGGATGTCTCAAAACACTTCCATGGCAGTCCACCTGCACACAACTGCCATGAAGTATATGGCCAATTTTATTTGGAGTATTTATTGCCCAGGACACCGGAAGAAACTGCAGTCTTCTTGATTAATGCCATGGGATTTTTAAACACCTATCTGAACAAGCAGAGGGACCTCAGTTTAACGTGTCATCCAAAGGAAAGCACCACCAACAATACTACCGCGCCCCACCATTGCACTGAAGTATCAGCCTCAACAATGCGAGTTCAAAAGTCCCAACATAGGGCTTGAACCCACAACTGAGCCAAGCTGGTACCCATGAAAATCTACTACAGTGCACAAATTGAAAGGAGTGAGCATTCAGCAGCACATAACAGTTAGTGTGACTGTTCCAGTCATATACACAGTAGCCTTGGTCTTAACGGATATGAGTTTTCCTCCTGACGTGAAAGACGCTATAGAAATATAATTTGTTGTTGTCACCTGATCCACTTATAGTGTCCACATGTAGCACAAAGTGCCAAATAGAGCACAAGGAAATGCTTTCCAAAAATGCATCAGTGAAGCAAATCTGATGCATAGACCGGAGTTTCCCTGAAGCTTCCCACAGCTATAATGAAAAGCACATCATAATTGGTTTCTCAGTCATGCTCACAAGAGCCAGTGACAATGGCCTCTTTTTCAAAACTCACCACAAATAGCAGCTCAAATTCATTGTCCAGCTTGTATTTAAGTGTAAGGGCCTCATGAGTGAAGGAACTGGTTCCCCCTCGCTCCTGTAAAAATGAAAGTTCATTCATTAACCAAACAATTTACTTTAGTGTTTTTCCATGTATCATTTTAATAAATCTGAACTTTTTCTTCTGTAAATTGGGAGGTAAATGGGGCACCTTGAGGCAGCCACAGGAGGACAGACATATTACAATACTTGACAGTCACTCAGAGCTCAGAAAGCCCCAGAGAGATTGCAGTTGGTGCAAATAGTCATGATGTACTCTTCCAGTCTAATGCATGGACCAAAATTTGTTGACTAACTTTGTGGTTCATCATAAACATATCTATTTTTGCGGGTCTAACTTTCACAGATGAACCAATTTTTAAAATCTTTTTGCGTGGACTAATTTCCGGGGATGGCTCACATTTAAATAAATTAAGATGAGTTAGTGTAAATTGGATGCAATAAAAATCTGTGAGATCAGAAAGCGGCTGTGCTCGCGCGTGTACCAGCCTCATGAAAATAATTTATACCATTCTCGCTTTAAAAATCATTTACCTTGTGAGAACAGTTTGAATTGTTCAAGATGGTGCACATTGTCAAAGATCAAACATGAATGATGACCATTTTGGTGCAACAACCAGCCCCCAATGGACCATATTTCATCTATCTGGCTCAATACGACAGTGCAATAATGCACTAAGCCATCATGGAAGTGATACACACTCATTAGTGTAGACAATAAGCCTACACTATTTCAGTAGCGAGGATTCTAAGTACATAAGCATTTAGGGATTATGCTTCTGATTCTTCCTAGCAATATATTTATTCTCAAAAATAAATAAACCGCCTAAAAGCTTATATAGCAGCTATAGGGACATGCAGTACAGAAAGAACCAAACTGAAAAACAAACATCACAGAAGTTATTTTAATTTGTAGGCAGGCCTCTGTTAATAGGCCACCTGAACATCAGCCAGAGCCTTAGGCAATAGTTGTAAATTCCCCAAACACCCCAAAGCTTCAAAACAAAGCAGAATACATCTAAGTATCAAGCAGCTTTTTGGATTGGAGCAAGAATAGACATGGTCCCAAGGGGGTTACAGTAAAAAAGACACCAAAACAGCTTTTTTAAAAAAATTCATAGAATTATTGAAATTTACAACATATAGAAGGCCATTCGTCCCATTGTATCCGTGCTGGCTCTGCTCAAATAACAACCTATTCATGCCCATTAACCTTGCTTTTCCCATTGCCCTAAATATTAGTTTTTTTAAGATATCTACCCAAGTTCTTTCGAAACCGAATATGGATCTTGCCTCAACCACAGCACCTGGCAGGCCATTCCACCTCGTAATCCACATCCTCACTAATAATCCCTCAAAAAAAAACAATAATAAATTGGTCATTTTCAATCCATGACTGTTTGTGGGACACTGCTGTGCGCAATTGGCTGCCGCGTTCGCCCACAAATATACAGTCAATTTACTTTACAGTATATTCTGTGAAGCGCTTTGGGACGTCGAGAAGACCTGAAAAGCGCTATATCAAATGCAAGGATTATTATTATTATAATCTCCCCCATTGCTATCTTGTTTGGCTACAAATACAATCACAATGCTTAACAGTAAAATCCTCACTGTTTTAAATGCAAGAATTTTATCTATAACTGATACCTTCTAGTCACTGAGAAGTGGAAAAACAAAGCAGATCTGAATCCAATAACCACAACAGAACAACGCCATATGGTAGTTACCCATTGACTTTTGTAACAAATCCCTGCACAGTAATTTGTAATGTTAAGATCTGATGCAATCAAAAATTAATAACTGTTTGGTCTACGTGGATTTTCTTATCTAAAGGGCATTACAATTGTGGACACGAGTCAACGTATCCACAACGTGAAGGATAAGGCAACACGATCTTAAGCAGCAAGGCTTTGGCGTGAGACAGTCCTGACTGAACGGATTACTTCAGTGCGGTGCGATGTTGACTTGCATTTAGCGCCATTTACACGGGAGGACGTCTCGTCGTGTGAAGTGTAGGGACTGCGCTGCCTGGGAGCGACCGTTATAGTTGATATCTCTGTAACAAGCGTATTTACCCGGGTCAGGCATTTATCAGTATCTTGGAGCATTCGGCGCCAGCAGCTGGCGACATGGTGCTGAGAAACGGCAGCACATCGAGAGGCGCCGATTATCTCCTCTTCCTTCCAATCTGAGATGTGCGGCGGCGGCGCCACGTAGAGAGGATTTGGGGCCACCAGACTGAGAATGAAACAGTGAAGCCCCTCACACGCCCTGACAGACCCCCATTCCCCTCCGGCTGCTGGCGGTGCGGCCGGACCCGGGCTTGGCCTCGGGCGGCATTGGTTGAAGGCACCGGCCGGCGCGGCAGCAGGTTCCCGGGGGGGAGGGGCTGCCGGCACCTGCGCGTCAGAGCCCGGGAGCTGCGCTCGGCCTCGGCCTCACCTGGAGGATGACGCTCCGGATGAGCGCATTGACGGTGCCGCTGACGGAGCCACTGACTCCCTGGAAGCACCAGAGCACGATGCCGCCTTTACTGAAGATCGAGAAGAAATCCAACATGGCGCCGGCCTCTCGCGCTCAGAACAATCCAGAAGCTCGGGCGGGGCGCGCGGGTCACTGAGCGACACGTCTGCATGTACCCGCTCCGCGCATGCGTCAACCTGTCACGTGCCCGATGGGGGGCCGGAGAGCTGTCAGCGCCTGAGGGGAGGCTGCGCGCGCAGAGCTCACTGTCCGGCGGCGGAAGATGTTGTCCTGCGGGTGTGTGAGGCGGCGGTTTCTGAGCTTCCTGCGGCTTCCGTGCTTTCCCCCCTCGGCCTTCAACACCGGCACCGGGCAGGGGAGCCATGGGGACTTCTTCAAGGGTGAGAGGCGCCGGCTGTCCGCTGTGAGCGGGGTGGGCCGGGGGTGAGCCCGGGGTGAGCCCGGGGGTGAGCCCGGGGTGGGCCGGGGGGTGAGCCCGGGGTGGGCCGGGGTGTGAGCAGGGGGTGGGCGGGGGGGGGTGAGCGGTGGGTGTGAGCGGGGGGTGTGAGCCGGGGGTGTGAGCGGGGGGTGTGAGCGGGGGGTGTGAGCGGGGGGTGGGCGGGGGGGTGGGCGGGGGGGGGGGGGGGTGTGTGAGCGGGGGGGGTGGGCGGGGGGTGGGACGGCGGATTTCCCTCATATTCTGAAATGTGAAAACTGAGTGTTGCAGTGTCAAAGGGCGATGTAAATGAACCAATTTAATACATTCAAATCCATTTTACATAGTAATAATAATCCTCGCATTTGATATAGTGCCTTATCACGTCTTTGAGATGTCTCAAAGCGCTTCACCGAATATACTGTAAAGTGAATTGAAATTTTGTTATAACCTGTGAAGCGCTTTGAGACGTCTTAACAATGTGATAAGACTCTATCAAATGCCAGGATTATTATTAATGCAAATCTATTTTTGATCTTGTGCATGAAGATCAGCCTCTCTTGAGTAAAATATTGGGATTTTAGTCACTGTGGAACCCAACTTCAGGTGTGGGAGAGGGATAAAATTGTCAACAAAAGTACTGTTTGCAATTTTATTTCAAAGTTAAACATTTACTTTAACCTGTTTCAAAGTTCTGGCTCTTTGAAAGTTAACGTTTGTGAAGAGTTTGTACACTGTTATTGATCTACAGTTCTATGCAATAGGCAAATAGGGCATTCAAGGAGATTCTTTACTTGGGTTTCTCCAAGCCTTGGTTCTTGCCAGAGATAGTGTTCGGATCCTGGAGTTTAACCAGCTAAAACTACAGATTATCATTGAAAGGACTGACTGCAAGCTATCTTGCTGCTTGTCAAGTTACCATTTGGAGTTTTTATTTGCAGGGCTAATAGGAGCTGAGTGGGAAGAATTCCTGCCCCGTTAACTGGTCAGAAAGGTGATAATGTCACCAGGGAGAAGATGTACCTTTAGATTCTACTCTTGTTTCGCTTCCATTTTCACCCTACGCTTCTTCTTGGTAACATTATCCAAAGCGTGGGTGCAGTTTCCATATGCATGACGACTTTACCTCTCTGGTGCCACTCTTGTTTGGTTCTCACCTTCATCCTTTCATACGTCAATCTTCCTAGCTTAATCAACCAATGCCCAATTTTGTCAGGATTGGTGGTAGGAATGGAATTGGTAATTGAAGTGTTTGTTGGTCCCTAGTTTCAGCCAAGTTTCTCTCTCCATTCCAGATTTTGAGAATGGGATTATGAAATTCAAACAGAAAACCAAGGATGCACTTCCAGGAAGTGACTGGAATCCTGTGTACCAAACCCCTGGTCTGCCTCCCGAGTGGGCTGATGTTGTCATCGTGGGGGGAGGGGTGGTGGGCTGGTCCATCGCTTACTGGCTGAAGAAAAAGGAGAAAATTCGGAACACGCTCCGAGTGGTTGTGGTGGAGAAGGACCCAACAGTGAGTTTACTGACCCCTGATCCTCCCCACTTCAAAGCTCGTCTCAAGACTTCTTTGTGAAGTACTTCGAAGTATTCTCATCTGGCTCCCTCCCTTGCCTCCTTCAAGGCCAGTCTCAAGAGCTTACTCTGATCGTGCTTTGTGGCCACCCCCCGACCCTCCACCCCTCTTCATTCCAACCCCCAGCTCGGATGCAAACCCTTAACTAACTGTCCAGCTGCTTGGGAAGTCCTTCCGACATGAAAATCGCCATATAAATGTAATTTTCTTGATGTTTGTTGTTGTTGCTTGTCTCCCTAGGTCTCCCCTATCTATTATTGCTTCCAGTCCTTCTGATGAGCCAAGCTGAGTTGTCTGTCGTCAGTAATGCCCTGGAGTACTGCAGAGCCACCTGGCTCAGGAACTGGGCTACTGAGACCACCTTAGAGAATTGACTTGATTCCGGCATTCTGTTGGCAAGCCCATCACCTTCCTCTGCTCCAAGTCACAGTGCCACCAAAACAAGTCAGTGTTCTGTTGTTTACTATAGTCACTGATCTTTCTTTGCCCCCCCCCACCAGTACTCCAAAGCTTCCACAGCCCTGTCGGTGGGAGGTATTCGTCAACAATTTTCTCTGCCAGAGAACATTCATTTGTCCCTGGACTCTGCTTGCTTCTTACGCAATATAAAGGTACTATTGGACAAAGTCCTGACTTGGGTGGTATTTAGAGAAAATATTTTTCAGTTCGGGTTGACTTGTTTTAGAAGCTAGGTAATTTTAAAGCTAAGACTATGATTTATTTTATGCCTAGGATGTCCCTATCATTTGCCCGTACAAAGTCAGAAGGTTGTGGGTTGAAGCTCCATGTCGGAACTTGGAATCACACAGTCAAAGCTGACACTCCTTTGCGTGGTGGGGAGTGGGTGGTTGTATTGTCAGGGGTGTCGTTCTTCGGATGATGCATTAAACCGAGGTCCCATCTGCCTGTTCAGATGGATGAAAAGAGAAGGGAATTTCTCCCGGTGACCTGGCCAACAAATCACCCAAATAAAAATTGGTGATTCACTCTATGGCTGTTTACGGGACATTGCTGTAGGCAAACTGGCTGCTGTGTTTCACCCATAAAATATATGTTCAAACCACTTTACAATTTATCGTGTGAAAGTGCTTTGAGACACCTTGACGACGTGATAAGCGCTATATCAAATGCAAGGATTATTATTATACAATGAAGAATTAAAGTTCTGCATAAATTCTTTACAGGAGATTAGACACTGTCAATTAACATTCTCTTTCCATCTGTCTGATAGGAGAACCTCAGTGTGATAAATAAGGACCCTGTGGACATACAGTTTAACCCTTCAGGATACCTGTTCCTGGCCAGTGATGAGGGTAGTGCAGCTCTAGAGGAGAATTATCATATCCAGAGGTGAGAAAGGCTTAGAAAATGTTGGAGGTTCAGCCTTTGTGCAGTGGGTAGAACTACAGCTAACGGGGTGGGAAGATATCAGGGGTGCTGATGCCCTGTATCAACACTCACACATCAAACAAAACAGATGCATTGAATTTTAAGGAAACAAAAGGCAAAAACGTTTGGTGTCAAAGAAATTGATAAGACACACTGTAAAAACATAGTGAGTTATCACATTGCCAACATTTCATGAGTTCAAACTGTAGTGCTTTAAACCTTAAACCACAGGACGCTACCCTATGTGAAGGGCCCTATATAAATGCAAGTGTTGTTGTTGTAGTGACTATTACGTAGGCAAACTTGGCAGTTCATTTATACCAGTTGGGGAAACTGAAGATTAAGGAAGACATGGGGGGTAGGGGAAGAAATAATACATTACAGAGGTTACACTAATGTTTCCATCTTTAGGAGAGAAGGTGCAAAGGTCATGCTCCTAACACCACAGCAGTTACAGAAGAAGTTTCCGTGGATCAACATAGACGGTGTTGCAGTTGCCTCCTTTGGTGAGTTGCTTATTAAGACATTTGATTCCTGAAAGCCTTTATTACCTCAGCTTTAAGACCATTGACTTAAAGTAGTAGTGCCCTTTCTGCTAGCCTGTTTGTCTTCCTGTATTCTTCTGCATTCTTTTTCACCCCCCCCACCCTCCCTCTCCATTTTGGTATCATCTGCAAATTTTGAGACCATACCTCCTGTTCCTCAATCCAATTTATGTATGTGAACAATAGTGATGCTAACATGGATCCCTGTGGAACACCACTTCCTACTCTTTGCTTCCAATTTTCTAACCATTCTTTGATCCATTCTGCTACTACTCTATGACTCCACATGCCCCTGATATTAGTCATGAGTCTATCATGTGGCACTTTATCAAAGTCCTTCTGAAAATCCAAGTACATTACATCCACTACATTTCTCTCATCTATATCAGTTACATATTTTAAAGAATTTGATGAGGTTGACCTACTAGGTAACTAGTTACTTCATCATTTATGAATTTCCTAATATTGGCAGTAAACCAGACTCTGAGCGTTATCTGGCTGCCGTATCATTGAGGATCTCATTTTTATGTTCTTCATTGCGATATTTAATTTCATCAATGTCGGGGCCCATGTCACTCGATTGGGAGCAGGGAGCAGGTCTGCTCTGCCAGTGGTGTTAATGTTGAGATTATTATTGAAGCCAAATATGTCTTCTGTGTCTGAATTCTGTTTAGATGTTTCCTTGTGTTCTCTGTGGTAGGTCTCGAGAATGAGGGCTGGTTTGATCCCTGGATGCTACTGAATGCATTTCGAAATAAAGCGCTATCCATGGGCATCCATCATTGTTATGGAGAAGTAACTGGTGAGAGCAGCTGATCTGGAGCAACCAAATGGCATGTAGTTATGATTGGAACATATATCACTTTAAGTTTGTATAATGCCTTTCACATAAAAGAACCGCTCTAAGTGCTTTGCAGAACAAGATTAATTAGAAAAAGTGAGCTTCTTTTGACAGATGTTGCAGCTAATATGCCATCAATGGCCTACAAACAATAAAACAAAATGCCGATTAATTAGAAGCTTGGAATGAAGTTGGTTGAGGAGGTAACATAAAATAGGATCATCAGGAGCAAAACTCCACTGAATATGAACTGTGCCATCTGCCGTCATCATGGACACTCCTGTGGAAGATTCTAAAAACATTTTGCTGAGCTCCAGAATATTCATAGATTCCTATATGCTAAATCATCCTGGATACTTAAATTACGCCTGAGATTTTAGAAAGACAGTTTTTGTGGAGGAAGGAGTTTGAAGGTGCTTCATTGACTAAATACCTGGTAACAGTGAATTTGTTTAAGGAGGTTTGATGACAGAAGGCACAGGCACAATGGGCCAAATGGCCTCCTTCTGTGCTGTGATATTCTATGATTCTAAAGAGATGAGGTGGGAGAGGGTGAGATATGCCTTTTGTGATAAAGCCAAACATCCCAATAGCCTTTTTAATCCCTCCACAACTGTGAGGGAGCGTTTTCAATGTTGTGTTTTCTGCTGACAGGCCTAAAACATTCTGTCCAAGAGGTGGAGGCAAATGATGGAAGCACAGTGACCTTTAAGAGAATCCATCATGTCCATGTACGAGGTTCTTGATAACTCCACCCTCTTCCACATTCTTAAATGTTTTTATTTTCTTTCTATGACAAGCACCATCACGGATTAAGACAACGCGCTCCGGGGCTAGGAACTCCTGCCAGCAACTCTCTGATCATGGCGTGGGCTCAAACCTCCTCCAGGGTTTAATCTAGTGTCTGGTTGGAGTTCGGAATTCCTTGGGGACCAGGAGTTTGGAGATGTGTGTGAAGGGGTATCTCAGGGGGCTATAGATCTGGGGTGGGGGAGGGGGTGTGATGATTGTGGTTGTTCTCCTCTGGTAGTTTCTTGCTGTCGCTTGATGGCGGTTAAGGACTCGCTGTGTGGGAATTGTTGGTATAATCCACCTGGTGACAGAACTTGGAGCCAATCTCAGGCCAAAAACCTAATCCTTCTTGTTTCTGGCTAATGATAGGTGCAGATGCCAGACAGCTTGGAGTACCAGCCAGTGGAATGTTCTTTGGTTGTCAATGCAGCTGGAGCTTGGTCAGCCAAAGTGGCAGAGATGATCGGAATTGGTAGTGGGCCTGAAGGTACTCTGGCTGGTACAAAACTCCCTGTGGAACCCAGGAAGAGGTGAGAATGGAAAATGGGAAGGCTGCATTTTCATCATCAACAACAACAAAATTACATTTGTAAAGCACCTTTCACGTCGGGAGGATGTCCCAAGGCGCTGGACAGTCAGAGTTCTGGACCCAAGCTGGGGGTCGGGTTCGGGGAGGGTGGTGGGCAGGAGGGGAAGCAGGGTGATCGAAAGCACAGTCAAAGAGGAGGATCTTGAGATGGGTCTTGAAGGAGGCACGTGAGTTTTTTTTGAATGGCTCCACTGGCTCCCCATTCCCCCAGAGGATCGGGTTTAAAATCCTCGTCTTCAGATTAAAATCCCTCCACGGCTGGGCTCCTCCCTCGCTCAGTGACCAACCAACACTGTTACCAACCTGTCCTCTCCGCTCCCTTTGCTTGGCAGGCACTGCCCTGCGCCATGTTCCCTGTCCTGCCTGCCCCACCATTGGTGATCGGGCCTTCGGCTTTTCTGTGTAATTTTCTGAGGTTTTCTTTTTTGTGTAACTGGCCACAGAACAGGAAATTGGAAATGTTCCTCTGGTGCAGTCGGAGGAGTTCTGACTTGGAGACCGAAGGACATTGTTAGAGGAGAAGGGAATTTTATTCTGATCTAATTAGGTTGTACTTGACCTGGTTCAAAAGTAATTTAAATAATCACTCACCGCTCCCACTATGTCTCAACAATTGCACAATTTAAGTAGAAAATAAAATGGCAGTTGGTGGTGATGTCAGGGGAAATAGCACAGTAGTAGGACTTGCTCATGATTTACATGTTCCAGTTGTCTTTGACTAATTGTCTGTGCAGTTGTGCAACTTTGGAAATGTGAATACTTTTTCTAATAACTTGCTGAACCTTTCTCGCTCCCACCCCTTCAAGGTATGTATACGTCTTTAATTGTCCAAATGGCCCTGGGCTAGACTGTCCTTTGTTTATCGACAACAAGGGAGCGTACTTCCGGCGGGAAGGTTTGGGAGGCAACTATGTTGGAGGAATTTCTCCTACAGAGGTGAGCAGTGCCAGATCTCAGATTCTCCTGTGTCTAAAGGAATAACTTAGATTTTTACAGCACCTAATTACATCTAAATATCTTAAAGTGCTTAATAGGTAATTGCAGTCAAATCTAGTGTTTTGACGGCAGACATTTATATCAGCAAGGTCCTGATATAATGGCCATGAGCTGAATGACCAATTATTGTTTCATTGTTGAGTATACTGGAGAAACTCCATCCAACTTTGAAATAGTTCATGGCATCTTTACCGGGCACATCTCACCAGACGACAGAGGAATACACAAAGGCAGTATTTACTAGCAAGAAAGTTGGGACTTGATCTGATAGTCTAGGCTGACGCTCCAGTGCAGTAATGGGAGAACATTGTGAAAGCGTTGTTTTCTGTTGTTGACAATTTTTTCACCCACAAAATATACAGTCAATTCACTTTACAGTATATCCTGAGATAAGCTTTGAGACACTGTATCAAAGGCAAGGATTATTGTTATTATCATTATCATAAAGCTCTTTGAAATACTTCAATAGAATAAAGTTCTATAAAAATCCTTTATCATATAGGATTAGTATTATCTCTCCACATGCACAACGCAAAAGAGTAGCCTGCATGTTGGCTGTTACTTTGTCAGTGAAAATGATAAATCATTCCTGTTTCCTGCTACTTCAGGAGGATGAGCCAGATCCCAGTGATCTAGAGGTGGATTATGACTTCTTCCAGGAGAAGGTGTGGCCCCATCTGGCTCACCGAGTGCCTGCTTTTCAGACCTTGAAGGTGAGTTATTCATAAGTGGTTTGAAGAGCTCAATGCTGTTATTCGGGTTTCAATCGAGCAAACCGATGGGTGCATGAAACTTTCATATCCTATCCATTTTAACTGAAAAACATCCAGAGGTCATTGGGGAGAATTATGTTCAAACATATGGAAGTTTAAATTATAATAATAATCCTTGCATATAATACAGCGGTTTATCACGTCTTCGAGACGTCTAAAAGCGCTTCACACAATATAAAGTGAATTGACTATATTTTGTGGCCGAACAATAACGTTTTCCTACCCAGCCTCTCACTGTCCAGCACCTTGGGACGTCGACCGGACGTGAAAGGCGCTATACAAATGTAATTTTGTATTACACCTATAGGAGTATAGTTAGTGGTGGACAAGAACAACCTCGGAATCATTCTGGCCTCCGTAAGATATTGCATTGCTGGTTCTGTGTTTGAATAGAACCCGAGCTATACACTCAGTCATCAGGAGCAGGGACATCAGCTGCATCTCGTTTGTGGATTGCTATGAGGGCAGCCTACATCCTTATACCAGCTTGTTGCCCTGCCAAGATTTGGTATAAATTATTCTACCCATCGCCTCGACCGAGACTACCACAGCTCTAACCATATTTTGCCTTTAGGTGAAGAGCGCCTGGGCTGGTTACTATGATTACAATACCTTTGACCAGAACGCAATCATTGGGGTTCACCCACTGGTCCCCAACTTCTACTTTGCCACTGGGTTCAGTGGGCATGGGCTGCAGCAATCACCAGCTGTGGGAAGGGCCATCGCCGAGCTCATTGTGGATGGAAAGTTTCAGACCCTTGACCTCAGCGCATTTGACTTCCTCCGATTCTACACAGACACCAAAGTGCTGGAGAAGAATATTGTGTGAGTTGGATTTTGCACATTTCTGATGTCGCAGAGAAATGCAGCTCCTCAGGATCTGCCATTCATTTTGGGTTAATTCCATTAGAAGGTGACATTGAGGTTACCTGAGGCAAGACTCTTTAATGTATTGAATCTGTCTTCTGTAGTTTAGCTTCCACAAGCTGGAACAATTCAGCTTGGCAGAAAGTGTGATGTCATCACATGGGCAGCCAACGATTCAAGAATGTGCGGGATCTTTCAAAGCTATTTTACTGTTACCCATGGTATAAATAGCCTAGTGGATCCAAAGGAATACTGGGATTCAAACCTATCCCAAAGATAGTTTAAAGTTTAAACTCCCAACCTTGGTACAATTACTGGTTACTGTCATAACTGAGTGAGCTGCTTTGGGTAAGTGTAATTTCTTGCATTCCTCCATGGCAACAAGGAATTGAATGTCTACCACTTGGTGCCACTATGATGTACAACCCAATGTTTACAAAGTGGGAAGTAACTTCTAGTGGCAAATGGAAGGTTCTTTATTATAATGAAATCATAAATGCTGCTCAAAATTGTTCATTTAAAAAAAAAATACAATAATACCTGGTGATGGAGATCTGCCTCACTGTAAACCCACAGTCTGACATTCTACAGGACTTATAATTTTAAGTGTTATTTATGTAACACACAGATTATGGGCTTGGTTTATGTAATCTGTATTTTTAGCAGGTATATGCACAGGAATTTGCCTCCAGACTATTTAAACACAATTTGTTAGGAACATTTTTCCACTCCTGCAATGAAAGGTATGGGAGTGGAATGAGAAGAGTTCTGGAAACCAGAAAATGTGATGTTCCACTGGCCTGAAATACTGCAGCGACAGCACTAAGTATTTGTAATAAAAAAATTATGAATAAAATAAAACTTGAAAATAAACAGATGGTGTTTATTATTATTATTATTATTATGATTATTGACAATCACTTTGGTTTTGAGGTGGGGTGTTGGTAAAACTAAAAAAAATCCACATATTTCGGGTTTATTTTAAATCTGATGAGGCATCTGGTCAACAAGCAACTTGCATTTATATAGCACCCCTCACGCAGAGTAGTATTCCAGAGCGAAACAAATTCACAATATTACTGCTGATTTAATGCGTAATTGTGCCTTCCTGACATTAAAGGCTGGGAAAGCATATGAAATAACAACATTGTAAGATTAGTGGCATATTTTGTTATTTTACTAGAAGTAATCTTTGGAGATGAATGATGTTCCGTAGTTTAAGGATTATTCTAGGGTTCCCCACCATGATCTCATCTGGGAAAATGCTCCTCTCTTACCTCCTGACCTTGTTGTGCGCAATTGGCTGCCGCGTTCGCCCACAGGTATACAGTCAATTCACTGAGCTGTCCTTTCTCCCTCACATCCGCACCACAACTGGCACCGCCTTCCATCACCTCCGGAACATCGCCAGACTACGGCATTACCTCACCCCTCACGCTGCTGAAACCCTGGTTCACGCCTTTGTCACCTCAAGGCTGGACTATGGGAACTCTCTCCTCGCCGGCCTTCCCGCCACCTCCCTCCACAAGCTGCAGGTCATTCAGAACTCTGCAGTTCGTGTACTGTCCCGCACCAGGCTTCGCGACCACATCACTCCCACCCTCGCTCGCCTCCACTGGCTCCCCATCCCCCAGAGGATTGATTTCAAGATCCTCATCCTCACCTACAAGGCCATTCACGGCCTGCTCCTTCCTACCTCTCCAACCTACTATCCCCCTACCTACCTGCCCGTACCCTCCGTTCCTCTGGCTCTGGTCTGCTCCACGTCCCCCGCCCCAACCGCCCTACCATCGGTGGTCGGGCCTTCAGCCTCTCAGCCCCCAGGCTCTGGAACTCCATCCCCCAGTGCCTTCGCCGCTTCCTCCCTTTCCTCCTTCAAGGCCGGTCTCAAAACCTTTCTCTTTGACCGAGCCTTCAGCTCCCCTCTCAACTCTCTTCCCCCTCCGCGCTCCCTCCCTTCCCTCCCCTCCCCCTGACCATTTCCCCCCTCCTCGCTCCCTCCCTTCCCTCCCCTCACCCTGACCATTTCCCCCCTGCTCGGGTCATGACCCAACTGTGCAGCGCCTTGGGACGTCCTCCTGACGTGAAAGGCGCTTTATAAATGGAATCTTGTTGTTGTTGTTGTTGTTTACAGTGTGTTCTGTAAAGCGCTTTGGGATGTCCTCCCGACATGAAAAGCGCTATATCAAATGCAAGGATTATTATTATTTTTTATTATTATTGTTTTTATATTTTATTAAAAAATATGGTACATTCATTCTTAACTTTAGTGTAATCTGTCGTTTGTGGTGCCGACTTCCTGCTCGGGACCATTAGTTTCATTGTAAAGTTTGTCTACTCCTGCGGTAAAAGGTATGGGAGTGGGAAGAGAGTTCCGGGAACCAGGAAATATAATGTTTTGCCAACCTGAAATACTGCCGCATTAGCACAAGGTATTTTTACTTTTTTAAAAAAAAGGTTATGAAAAAATTTCAATCTATAGTCATTTGAAAAGAAACAGCAGTCAATGGTACACTCTGGTTATAACAAGTGGTGTGAATGTTCCATCGAATGTTTTCCCTTGTTCTCTGTCCAGGCAGCCACACGGGATCCAGTTCGTTTAGTTTTGCAAAGTGTGTGGGAGATTGAGTGTCTGTGATTTCTGGGGGGAAAAGCCAGAGAACGAAATGGCTGTCGTTGGAAATGGCACTTTGCTCTCCAGCTTATATTTTAGCAGATTTCAGAAACTGCAATTGGCAATTTCCACCCCATCTGCCATGTCGCAAATTAGATTTCCCCTCCGACAATAACAATGACAAAAATGCTCCACTTATTCGATCCTGAATCCTGGCCTCGGAATTGTTCTCGACATAATATGGAAGGTGGTCTCTACCTATTTCTCACTGGTTTTCTACATCTCAGCCTCAAACTTTTGGAGTAATTCAGGTTGGTACTTGATGTGCAAGATAACTATGGGGAGGTGCTGTGCAGTGTCACTGCTGTTGCCTTGCTTCCTCCCTTTCCTCCTTCAAGGCCGGTCTCAAGACCTTTCTCTTCAACCGTGCCTTCAGCTCCCTTCTCGACTCTACCCGCTCCTCGCGCTCTCCCCTCCCCTCACCCTGACCATTTCCCCCTGCTCGGGTCTCGACCCAACTGTCCAGCGCCTTGGGACGTCCTCCCGACGTGAAAGGCGCTCTATAAATGCAATCTTGTTGTTCTTGTTGGGCTCATTCACCTCCCACATTTGAGCAACATTTTTAAGGCCCTGGAAATAAGTCACCTCCAAAGGTAAGAAATGTTAACTTATGGCTAGAAGAATATAAGCTTCATAAAAAAGTTGTTTCTTCAGCAGCAAGAGGTGCGACCTGTAACATATCACTATTACTGTTGTGCAATGCCCTCCTGCTGGCAGATTGCGTGAGATTAGTGTGGCAATGGCCTGTTGACACTGGTTGCACATGACGAAAGGGCACAAGGGTGTGGTACAAGAAATTTATCTGTGGAATTGTCAACCTGAGTCCAGTCACAATCCTTAGGAAAGGAGGGCTGCAAAGCTGCAGCAAATTAAATATTTAAATATCTATGAAAAATGAAGGGAGTTCCAGAAGTTAGGGATATAGAATCTGAAAGCTCGGTCACCATTGGTGGCTCTGACCGCAGGCGTGCAGCAAGATGGGGTGGTGCACAGGTATGGAGTGATTTCATACAGAAACTAATCAATGTGCTTCAACAGCATCGAAACCATACACTCAGGTGCATGTCACCCACCCACGGGAATATCTGTGTTTGGGATGGAATGCCCCAGGAGGGACGCACCGCTTACTGAATAGCTGGAGAGTATTATGCCCAGGTTTGCAAAAACCAAGTCTCCTTTTAAAATCCTTGCATTTTATTAGTCTTGTTTAGGGACTCCATAGTGTGTTTGCTGTCGGGGGTTAACCAGCTTGGCGCAGATGTGACTGAATGCCAAGTTTCCTGGACCACCTTCCCTGATACAGCTTTGTCCTCACGGTTGATGACCAGGAGCTGAATGGGAAGAATCCCCTCCAACCATCCAGTGCCCCCGGAGCTGCCGACCTGCTTTGGCTCAGCACTGCCACAGAGAGCCCCCGGGGGGGCTCCAGCCCCCCCGGGGGCATTAATCACCTGACGCCCTGTGTGGAGCATCAATGATCGGAATAATCAGCCCCAGAGCTGCCCCTGTGCAGAGAGTGAGTGAGAGGGAGAGACCGGGACACAGACCCCCACCGGTGGCTTCTCACAAACTGATGTCAATTCTCTTTTAGGAACTTCCGGGTCTTGGGGACCTGAGAACCGCAGTCTGTGCGTGAGTCAGGCGGATCTCAGGCTCGTCCCTGTGTTTGATCCGTTCTCCGCCGTTTGAAGGTAATTCCCGAAATTATCCCCAGACTCCAGGTTTGCGCTCTCGGAGTCTTTGGTCTCTTTATTTCTGCTTCTTGTGAATGGTTTGTGTTCTCGGCATTTGCAGCATTTCTCTGCTCTCGGCGCGTCCCCCTTTTCTTCTGTTTTGGCCTGAAATATTTCTGTTTGCAAACCCCCCCCTCGGGGTCAGAGCCGCTCTGGAGCTTCCGTGAAACCTGCAAACGTCGCACTCACCTAACAAGTGGCTCTATGCCCTGAAAACCTCTCCAAACTGCTGACCACCCGACTGCTGGGCTGCCCAGGGCCGCTTTGGCCACCCGTAAAGGCGCGTTCTTGTTGTAATGTTCAATGCTATTAATACAATCCGCAAACGTTGCACAAAGGTTGATAACCCAACCAAGAAATTAGCTCCCAGTGAATCGGAAAGGTTTCCCATGCTCCTGCTGGGAACAGGCTCTCGTGGGGTTAAGATATTTGTGACAAATTTTGTTTTAAAAAAACAGCATGTGTGTTTCGCTGATGACGTCTTCCTTTTTTTTTGATAGATTTACTGAAAGTTTGAACCACATCCAGCAAACCGTGAGGAAGACTGCGGTAGGTCACGATGAGTCAGTGCCTGTAAGTCTGATTTCTGTAATAACTTCTGCTCCCGCAGCCTCGGGATTCCCTCTGTCCCCGAGATCACCTCTGTGCTCGCTCTGGGCTTCCAAAGGAAATTGGGAATATGATAGTATTGGATGGAACACACAAGACCAGAATAGACTATTGGTTGGGTTTATGGTCATTAACCAAAAGTTTGTACAACAGACCCACGAGGGTATCCTTGGTGTCTGGGCAGAGCATTACATGGAGTTGGCATCTGACCCAACAGGCTGTAGCAGAGATCCATCTGCATGGAGGTTGGAAAAGCTGGCGGGAGGCATGGGACAGATTGAAGGCCTTAATAATAATAATAATAACCCTTGCATTTGATATAGCACTTTTCACGTCTTCTGAATCTCAAAGCACTTCACAGAATATGCCGTAAAGTGAATTGACTGTATATTTGTGGGCGAACACGGCAGCCAATTGCGCACAGCAATGTCCCACAAACAGCCGTGGATTGCAAATGACCAATTTATTATTGTTTTGTTTTTTTCGAGGGATTATTATTAGGCGTGTGGAGTAAGGAAACTTGCCCAAGTTAATGACTCAATCCATTGGGCAGAGGTGGAATCCACACTGCGGGGCCTGGCCGATGGCAGATGGCACCTGGCAGCTGAACTGGCTTCAATGTGACATGTTTGGCAATGGAATGCCGGAATCAAGCCCACCCTCTATGGTGGTCTTTAGTCCAGATCCTGAATCAGGCAGATCCACAGTACTGTAGGGCACTGCTGGTAACAGCCCAGATAGCCTGCCTCATTGGTAGGACTCGGAAGGGCACACCAGTCACTGGGGGCAGGGGCATCTCTGGGACAGTTCTTTTTTGCTCACTCCGGTGTCTGACACATGCAGAAAACCATCACCATGCTTAAGAGTATCCAAAGCAACCTGAGAGTTCAACATATGAAAGCCACCTATGCATGGAAATTTCCCTGTGTCTGGAATGCAATGAGCACCTCTGCCTGGAGGGATGCACCCTGCTTACCTAATTCCAGATACTATGAGGCCCAGGATACCAAAAGCCACGGTTTAGGTATGGGGCTACTGCTGCTGTTTAACCAGCTACAACCACATAGGAAGCCATGAGAGCAAAATGTGGCAGGCTTGTGCCTTGATCTTCATTTGGAGACCAGAACTGAAGTTTGAAGAAATAATTCACTTTTTCTTTTAGGAATTTTGTTTGCAGCTCAGTTTTGGTTAGGCTGGATGTGTGACTCACTAAACTCAGCGTCAGGATGGCTTGTAAGTAGATTTTGAAACTTTCACATTAACACTGTTCCTGTAAAGCGCTCTAAGACATTACCCTACATTAGAGGTGTAACTATATGGTGTAACAATTTCAGGCTACATTAGATTATCTTAACAACCCATCCAGTGTCCCACAAGTTACCTTCAATGCATCCATCTCTACTTCTCTATTATCGTCTGTATTTCCTAATCCGTTTTGTTGTACTCATTTTGAAGTTTTCACATTTGTAATGCAGACGAGCTGCACTACGTGCCTTTAAATTTTCATCAATCTTATTTTGAACAATGCTTTGAAATGTTTATTTTTACAATGAAAGGCACTATAAAGCTGTCATTGTAATGATGCTTTAACTGTGCATCTTCCCTTTTTGTTTATTTTAAATATCCAGAAATGCAATACTAGTAGTTTTAATGACCTAGTTGCAAAGCTGATAAATTTACATGATTCTGTATTAAATTGACATGATAAGGCGCAGTATCAAATGCAAGGATTATTATGAAACAAAAACAGAAGTCGCTGGGAACACTCAGCAGGTCAGGCAGCGTCTACGGAGAAAGGAAAGTGAGTTAACATTTTGGGTCCACGACCCGTCATCAGAACTGATGAAGTTCTGATGTTGACTCACTTTCCTCTCCATAGATGCTGCCTGACCTGCTGAGTCTTCCCTGCGACTTCTGTTTTTATTTCAGATTTCCAGCATCTGCTGTATTTTGCATTTTGCAAGGATTATTATTGTAGGACTTTCTGTCTTTGTGCTCCAGCATTCTCAGCAAAGAGAAGTTACAAATCTCCTAACTATTCCTGCAGGGTTCTTCAGGCGGTTTCTCGGCTTGAGGAGTAAGCAGCCTCCCAGCCCCAGGATGGGGACTTTCTCTGACCGTCACTATAATTCCTTTGTTCCCTCATCCTCGTCACATGCCCTAAGCAGCAGTGTCCGATGGAGCAAGGCATTTGATGTGTGCATCTGTCATGCTGAGGAAGACATAAACTACGCAAGCGACCTGGTATCCTTCCTGGAGCTAAAGCCAGACCCACTTCGCTGCTTCTTGCAGCTGAGGGACTCGATCCCAGGGAATGCGATCTCCACGGAGCTCTACCAAGCTGTCAGGAACAGCCACTGCTGGGTGCTGATCATCACGCCCAGCTTCCTTAAGGACCACTGGTGCCGGTACCAGATGCAGCAAGCATTGTCGGAGTCGCCAGGATCCAACGGACGGATCATCCCTGTGCGGAAGCAGCTGGAGCACAAGGATTACCCAGAGGAGCTGCGATTCCTCTACATGATCAATGTTCAGCTGGACAAGAAAAACGGGTTTGAAAAGATTCATAGTGCAGTGATTTACTGTACGTACTGATGTCCTAAATGTGGCTCTGTTGATAAGTCACTAAAAGTAGTGTAATGTCGTAAAGATAGCAAAGAAAATCCTGAGGTTTAGGTCCAGAAGGATTGAGTCCAAAAACGGGGAAGTAATGTTAAATATAAGTAAAAACTTTGGTTAGACCATAGAATCACAGAATTATACAGCACACAAGGAGGCCATACGGCCCATTGTATCTATGCCGGCTCTTTGAAAAGAGCTATTCAACCCCACTCCCCCGCTCTCTCCCCATAGATCTGCAAACTTGTCCTCCCCAACTAATTATCTACTTCTCTCTTAAAAGTTGTTATCGAATTGGCTTCCACCAGCCTTTCAGACAATGATTCCAGATCCCACCAACTCGCCCTGTGAAAACATTTCTCCTCGCCTCCCCTCTGTTTCTTTTAAGAACTATTTTAAATTGTTGTTCTTGGGTTACATAACATGTAGGAGCAGGAATAGGCCATTCGGCCCTTCGAGCCTGCCCCGCCATTCAATCATGTTACCGACCCACCCGCCAGTGGAAATAGTTTCTCCTTGTTCACCCTATAGAATCCCCTCATAATTTTGAAAACGTCTTTTTAAGTCTCCTCTTAACCTTCTCTACTCCAAGGAGAATAATCCTAGCTTCCCTAGCCTCTCCTGATAACTGAAGTCCCTCATTCCTGGTACCATCCTGGTAAATCTCCTTTGCATCCTCTCCAATGCCTTGATATCCTTCCGAAAGTGTGGGGCCTAGAACTGTACACAGTCTCCAGCTGAGGCCTAACTAGTGTGTTATAAGGCATAAGGTACCATGATGACCATATTTGGAGTATTCTGCACAGTTCTGGTCGCTCTACTCCAAGAAGGCTATAGTCACGGTGGAGGGAGTCCAGCACAGATCTGTTAGAAGGATATTGAGGAAGCTAGATAGGGAGGGCTAGGATGGTGGAGGCTCATGTGGTATATAAACACTGCCAGTTGGGCTTGAAGCTGTGTATTCTATGTACTGGTATTCCTAACAATGGGACTCGATCTGAATTCTGGGATACTTCCCCAGCTGCCCACTCCCCCTCCCCAGCCAATGTCTGTTCCTCAGTGACCATGCACAGAACATGTTAGCCGAGCCTTTACTGTGGTTCCCCATTTCTGTTGGCAGCTGCTACCTGTTTCCATAAGGGTGTAAATGCCTGCACCGTGCGATGTTCAGCTGCTTTCTGTAGCTCAATGACAGAATCACAAAGCTGCCACCATCACCATTGGTGGAGTTCACACTGCATCTTCACACAGAGAGCTGTGAATATCCACCTGCGTGAACTGGAGATGATGGAGCCAGATTATATCAACAAATTTAAGAGAAGATAATTATTTGATCGAAGAAATCGATTGATTTCTTGATTGTTTAGTTGATTGAGTCCTGGGACCAACCCGATCTATACATTCCTGTGAGATCTCTTGTCGCCAGTGAGACCACAAAGTGTACCTGAAAGCTGATTGGTGTTGTTTTTATGCCTCTAGATCTTGGGGAGCTCTGTCAGAGTGAGCAGGCTGGACACAGCCCCTTCTCTGACAGTCACAGCGCCTGCAGTGATGTACCACCTGATGTGGCGACTGTTAGCAACACATTCAAGTCCACGAGTTTAACATAACGAGCAGAATGATTGGAGCTTTCATTGAATAATTGAAGTGATTCAGAAGCAGCAAATCAGACACATTTATCTGCCAAGAAGATTGGACATTAAACTGGAGATGTTCTCATGCAGTCTACAGTGACATATGATGATGATGATAATAATAATCCTTGCATTTGATATAGTAACTTATCACATCGAAGAGACGTCTCAACGAACTTCACAGATATACTGTAAAGTGAATTGACTATGTTTTTTGTGGGATCCCTGCCCCCAGTGACTGTCTGCCCTTCCAGGTCCTGCCGATGAGCTGGGCTGATATCAGAATTGGCCTGGAATACTGTGGACCTGCCTGGCTCAGGAATCAGACTAGACACCGTCATTCCGTTGCCAGGCAGAACATGTATTATATTGATTGTTATATTATTGATTGCTATTGTATTATATTATTGATTGTTATTGATTATTGATTGCTATTGTAGTATTACAATATCAAGGTGTTTAAGTGGGATCTCCAAGGAGACCCCACTTAAACACACATCAGACTGCTACCAAACATACAAATTGGCAGAGAATCGGTCTGATGTTTCCATTGAAGCTGAAATGAATGGGGATTCCGTGATTGGGACACGGCAGTTTGACTAAAACACTGCGCTGTCCATTGTTTTACCTCTGAGTTCTGCTGTTGCTCCTTCCGTTACACTATATTTGATGGGAAGTTACATTGGGAAAATCTTTATACTAATTTTCTGGCTGATCATTTTGTTCTCGAGATGGTCGATTCCACACCTCTTTTTGACGACTCACAAGTCCTCTGTCCCCTTGGATTAATTGAAACTTAAAACAGTTACGTTATTATAATAAATTTGTATGTTGAGGGTTTGTTGAAGACTATGGGAAGAGTGTTTCAGTATCATCCTGGAGAGATTTCCATTGCATTACATGTGTACAGAGTCATGTGCAGAACAGAACACGGATATATTCCTACATTTAATTTTACTGTTTCATTTGGGTTAAGCGAAAGTGCGCCATCGCTGACCTTCTAAGGTCCATCAGAAGACCTTCTTCTTACACTGTTGCAATCGGTCATCTTACCTCCTCTACCTCGCTGCCCTCCAGCCCGCAGTTTGGGTGAAAATCCTTCACTCCAGCGCCTCGGGACGTCCTCCTCACGTGAAAAGCGCTGTGTGAATGCAAGTTGCTGCTGTTGTTGTTGTTGTACTGTGCGCACTGGGGCCTCCTGAGCGCGAGGTGGCGCCACAGAGCTGCGCGTCTCTCGGCAGCCGATGGGCTGATCTTGGCAGCTTCGCGCGCAATGGCTGACGGGAACATGGCGGAGAAGCTTCTGTTAGCGGCGCCGAGCGGCGGGAAGAGGCCCAAACTGAGCGCGGCCGCAGCTGAGGGGGAACCCGGGGCTCAGGGGGCTCAGGGGGGGCCCGGGGGTCAAGGGGAGCCCGGGGGTCAGGGGGGGCCCGGGGCTCAGGGGGAGCCCGGGGGTCAGGGCGGGGCTCAGGGCGGGGACGAGGCGGCGCTGACGGTCGGCTTTGACCTGCGCGGGTTCCGTGTGGAGCGGATACTGCAGGACAGCGCGCGGAGCAAAACCGTCTTCATCCACGGACAGGTGCGGCTTTCAGCACAGCATCATATCAATCATAATACAACAGCAATCAATAACATAACAACCAATAATATAATAACAATATAATAATCAATAATACAATAGCAATCAATAACAATATACAATCAGTAATGTACAATAATCAATACAATAGCAATCAATAATACAATAATAATAATACAATGGCAATCAATGATAATACAATAACATTAATACAATAACAATCAATAATACAATAAAATAGCAATCAATAATAATACAATCGCAATAATAATAAATGATATAATAATAATAATATAATCCTCACATTTGATTAAATGCCTTATTTTGGGGGAACACCCCAGAGCACTTCCCAGGATTCACTGTAAAGTGTAGTGACTGTTCTGTGGGTGAAATGCAGCAGCCGATTTACACACACAATGTCCCGCAAACAGCTGTGTAGCAAACGAGTGATTTTGATCCTGTGGGATTCTCATCGAGAGAGAAATTGCAGTTTCTTTTCCCAACAGCGCTACGGGATCTTTAACATCCACCTGAACAGGGCACAAACAGTGCCTCGGTTTAACGTCTCATCCGAGGGGCATGAGCATATAAATATATCGCACTGGAAAAGTGTATTGTTGTTTAATCCTGAAATAAACACAAATTAAAAAAATAATAAATAAGCATGCACTACTATTCATAAAGTTATAACAGATGAGAGCTTGCTGGCTGATGGTCGTTGATAATTTTACTTATTGAAAGCGAGTATTGCAAGTATTGCTATGAAGTACTTGTAATTAATATTAAATGCTGCAGAATATGTTTGAAGTGTGAAAGGAGAGATAGATCCCATTCATTTTAGTAATAAGATTTCTTAAAACAGCAGATTGCAGATGATGGTGCAGAAGCCAAGGACGTTGTGATCATCTTAGAAAAAACACCTTTCCAAACGGAGACGCTGTCACTGCTTCTAAACAAAGATGCCGACCTTCGACTTCATGTGAAGAACGACATCTACAGCACCTATAGTCTCTACCCCCCTCCAACCCTTAATGGTACAGCCACTCCAACTCACCCCACTGTGCCGGTTTGTCCTCTCCTGCCCCCCCCCCCCCAATCCCGACTGTGCCGGTTTGTCCTCTCCAGTCCTCCCACTGCCACAGTGCTGGTTTCAATGAGATATCATCAGAGTAGAGCGCAGATTAATTTTAAATTTGGTTAATTCTTGGAAGAACAAAATAATTGTGTCCAAATGTGTAAATCAAGCTAAAATGTTATTCTGATTGACCTATTTTACACAGACTCTGGTGGCAATCGTTCACACTCAACTACAAATTGCTTTAAGCCCTAAGAACTCCCTACTACTCCAACCTGCTCACATCTTCTTCGCGTCCTTCGATCCCTCCACACCAGCATCGCCGTTGGGCCTTCAGCCACTATGTACGAATCTCTGGAACTCTCTTCCTCAATCTTTCTGCCTAGCCCCTTCTTTAGATCACACCTGAAGACTTTTCTCTTTGACTATGCCTGCCCTTTCTCCCTGGTTGTGTGTAACTATGCCATTGTTTAATGACCTGAGATGTACCCCTACACATAAGTCAGCAATTATTTGGAGAAATGTGCTAGTCTTTTGATTGATTTGCTCGATACTAAGGTGAAGCATGCATTCCTTCACAGAGATCAAGACCACAGTGGTGTATCCAGCCACAGAAAAGCACATCACTAAATATTTGAGGCAGGAAGTTTATCTTGTCCATGAAAGTGAAGATGACTACAAGACCATCACTGCTCCGTACCTGGAGTCCAAAGCATTCAGCATTCAGGTAAAGGAAAGAATGCTTCTTTTATCTATATTATAAGGCACAGGTGTGAAATCAGCAATGAACCACTGACCAGAAGTGTTGACTGACGTATTTTTATAGCACACCCAACTCTGAGTCAGGAGGATGTGAGTCCAAAACGCATGCCAGGACTTGTAAGCACATAGTTTTTAAAGAAGTGCTGGTGGTTGTTGCATTGTTGGAGCTGCTTTCTTAATTTCTTCAACTTCCAAAAGTTTAAGAAAATGGCTTTACGTGCTAAGACTCTCGAAGATTTCCTATTAAATTGCAGCTATTTTGTATGTATTTGCGACTTTTTCCATGTTATAATGTACATTTGGAATCCGACTCCTCACTTTCTTGACCCTTACAAATAGCAAGAACATATGGAGGTGATACGTTGATTGAAGCAGAAGGTAGGTGAATATTTCTGCTGAGATCAACGTTTGCCAAAGTTACTGGCAACTGGAACCAAGCGCTGTTCAAATATCAAGCAGGCATCAATTAAAGCAAGACAATGAGTGCCATTTATTTGATATTCTATCTCAAGTAGAACTATGTTTTGTGAATATGCTTTATGCGCATTGGGGTCTTCTGCTGGTCCTCAGAACAACAGGGCATTACTTTTACCGAGGCTAAAACTACTAAGACAAACTTTTGCATTGCTGAGAAAGTTTGGATAGTATTAGTTTTTTAAGTTAACGTAAATTGGTTTATTTTCTTTCAGTGGGTGTACAACATTCTAGAGAAGAAGGCAGAAGCTGATCAAATCGTTTACGAAAATCCTGATGCACAAAATGGCTTCCTCCTCATCCCAGATTTGAAGTGGAATCAGAAGCAAGTAAGAGCTTAGTTGAGATGCCATGACCTCGGCCCGTCCCTCTTATTAGAATTTAGATTTTTAGTTTTTATATATTCTGTTTTCCTTTTGTATGTAATGTATATGGGAAAGATAGTGATAAATTGCATTTCATATCATAGGTCCAGGAAATATTACCTGTATCATAGTCGTGACTAGAACATATCCTCTAATACAGTAGTTTGCATGGAATCGAGTAATTTTATCGCACAGAAAGTGTCCAATTGGCCCATTGTGTCTCCCTACACCAGCTTTCTGAAGGTTCTGTCCAGTTTGTCCCTCCCGTTTACCCATTCCGTTTAAATGTTTCTTTTCAAATAATTGTCTACTTTCCTTTTAAAAGCTATTATGGATTTCACTTCTACTGTTTTCAGAGAGCTTTCCATGTTCTAATAACCATTTTAGTGTAAATAATTTTTCTAATGTTTGATAATATCTTACATCTGTGTCCTCAGATTACGAATTTACCAGACTGTGTTAATAGTTTCATCCGATTTACCTTAGAAAAACTACTCATAGGTTTGAACATGTTTATTAGGTTTTCTTTCATCTTCTCCATTTCAGTGAAAATGGCCAAGTTTCTCTACCTCAGGCTGTCATCCCTGATAATCCTAGCAAATCTTTTTTGGTCTGTATTTACTTGAATTTCGAAGGTTGGGGGGTGATCTAGTTGAGGTTTATAAAATAATAATAAAGGGATTCAACAGGGTATCTACAGAGAAACTTATTTTCTCTGGTGGGAAATCCAGAGCAAGAGGCATAGTCTTAAAATTAGAGCTTGGCCATTCAGAAGTGAAATTAGGAGGCAGTTTATCACCCAAGGGCTAGTGACCCCCACCCCCCAAACAAAAGGCTGTGCTGGATCTATTCATATTTCCAAGATTTAGGTGAATATTTGTTAGGTAAAGGATATGGAGCAAGGGCAGGTAATTGAAATTGAGGATCAGCCATGATCTTACAGAATGCCAAAGCAAGCTCTAAGGGCTGAATAGCCTCCTCCTGTTTCTATGTTTCTGCTCCATGGACTACACAAGCCTTCCTAAACTGGGGTATCTAGAACTGGACATAATATTACAACCAACATTACTTTTAACCCTGTTTTATTTATATAGTTAGTTACGTATTATTATGCCTTTGATTTCCGTATATTGATTCAAAACTTTATTTTCACTGATCACCAGTCAATAATAAACTCTCCATAATGCAGGTTTCCTTCTTATTACTTAACTATTCAAATGGATTTACTATGTTTTATATAAATCTTATGTTCTAATGCTGCGGTAAAATCTTTGATTAGTAATTAATAATTATTTCTACTGGTCAGTGAGTCAGTAACTAGAGGGCATCGATCCAAGTTAGTTAGTAAACAAGTAAATGTGGAGGTTAGGAGAATGTTTTTCACACGCAGAGTAATTAGTGTATGGAATGCCCTGCTGAGATTGGGTTAAGGCAGAATCCATTTTGGCTTCAAGAAGGGATTAGACAGATATATTAAAAAGGGGCAGCTACAGGGATATGGGGAAAGGGCAGTTAAATGGGACTGAAAGGATTGTTCTCGAGATACACAATAGCCTGAATAATAATAATAATAATCCTTGCATTTGATATAGCACTTTTCACGTCAGGAGGACGTCCCAAAGCGCTTCACAGAACACACTGTAAAGTGAATTGACTGTATATTTGTGGGCGAACGCGGCAGCCAATTGCGCACAGCAATGTCCCACAAACAGTCGTAGATTGAAAATGACCGATTTATTATTGTTTTGTTTTTTTNGGAGGGATTATTATTAGGCTCTGTGTGGAGTAAGGAAACTTGCCCAAGGTTTCGCCCTCTGCCTGGAATTGAACTCAGGTCTCTCGCTTGCAAAGCGAGTGCTCTAACCACTGAGCTACAGGACTCCACATGAATGGCTTCTGTACATTTCTATCATTTCAGAATTCTATGTTTCAGTTCGTAAATTGGAGATTTTTTTACCCACTCTGGTTTAGTCATTTGAAAAATAGCTGTACAAATAAAAACTACCTCAAGAGTAATTTTATTTTCAGCTATTTGGAAGTGAGACATTACCTCACCATTGATCATGATGCCCAGTCTGTGATCTAAGTATGTTTTTAGAAGCTGATAGTGGCCTCGTTTGAGTTTGAATTGAAATGGTGCCATTTCTTTGATCACTGCAGATGCTTTGCGAGAATCTGATGGATGATTTGAAGCATAATAAATTATCCAAAATGGGTCTGGACTTCTGCAAATAATCACACAGTACTACAGAACTAGGAAGCTAACTATACCAAATCCTCACCGGGCCCTAGAAACCCAATTTAGATTAAACTATTTTCTCCATGTAATTGTTCTGTGTTAAAGTGTTGTGAGTTTAAAAAAAAAGTGATACAAATTCCGCATTTGTGGCAGAGTCTGAACAATGTGCTGCTCTGGGAAAGTAATTAAGAAATCTGGAGATCCACGTTATCTGATCTTTGCTCATATAGACTCACTTTGACTTATTCTATCAAGTAATGCATATGAGCAGTAATGCATATGAGCAGTTACATTCAAGATTGCTTCTGTGCTTATCTACAAAAGATGCTTGTTTGGGCAGACAGGACTTAGGTTTAGTGCCTTGTCAGAAGGACAGCACCTCTGACAATGCAGAGCTCCTGTAAGTATTGCATTAGAGTTGGTCCTCCTCATCAGTGCAGGGCTTGAACCCACACAATCTGTACCATAGCGAGAGTGCTACAGACTGAGCCAAGCTGAATCCCAGTTCAGGTACTAATCCTTCACTGTCCAACACCTTGGAACGTCCTCCCCATGTGAAAGGTGCTATATAGATGCAGTTTGTTGGTAGATTTTTAAAAAAGTAACTTTGAAGTTGATTGCATTTGTACAGCAAAGTGACAAGTGCTCTGGTTCTGAGTTCAGACTCAGACTCGGATATGAGAGCATGTGTTGGAAGATGCCATAGTCTGGTCTGATTTAGGTTCAGCTGCTTTACCAGTTTAAAAAAAANTGTTGTTGTATGTTTCCAGTAGATTGCGTCTCCTCCAGGTTTTACAGATGGAGTGCATAAGATTTTACAGATGTCTGGTGCTCCTGCCAAGGGTGTCTACACTGGGTTGAAAATATACTGCTGAGCCAAAACTCTCAGCTCCTGCTCACACCATGATTTCTATTTGTTACATTGCTTGAGTTTTATTGATGCAACATTCTTCTACAGATCTGAAAATAAACCACAAACAATGATCAGGGATCTTGTATGTGTATCTAGAGAAGAACAAACTGTGATTACAGATAGTTGATTAATTTATTGCTTGATTTGGTTTACAACCAGGTGGTGTTATGGAATAAATTACTATTAGGAAACTGAATCTTTGAAAGCACTTGTGTAGGAGATTTAATTTGGTTGCAACAACAACAACAAAATTACAATTGTATAGCGCCTTTCACGTCCAGAGGACATCCCAAGGTGCATGATAATCAGTGTTTAGGATCCGAGCTGGAGTTCGGGATCGGGGAGGGTGGAGGGCAAGGGGGAAGGAGGGTGATTGAAGAGGAGGGTCTTGAAAGGGGGGGAATGGGCAAGGTGGAGGGACTGCAGGATGGAGTTCAAGAGGGTGGAGGCAGAGAGGCTGAAGGTCCGCCTGCCAATGGTGGGGCGGGTGAGGTGGGAGATGTGAAGCAGGCTGGAGTCCGCTGAGCAGAGGAAACGGGCAGGTTGGTAGGGGGTTAGAAGGTCATAAAGGTTGGGGAGAGCAAGACCAGGAGGGCTTTGAAGGTGAGGACCAGGATCTTGAACTGTATCCTCTGTGTCAATGGTGTCAGGCGAGGATGGGGGTGATAGGGTGACGGAGCCTGGTGCGGGAGAGGACACAGGCTGCAGAGTTCTGGGTGAACTGCAGCCTATGGAGGGAAGAGTTGGGGAGGCCGACAAGGAGGAAGTTTGCATAGTCAAGCCTGGATGTTGTGAATGCGTGTATGAAGGTTTCAACAGCCTGCGGTTTGAGGCAGTGGTGGAGCTGGGCGATGTTGCAGAGGTGGGGGAAGGCAGAGCGGGTCATGGCACGGATGTGGGGTAGAAAAGATAGTTGAGGGTCAAACAAGATGCCAAGCTTCCGGACTGGCTTAGCAAGGTGAAGTGTGCAACTATGGATGGTAATGCTGTCAGGGCCTGAGGTGTGGAGGCACTCTCGGGAGTCAATCAGGAGAGCCTTGGTCTTGTTGATGTCCAACTGAAGAAAGTTAGCTCTCATTCAGGACTTGATGTCCGACAGACATTACAGCAGTGGTCCTGGAGTCGAAGGTGGAGGCAGAGAGGTAGAGTTGGGTTTTATATGCAAAAATGTGGAAGTTGACCACTTGTGTATTTTAATAAGTGGCTGTGTGACCACATTGTACTGTTCTGGTGCAACTTGACAGGATATTCTGGCAGAATCAGAATAAATGGGGCCGAAGTGCCTTCTTCATCCAAACCAATCTTATCCACTGACTTCCATCCACATTTAGCTTCATGCTGCAGAGGGAAGGTGCTGAATTACCCTGAAGGAAACTTCCCTCATCATCCTAGTGACCAGTTTCAGAATGGCTCAAGCCTGTGAGCAAGCTGTCTGCCTGAGAGGAGAAGATCTACCAAAGGGAAGGGTAGACATATCTTAAAAGAGACTTGTCAAAAGTGTTTTAGAAAAGGTCAAGGTTTCGAACTGAAGGCAGTGTCCTCTGAAGCAGAGCAGCTGTTATTGATGATCAAATGTACCACTTTCTATAGTCTCATCTTTTTTCTGTAAGGTTGAGCTAGTGAAAGCATTGTGAGTTTAATCTTTTCTAGCTAAACATGCTCCGAGACGCTACCCCACATGAAGACTGCTCTGTAAATACAAGATGTTGTTATGGTGCCATGGTTTGCTTGAAGACTTCTGCTGTGGGATAATTGAAAAGAGTCATGGGGGTGGGGATTCATTTGACAGGACCACTTAAGTCATCATGATGTCAATATCCCAGCCACATTTATTTAAATACATAAGCCCAACTCGCCACTCCTGATAACTCATCACTACGTCTCTCTCTTGGGGTGACAGGTTATCCGGAGTTTACTATAAGTCACTTTTCTCTTTTATGTACTGCAGTTGGATGACTTGTACCTGGTTGCGATTTGCCACCGCCGAGGGATAAAGTCACTGCGGGATTTGACATCAGAGCATTTGCCTTTATTGCAGAACATCCTGCAGGAGGGTCAGGTGAGAGTTGACCGAGTGGCTGATCAGGTCACGTCTAAGATCAATACACAGTCCAGAAACTGATCGTCTTATTTGAGCGCTGTTGTGGCAGCTCGGGTTCTCATTTCCCTCCTTGTTCTTTCTTTGAGGAAATCTCGTCCAGCACTGCTATTTTCCAACTTTAAGGTGAATTGACATTATTGAACATCGCCCACCACTGTCATCCAGGGACAATTCACCAGATTGCTAATACCAGGGATGTAAGAGTTTAGCTAGCTAGACACTGTCTGCGCAGTGAAATCCAGGCCCTGTGCCCAGTGTAATACAGTCACTGTCTTCCCAATGTAAACCAGATACTGTCTGCCCAGTGTAAGCCAGACACTGACCAGTATAATACAGACACTGTCTGTTCAGTGTAAGGCATGCCTTGTGCCCAGTGTAAGGCAGGCACTCTCTGACTCGGGAAGGGGCTTTGCTGGGATGCACCAGTGCACCTTCTAGCAGGTGATTCCAGGGTGTAATAGCTGAGGGCATGTTACATATCTATCCTCTCAACCTTCAATAGTCCCATGACTTGTGGAGAGCCAAGCCAGGCGAAATGGCAAAACATGTCCATGACAGGCTGAGCTTTACCTTTAGATTTTTTTAAAAAATACAAAGTACATGTGTTGACACAGCGTGAGAGTTCGTGTTTTGTGTGGCTGTCCTGTATAACTGTATAACCTTATATGCAGTCATTTTTGCTCATCTTGTAATACTGATTTTCTTCTGCAGGAGGCAATCTCCGAGCGGTACAAAGTTAAAGGAAACCAGTTGAGGATTTATCTTCATTACCAACCTTCATATTACCATCTTCATGTGCACTTCACTGCACTGAGTTATGATGCTCCAGGATCATCAGTGGAACATGCACATCTCCTCTCCAGTGTTATAGAGAACTTACAGATAGATCCTAAATACTACCAGAAACATACTTTGGTGTTTGCCTTAAAGGCTGATAACCCTCTTTTGCAGCGGTTTAAACAAACCAGAAAAATGTAACTCGACCTTTTTAATTAATTTTCTATGATAGTTTTTTATTATGTAATTATATTTTCACTTTGATACCAAGAAGTCCTGTAGCTCAGTGGTTAGAGCACTCGCTTTGCAAGCGAGAGACCTGAGTTCAATTCCAGGCAGAGGGCGAAACCTTGCAAGTTTCCTTACTCCACACAGAGCCTAATAATAATCCCTCCAAAACCAAAAACAATAATAAATTGGTCATTTTCAATCTACGACTGATTGTGGGACATTGCTGTGCGCAATTGGCTGCCGCGTTCGCCCACAAATATACAGTCAATTCACTTTACAGTGTGTTCTGTGAAGCGCTTTGGGACGTCCTCCCGACGTGAAAAGCGCTATATCAAATGCAAGGATTATTATTATTATTATTAAGAATGTTTACCAGCCCATCAAATTGTTAATTGTCGGCAATTGGAGATAATCAACGGTTATCCGTCCCCAATCATAATTTGCTGGAAACAATGCAATCTTGTTTTGTTATGTAATTTGTTCTTTTACTCACGGCCACGCATGGCAATTGCATTTTGATTTGTTTGTGTGCAGAACACCATATTCTCATCTCTGTCAGGTGCCTTGGAATGTCCACCTGCTGTGAAACTGAGCTACCAAACAACAGCAGCAACAACAACAAACTGCATTTATGCAACGCCTTTTACATCGGGCGGACATACCATGGTGCCTGACAGTCAAGGGTTTGCACCAGATGGAATAGGTGTGACCCAAATTTCTGTGCCTTTACCTATCAGTAATGAAGCACTTTGAGACTGAAGTAACACAATGGGAAAGACCCAGAAACAAAGATCAATGGCTTCAGTAATCAACACCTCAACTCACCGCTGCTGGTAGCAAATTCACACAGTAGGCAAGTAATAATAATAATCCTTGCATTTCATATAGCACCTTATCACATTTACTACCAACCTGCCCACTCGCTCCGTTCAGCGGGCTCTGGCCTGCTCCATGTCTCCCACCCGACCCGCCCTACAATCGGTGGCCGGGATTTCAGCCTCTCTGCCCCCACACTCTGGAACTCCACTCCACAGTCCTTTCTCCCTCGCCTCCTTCACGGCCGGTCTCAAGACCCTCCTCTTTGATCGTGCCTTCAATCACCCTCCCACCTCTCTGCCTTCCCTCACCCCTCCCCCATGCTTGGGTCCCGACCCCTGACTGTCCAGCACCTTCCGACGTGAAAGACGCTCTATAAGTGTAATTTTGTTGTTGTTGTACCAGGCGTCTCAAGGTGCTTCACAGAATATACTATAAAGTGAATTGACTGTATTTTATGGGCGAATGAGACAGCCAATTGCGCACAGTAGTGTTCTGAAAACAGTCATGGATTGAGTGAACATTATTTTAAAAATTTTGAAGGGATTATTACCCCCAGAAAAGCGATCCACAAATCGATTAAAAACAACAACTTGCACTTATATAGCGCCCTCCACGCAGGGTGGTGGCTCAGAACGCTTGAACTAACAATCAGGTTCCTACTTACTGCTAGATAAACGGTGGCGTGTGGAGTAAGGAATCTTGCTTAATTTTTCGAATCAAACCCAGGTCCTTTCGCTTGCGAGATGAGTGCTCTTACCACTCATTATGCAATCACTAGTGTAAGAAGAGGAGCACACCGTTGTGGGTGGGGGTGGGGTGTGGTGGGTGGTATCATTCTGGTTTCCCAGGCATATTCCAATACACCAAAGGTAAATACATTTGCGCGCAAGCTGAACCCCCTGGAGTTTCTCTAATCCAATTTATCTTCCTGTTCTTTCTGCATTACCTTCAGATGGACGCTAAAGATCCCATGGCACTATTCAAAAAGAGGAGTTTCTCCCAGTGTCCGGGCCAACAAATCGCCCAAATAAAATTGTTCATTCACTCCATGGCTGTTTGTGGGACGCTGCTGTGCACAAATTGGCTGCTACATTTGCCCACAAAATATACAGTCAATCCATTTTACAGTATATCCTGTGAAGCACTTTGAGATATCTCAATGACATGAGCTATATCAAATGCAACAATTATTATTAATGTGAATGCCTCTTTCAAAGATTTGAGCGACAACAACTTGCACTTATATAAGCGCACTCCACACAGGATAGAGTCTCAGAGCACTTAACAGTGGCAGAGCTGACTCCGGGGGGTGGGGGGGGGAGGTGACCGAAGCATGGTCAAAGCGGAAGATCTTCAGGTGGGACTTGATTATTAACACAGCTGGAAAATATGCCATTTTAATCAAAGATTTAAGCAAATGGGAGAGCTTTAGCTGCACACAATGTGGCATTGTTTGAACTTAATTGTGGAGATAGTTTGGAGAGTATGGAGGAAGAGCTCAATAATTATTGAGAAGTGACCTTTTGGAAACATCTGTAGAGGCTCCTGAACAAAGGATTTATTGTCATTTCCAATGGATTGAATTGTTCAGCTTCCAGTAGCTGTGAGTGCTGTTGATAGCAGTTTTCAGCTTCAAAAGCCATTGAGCGCAGGTATGATATCTGTGACAGAGATTCAGTAGTTTGTCATTATCAATGTCAGTGGAACAAACTTTTCGATTCCACTTCCACCATCTCTCTTTTTGGCATCATGGGAACATTCCACTTCTCTGCTGAGTAAAGACTGTAGCAGTATTCTTTTTATGAATGTAACTGAGAAGCACTGTATTTCTCCAGCTTCAACCACTTGATCTGTAAAATATTTGGCACACAATGTAGCAGACATATCTACACTTCAAAGCGTCATTGATAAACCAGACAGATCGGCCAGTCGTCAATGGTGTTTTTCTCTGGATCTGCTTGACTGGCAGGTATGTCTCCTGTATAAGTGTCCCGTTGAAACCTTACTCTTCCCCTAAGGAGGATATTTTTTGACATGCTATACAGTTTATCAATCTCACAAAAGTGAAAGGTAAGTGGACCATCCAAGATTGAAGGATGCCGAACATTTAAAAAGCAGCTTTCTACTGTGATGCATACAGGCTGTGAGCCTGGTTCAGTTAGCACACCCGCCTTAGTCTGAAAGCAGACACTCCACTAGAGCGCTTGGGTATGCTACATTGTCATGTGATAAAATAAAACTGCTTTATATAAACTCTAATCGTACAACACAAACCAAATGATCTCATAAGGAAAGTAGAGCCTTGGCTGTGATTTAGAATAGTGTTTTGGCCAGCGGCCCGGCAAGCACACCCTTTGGAAAGATTCCAGTGCTCTTACAACAAGATTCCATTTATAGAGTGCCTTTCACGTCGGGAGGACGTCCCAAAGTGCTGTACAGTTGGGTCAGGACCCGAGCATTGGGGGGGAAATGGTCAGGGTGAGGGGAGGGAAGGGAGGGAGCGAGGAGAGGGTAGAGAGTTGAGGGGATCATCTGCAATCATACATATACTAGCTGTACCCATTGCAGCTTTACTTGCAACCAAAGGGTGCAATATGAAATGTAGATTGACACAGACATTTCATCATTATACTCGTCTGGGAAGACTCGTGGGAGGACTCAGAGCCTTAAAAGTATAATTATTGGCTAGGACATTATGAGAAACTCTGGTTAGAGATCTGGTGATTAGAGAATTGATTTTGCTTCCTACACAATGCAAATTCTCCACCAGGTTATTTAAACTACAATTTACACATATATAGCACCTTTCACATCAGGGTTACTTCTCAAAGCGTTGTAACTAGCACATGATTGCAAGAGAGTGGTGAAGAAGGCCCTATTGTCCATTTGTCTCCTTCCAGATCACGGATTAGCCCTGCAGGGCCACCACCCCCATGAACATGGAGAACAACAATAACAAGATTCCATTTATTGAGCGCCTTTCACGTCGGGAGGTCATCCCAAGGCGCTGTACAGTTGGGTCAGGACCCGAGCAAGGGGAAATGGTCAGGGTGAGGGGAGGGAAGGGAGGGAGCGAGGAGGTGGTAGAGAGTCGAGAGGGGAACTGAAGCACGGTCAAAGAGAAAGATAATAAAGCAGATTTGTTTGCTGCTGTATCCAACACACTACACAAGTGTACAAAAGGCAAAATACTGCATATGATGGAAATCTGAAATGAAAACATTTGTTGCTGGGAACACTCATCATCTAATGAGAGAGGAAAGTGAATTAACGTTTCAGGTCAAAGAGCTTTAGTCAGAACTGGGTTTGAGTTCTAACATAAGATCGACCTGAAACATTAACCGACTTCTGCTTTTAGTTCAGACTTATAGCATTTCCATAACATTTTTGCCTTGTGTTTCTCTGGGTTCCTGTCTGTCTCAGGCTGCTTGGTCGCAGCGAGAGGTTTCTTTCAATGTCCCCAAGTTCTGCCCCAACCACAGAGTTTTTACTTCCTCCTTGCGGTACCCTACAATAATAATAATAATCCTTGCATTTGATATAGCACTTTTCACATCTTCTCGACTTCCCAAAGCGCTTCACAGAATATACTGTAAAGTGAATTGACTGTATATTTGTGGGCGAACGCGGCAGCCAATTGCGCACAGCAATGTCCCACAAACAGTCATAGATTGAAAATGACCAATTTAATTATTGTTTTTGTTTTTTTGGAGGGATTATTATTAGGCTCTGTGTGGAGTAAGGAAACTTGCCCGAGGTTTCGCCCTCTGCCTGGAATTGAACTCAGGTCTCTCGCTTGCAAAGCGAGTGCTCTAACCACTGAGCTACAGGACTCCACAGATCTTGAGACCGGCCTTGAAGGAGGAAAGGGAGGAAGCGGTGAAGGCACTGGGTGATGGAGTTCCAGAGCCTCGGGGCTGAGAGGCTGAAGGCCACCGATGGGGCGGGGGATGTGGAGCAGACCGGAGCCAGAGGAACGGAGGGTACGGGCAGGTAGGTAGGGGATAGTAGGTCGGAGAGGTAGGAGGGAGCGAGGCCGTGAATGGCCTTGTAGGTGAGGATGAGGATCTTGAAATCGATCCTCTGGGGGATGGGGAGCCAGTGGAGGCGAGCGAGGGTGGGAGTGATGTGGTCCCGAAGCCTGGTGCGGGACAGTACACGAGCTGCAGAGTTCTGAATAACCTGCAGTGTGGAGGGAAGTGCCGCGAGGAGAGAGTTCCCATAGTCCAGCCTTGAGGTGATAAAGGCGTGGACCAGTGTTTCAGCAGCGTGAGGGGTGAGGTAGTGCCGTAGTCTGGCGATGTGCCGGAGGTGATGGAAGGCGGAAATAAGGGAGAAAGGACAGCTCAGGGTCAAACAGAACGCCGAGGTTCCTGACTGGCTTTGAGAGGTGGAGAGTGCAGCCTTGGATGCTGATGGTGTCAGCGCCTGAGGTGCGGAGGCGCTGACGTGAGCCAATCAGGAGGGCCTCAGTTTTACGCACGTTGAGCTGAAGAAAGTTGTCTCTCGTCCAGGACTCGATGTCAGACAGACAGCCGTCAGGACATCGGTGGTCGTGGAGTTGAGGGTAGAGGAGGAAAGGTAGAGTTGGGTGTCATCCGCATACATGTGGAAGTTAACCCCATGTTTGCGGATGATGTCACCGAGGGGGAGCATATAGAGGGTGAAGAGGAGGGGACCGAGGACAGAGCCTTGAGGGACACCGCACGAGACAGTGCGGGGGCCGGAGGAAAAACCATTTGTGGAAACAAAGTGAAGACGGTGGGAGACGTATGGCCTAAACCACTCAAGGACAGGGCCTTGAAGGTTGAGGTGGGAGGACAAACGGTGGAGGAGGATAGCGTGGTCGACCGTATCGAATGCTGCCGATAGGTTGAGATGGACAAGGAGGCAGAGGGAGCCTTGGTCACAGATGGTCAGGATATCATTGGTGACCTTGACCAGGGCAGTTTCTGTGCTATGGGCAGCACAGAAACCCGACTGAAGGGGTTCGAATAATGAGTGGGTGGAAAGGAAAGAGCGCAGCTGGGAGGCAACAACTCGTTCCAGGACCTTGGACAGGAAGGGGAGGTTGGAGATGGGCCGGTAGCTTGATAGCTGTGACGCATCAAGGGAGGGTTTTTTCAAGGTGGGAGTGATGGTGGCAGTTTTTAAGGGAATGAGAACAGAGCCAGAGGAGAGAGACAGGTTGACGATGTCTGTGATATGTGGGGCAAGGAAGTGGAGCTGGGAGATGAGGAGTGGGGATGGGGTCAAGGGAGCAGGTGGTGGGTTTCAGGGATAGTATGAGTTTGGTGACAGAGGGTGGGGAAACGGGTACGAAGGTGTGTAGGGGAGGATGGGTAGGAGTCGGAGTGTGGGAGGGAGGGGGTGGGGGGTGGGTGGATGTTGGAGGGGAAGTGACCGCGGAGCGAATTCCCTTGATTTTGGATTCAAGGAAATCCAGCATCTCCTCGCAGTGAAGGTTGGAGGAGATGACCTGCGCGGGGTGGCGGGGGGGACGGAGGAGTCGGGATGTGGTAGAAAACAGTAGCCTGGGGTTGTTCTTCGCCTCCAGGATTATCCTGGAGTAGAAGGACGACTTGGCCGAGGCTAGAGTGGAGCGGTAGATTTTGAGGAGGTCCAGCCAGATTTGTCGGTGGACCGTTAGGCCAGATTTGACACAGGTGCGTTCAGCGGCCCGCACCTGGCTCTTCAGTGAGCGGAGGTGGGTGGTGAACCAGGGGGAGGAGCGAGAGTAGGAGACAGTACGGGAGGTGATGGGGGCAAGAGTGTCAAGTGTGGAGGAGAGGGTGTTGTGGAGGAGGGTGAGAGCAGAAGAGGGGTCAGTGAGGGTTGAAGGCCAGAGAGAGAGGCGTTCAGAGGATTCCAAGGCAGTGGTTAGGGATTGTGTGGGTAACTTCTTCCAGGGTGGTAGAAGATGGTGTGGGTCTGGTGGAGGTGGGGAGGGGGTTTGAGGTGGTGAAGGAGATGAAGTGGTGGTCGGAGACGGCCTTGTCGGTGATAGTGACATCCGAGACACTGAGGCCCCGGGTGATCACCAAGTCGACAAGAGGAATAGCATGAGCGCCATGAAGTTCAAGAGGAAGGTGCTGATGGAGCAACGTGGGCTCAAGCCATACAAGGTCATATGTGTCAGGAGTCAACCCCAACAAGAAGCATGAGGTGACCTTCAGCTTGTAACTGGAGGTGATCAGGTACAGGGACCTCGCGCTGAGGAAGAGAGTGGAGGATCCATGTGAGGCCCTCCTCAAATAACAAACAGCAGGAGGTGAAAGCCCTGCAACAGATGAGCGACCCCCTCACACAGGCTGCGGAGACTGTGAGGAGGTGGTCACCCTAACAATGCTGATGGACGAGTTTGGGATCTGGATCTGATAGGATTGTAGAGATGAAACTGCGCAGGGATAAGGATGGGAACTTGATATATTCCACCTCTCCCCCCACATTCCTGCATTACTCAGGCCAGTCCACTTTGTCTGGTGATCCAAGGTGGAGAGTGTCCGCAGGACAAGGGAGCTAACAGTGTCCCCAGTGTAGCCCTGATCCTCATGGGCACCTTTGTGTGTAGCTGCCTGAGGCTGTGCCGGCAGCAAATGCCCCCTCATGCTGGGCTTCCCCTGAGAAGCCTCTTTCCGAGATTATCTTCTTTACTTGTTGCTAATGGCTCATTCCTCTATCCTATATATTTTAGTCTTAACTCTTCATATTACTCCTATTACCATGGAATCCGAAATTTACAGCTCAGAAGGCTATTCTGCCCACGGAGTCTACACCAATTTGCAGAACACAGTGGTCTTTGAACTAATGCAGAACTAAATAACATGAAGATGGTTTGTAGCAATCACAACCTTGCAGAAAAACCTCATCCCTAATGGTGTACAGATGATCAATAACTAAGTTGATGCCTCTGTTAAGTGTTTGTTATCATTAGTACAGTGTTCTCAAATAGTTAAGAAATGGAAGAAAATATTGCGATGTTTACCCGAGGATAATCCAGAGATCTCCAAGTTAAGAAAGATTATTTTAAATCTATGTGGAGTGCAGCCTTGGCCTCAGTAATTCAGAATGATTTTTTGTTTGTTGGAGGGAGTGCGAGGGAAAGGCGACTTAATTAATTCTACATTGTAAAGGAGAGCTACCAGACAATTTGCTATCTCAGGCTTTTCCCTTTTGGGGAAAAAACGAGTAGACTAAATACATCTCGTTTTCATCTTAAAATGGTTGTGCCTTCTGCAGTCACCTGCAGGGAGGACCTGAGGCCAGAGGGTAATCAGCAGTTTATCCTGAGCAGCACTGCAGCAAAATACAACGTAACACCTCCAGTATTTACAGTAAATCCCGAGAATCGCCTCTGACAATGAAGGGCGAGGAATGTCCGTCTCTCGTTTCTATGTTCGGACTCGTTCGGAAGCGAAGAATTTGGAGACAAATTACAGCAACTTCATTTTCTGCATTAAATTCCGATTTAGCAGCAAATTGACTGAAGACTTCGCTCTGTTATTGGCATTCACTCACTGGGAAATTACTGAGCAGATGCGGATAGTGCGCGGGGAGGGGTTGTGGGGAGGAAGTGATCGTCGCTTCCTCGAACCGTTATTTCATAAGAGTCTCTGTCTTTGAGACAGTCTGTGCCACTGTGTGTGTGACTGACCCCCAGGGGCTGTGTGTGCGTGTGTGACTGACCCCCCCGGGGCTGTGTGTGCGTGTGTGACTGACCCCCCCGGGGCTGTGTGTGTGTGTGTGTGTGACTGACCCCCAGGGGCTGTGTGTGTGTGTGTGACTGACCCCCAGGGGCTGTGTGTGCGTGTGTGACTGACCCCCCCGGGGCTGTGTGTGTGTGTGTGTGTGTGACTGACCCCCCCGGGGCTGTGTGTGTGTGTGTGTGACTGACCCCCCCGGGGCTGTGTGTGTGTGTGTGTGTGTGACTGACCCCCCCGGGGCTGTGTGTGTGTGTGTGACTGACCCCCCCCCCCCCCGGGGCTGTGTGTGTGTGGTGTGTGACTGACCCCCAGGGCTGTGTGTGTGTGTGTGACTGACCCCCGGGGCTGTGTGTGTGTGTGTGTGTGACTGACTGACCCCCCCCCACCCCCGGGGCTGTGTGTGTGTGTGTGTGTGTGACTGACTGACCCCCCCCCCCCCCCGGGGCTGTGTGTGTGTGGTGTGTGTGTGTGTGACTGACCCCCCCCCCCCCCCCCCCCCCCCGGGCTGTGTGTGTGTGTGACTGACCCGGGGCTGTGTGTGTGTGTGTGTGACTGACCCTCTGGGGGCTGTGTGTGTGTGTGTGTGACTGACCCCCTGCCGGGGCTGTGTGTGTGTGTGTGTGTGACTGACCGCCTGACGGTGTGTGTGTGTGTGTGTGACTGACCGCCTGCCGGTGTGTGTGTGACTGCCCCCCCCGGGGCTGTGTGTGTGTGTGTGACTGACCCCCCCGGGGCAGTGTGTGTACCTGAGTGCAGGAAGTCGGGGGCTCAGTGTCAGACTGTGGTATTTACCGGTGGAGCCGCTGCGGTGAGTAAAGCCCCGCGTGTCAGCCCCGGGGGGGGGGTCAGACACACACACACACAGACAGCCCCGGGGGTGGGGGTCAGACACACACACAGACAGCCCCGGGGGTGGGGGTCAGACACACACACACAGACAGACAGCCCCGGGGGTGGGGGTCAGACACAGACACACACACAGACAGACAGCCTCGGGGGTGGGGGGGGTCAGTCACACACAGACACACACACAGCCCCGGGGTGGGGTGGGGGGGGGGGGGGGCGGTTGGGGGTGTCTTAGTTTTTCTAAACAAATGCATAATATCAAGATTTTGGGCCTGAAATTCTCGCGATGTAAAAACAGAGAAAAGCTCAGAAATAGCGGCTTCAGCCCTGTCCCGGGGGGGGGGGGGGGGGGTCAGACACACACAGCCCCGGGTGGGGGTCAGACACACACAGCCCCGGGTGGGGGTCAGACACACACAGCCCCGGGGGGGGGTCAGACACACACAGCCCCGGGGGGGGTCAGACACACACAGCCCCAGCCCGGGGGGGGGGTCAGACACACACAGCCCCGGGGGGGGGTCAGACACACACAGCCCCGGGGGGGGGTCAGACACACAGGGGGGGGGGTCAGACACACACAGCCCCGGGGGGGGTCAGACACACACAGCCCGGGGGGGGTCAGACACACACAGCCCCGGGGGGGTGGTGGTGGGGGGAGTCTGTGTTAGTGGTTCTGTTTCCCCCCAAATGTTTAATTTTTTCCCCCCAAAAAGGTGACCAATGTCTCCGCTGCAAATACACAATCAGCGCTGATCCTCTGTCCCCGAGACCCCGGGGCTGTGTGTGTGTCTGACCCCCCCCCCCCCCCCGGGGCTGTGTGTGTGTCCGACCCCCTCCCCCCCCCCCCGGGGCTGTGTGTGTGTGTGTCCGACCCCCCCCCCCCACCCCCGGGGCTGTGTGTGTCTGTGTGTATCTGACCCCCCCCCCCCCCCCGGGGCTGTGTGTGTCTGTGTGTGTCCGACCCCCCCCCCCCCACCCCCGGGGGGCTGTGTGTCTGTGTGTGTCCGACCCCCCCGGGGCTGTGTGTGTCTGTGTGTATCTGACCCCCCCCCCGGGGCTGTGTGTATCTGACCCCTCCCCCCCCGGGGCTGTGTGTGTCTGTGTGTATCTGACCCCCCCCCCCCCCCCGGGGCTGTGTGTCTGTGTGTGTCCGACCCCCCCCCCCCCCGGGGCTGTGTGTCTGTGTGTGTCCGACCCCCCCCCCCCCCCCCCCGGGGCTGTGTGTCTGTGTGTCCCGGGGTTTTGGGGCTGAAACGCAGCGTTTTTCACTGTCGACAAATACCTGGAAATTGAAGGGATTCAATTTGATCCTTAAAATACAACAATTCGGCCCTTTATGACCCAAAACTGATACACTGTCACCGATACTCATCATTGACTATTTTCACACTTCGTTCAGCGTCAACAACAACAACAACAGCGCAATTCTCTGGGAAAAGGCCCCTTTCACGTCGGAAGGACGTCCCAAAGCGCTACAGACAGAGTTACTGACAGGACCGGAGCAGCTCGGGATTAGGGAGGGGGGAGGCCGGTGGGGGTGGGGGTGGGGGGGGGGTAAGCAGGGAGATCGAAAGCACGGTCGAAGAGGAGGGTCTTGAGGTGGATCTTGAAGGAGGCGAGGGAGGGGGTGAGGCGGGTGGAGGGACTGCGGGACGGAGTTTCAGAGGGTGGGAGCGGCGGAAGGCTCAGCTGCCGATAGTGGGGCGAGCGAGGCGGGGGACGTGAAGCAGGCCGGAGCCCGCTGAGCGGACAGGACTGTAGAGGGGGAGTAAGACCATGGAAGGCTCTGAAGGTGAGGACCAGGATCTTGAACTGTACCCTCTGGGGGATGGGGGCAGTGGGGTCGGGCGAGGATGGGGGATAGGGTCACGGAGCCTGGTGCAGGAGAGGTCACGGGCTGCAGAGTTCTGGATGATCTGCAGCCTATGGAGGGAGGAGTTGGGGAGGCCAACAACAACAACAAGATACATTTGTATCGCGCCTTTCAGGTCTGGAGGACCTCCCAAGGCGCTGGAAGCAGCGAGTTTGCAGCGTCGAATCTCGATGTAATGAAAGTGTAATGAGGGTTTCGACGGCCTGCGGTGTGAGACAGTGGGGGAGTGGTGGACAAGGTCCTATTCAGATCTGCCTAAAACATACCCTGACTCCAGAAGAAGCAACACTCGAGGTGTCCGATGATTAAATCACTTAGTTTACAACTCAGTTGCTGGAATGTTACAAACGGCAGCTCGAGGCCCAGAGAGAATGAGATCTACTGCATGTTTATACCCACTATAGCGCAGACCCGGCTAATGTTACAAATCCAGCACATTCTGTTCCTGACCATTATGTTTTTAATATTATGTATTATGTGGGATTGTGTACAGAAAGAGCAAAGTGTTGGAGGGATGAGCTATGAGGAGCAATTCGAGAAGACTTGGGCTCTTCAACCTGAGCCAGAGACCTGTGAGGGAGTCCTCATGATTAATGGGGGAGAGAAGTTAACTCAGATCAATCCATTCAGATACGCTACGAAACGACAAGTCAGTTGAGAGTTGAGAGCGATTTTAAGGAACAGTTAATGGTTATCAGGAAGTCTGGTGAGAGCAACACACTGGACTCAGTTAAGAGGCTGAGGTCAGCTTCTGATTAAATGGCTACAGCCTCTGACACCTGCCCACCTCAAGGCTGAAAAACAAGCAGCCTGTGGAAGGCTGCCCAGAAGTTGTCCTGACCTCCCTGTCTGCAATGCAGCCTTGAAGGATGGATCCTATTTCTGTGACAACGAGAGGCAAACCTAGCCTGAGTCATGTGCCTTATTCAGTGCCAATTATCACTATTAATCTTTGCATTTAATATGTTGCACATCGGAAAGACGTCTCAAAGTGCCTCACAATTTTTCCTGTAATGTGTAGTGCCTGTATATTTTGTAGGTGAATGGAAGTTAAATGCTGTCACACACTAAACTGGTTTGTTATGTGTTTTAGCCAATGGTTACACGGGGCCGTGATGACCTCCTGGTGACGGTCAGCAATGGGAAAAAGGTCTAAAGCTGATGGCAGCTTCCAGGTAAGGGAACTCTGAACTTCCAGCTACTACCTCACGTGAAGGGTGTTATACAAATGTTAGAAAAAGGAAGTACACTTAAAGGAGAAATCAGCTGGCCCCAAAGTTTAAAAAACCTATTTAGAATAATTCGAATACATTAGAATATACAGCACAGAAACAGGCCATTTGGTCTAACTAGTCTGTGCCGGTGTTTATGCTCCACATGAGCCCCTCCTGCCCTTCCTCAACTAAGCCTTCAAGCATAACCGCATATTCCTTTCTCCCTCATGTACCTCTCTAGCTTTCCCTTAACTACATCTGTGCTATTTGCCTCAACAACTCCTTGTGGTCGCATGTTCAGTGGAAATATCTTCCCTAAATTAACCCTATCCAAACCTTTCATCATTTTAAAAAACTATCAGGTCACCCCTTACCCTCTTCTTTTCAAGAGAAAAGAGTCCAAGTATGTTCAGCCTTTCCTGATAGATATAACCTCTCAGTTCTGGGATCATCCTTGTGAATCTCCTTTATACCCTCTCCAGTGCCTCTACATCCCTTCTATAATGTGGGGACCAGAACGGCACAATATTCTAAGTGTGGTCTAACCAAGGTTCTATAGCAGTTTACCATAATTTCGCTTTTCATTCTGTCCCTCTAGAAATGAACCCCAATGCCTGGTTTGCTTTTTTATAGCCTTATTAACCTACATTGCTACTTTTAGTGAATTGTGTATGTGTAACCCAAGGTCCCTTTGCTCCTCTACCCCATTTAGGTTTTTATTTTACAGGATGCATGTGATGTATGGAGTCCTGTAGCTCAGTGGTTAGATCACTCGCTTTGCAAGCGAGAGACCTGAGTTCAATTCCAGGCAGGTCAGGGTGAAACCTTGGGCAAGTTTCCTTACTCCACACAGAGCCTAATAATAATCCCTCAAAAACAATAATAAATTGGTCATTTTCAATCTACGACTGTTTGTGGGACATTGCTGTGCGCAATTGGCTGCCGCGTTCGCCCACAAATATACAGTCAATTCACTTTACAGTATATTCTGTGAAGCGCTTTGGGACGTCGAGAAGATGTGAAAAGTGCTATATCAAATGCAAGGATTATTATTATTATTGTAGGGTACCGCAAGGAGGAAGTAAGAACTCTGTGGTTGGGGCAGAACTTGGGGACATTGAAAGAAACCTCTCGCTGCGACCAAGCAGCCTGAGACAGACAGGAACCCAGAGAAACACAAGGCAAAAATGTTATGGAAATGCTATAAGTCTGAACTAAAAGCAGAAGTCGGTTAATGTTTCAGGTCGATCTTATGTTAGAACTCAAACCCAGTTCTGACTAAAGCTCTTTGACCTGAAACGTTAATTCACTTTCCTCTCTCATTAGATGATGAGTGTTCCCAGCAACAAATGTTTTCATTTCAGATTTCCATCATATGCAGTATTTTGCCTTTTGTACACTTGTGTAGTGTGTTGGATACAGCAGCAAACAAATCTGCTTCCAAATTGAGACAGAACCTAAACATTTCTCAAAATACAGTAATTTGAAGATTGTGGAAGTGAGGATCTTCCAGTCATTGTGACATTTGCAGAATTTTCGTTTGTGCAGTTTACAAGAAGTTACTTTAGTGGCAAACCTGGAAGATGGTCATTTTTCTGTTTTCCCGAATGTTTGGTCGGAGAGATTGGAGACAAGCGCTCTGGAATGTTATCCTGTATGAGGGACGCTATATAAATGCAACTTGTTGTTGATGAGACAACTGCATATTAATGGGATATCATGTATTTGTCCTGTATTTGTCCTGCAGATGAATATTGACCTATTCGTGTTTACGGCTGTTGTCATGTAACCTAAATGTTGAACAGCATGAATCTTTGCAGTCAAAGTGAGCTTTCATGCAAGTCCGTGCTTAACTTTCTTAATAACACAGCCACAGATCTTTATCTTCAGTGACTGCGCTTTAATGATGCTTCAATCGAAATGAAAGCAATAAATTCACCAAATGTCAAACATGGCGGTAAAACTGTCTTTACCCTTTGCCTTTTGCAGTGAATGTTTCCTTCAGAGAGCTCGGCAATGATCAGGATTTACTGCATGGTTTCCCTCGAAGAATTTATTTTCAAGTAACTTGCTAACATGCTGGAAACGTCAGTTGTGAAAGATACCATTGTAGATTGTAATTGTGTCACATAGAGCTGTACACCACAAGTCCTAGGAAAACATGAACAACTTCCTCTATGTAGTAATCACTCTGAATTCTGGCAGCTATTTGCTTTATCCCAAAATAATAATAATAATAATAATCCTTGCATTTTATATAGCGCTTTTCACGTCGGGAGGACGTCCCAAAGAGCTTCATAGAACACACTGTAAAGTGAATTGACTGTATATTTGTGGGCGAACGCGGCAGCCAATTGCGCACAGCAATGTCCCACAAACAGTCGTAGATTGAAAATGACCAATTTATTATTTTTTTTTGTTTTTTGGAGGGATTATTATTAGGCTCTGTGTGGAGTAAGGAAACTTGCCCAAGGTTTCGCCCTCTGCCTGGAATTGAAGTCAGGTCTCTCACTTGCAAAGCGAGTGCTCTAACCACTGAGCTACAGGACTCCACTAACTAATGTGCCTCATGGAAATGTAATGGAATTTTAATATAACCCAAATTGGCACTTTATATCAATTACAAACAGTTTTACATTTCTAGATTATTTGAATTTGGCATTGGATTATAGAAAAGCATTGCACAACCTGTCTCTGAGCCCTCAAGAAGTGGACTTGGTTTCACAGCAGGCAGGTCAGAGTTTCTCACATGAGCATCTGGATTGAGCAGCTGATGTCGAGAGCCTGGTACGTAGCATTGGACTTGCACCTGAAGAACATCAGTGTGGCTGGCACGTCACAATCTGTCCAATAAAGGTCTTCCCAACACGCTGAAGGTAGGTGCCTGTCAGAAACAACAACAAAATTACATTACATTTGTAAAGCGCCTTTCACATCGGGAGGACATCCTAAGACGCTCGACACACAGAGTTATGGACCCGAGCTGGGTGTCGGGGAGGGTGGAGGGCAGGGGGTAAGCAGGGAGATCGAAAGCACGGTCAAAGAGGAGGGTCTTGAGATGGGTCTTGAAGGTGGCAAGGAAAGGGGCGAGACGGAGGGACTGCGGATAGAGAAAGCTTTAATTCCGTGTCTATAAATACCTTGCCATTCAAATTTGTAATATTGACCTTGAGAGGAAATAATAATAATAGTGAATTGTTCTATAGCAAGGTAATGGGGGAAGCATATTGAAGGTGAGAAGAGAATGGAGAATAAAATCGTGGGGAACACCACAAAGACTCCCGGGACAAGAGGAGAAGCCGTAGATACCGAGATTGTTGCTATCAGGTCGCTAAATCATTTACTTAACAAGTAGTAGTTTACAGGAAAGATAAAAGCTCAATTAACCCTTAGTCACTGGCTGGAAAGTACAATGTCCTCTGATAACAGCACAAACATTGTTTCTCTAAAGCGTTGGGTAACTGAACTTTCACAGTGATTTCAGTGGGGAAAAGGTAGCTTCTGCACTAAATCTTTTTATTATAGTGTATTAAGAACAACAACAACAACAACATCACTGTATAAAGGGGCAGCTTGTTTCTCACAAATACCGCAAATTATAATAATGGTAATCTTTGCACTTAAACTAGCACCAAGATCTCCAAGTGCTTCACAGCATATCTATACTAATCTTCACAGCATATCTATACTAATCTTCTACACCTAATAAAGATGAAATGACTGTGTGCGCGGGTGTGTCTGTCTGCCAAAAACACAATAATCGAATGATGTAGAGACATGATTTATACCTCATCGGAAAGGTCTTGCATGGAGGAGCGTCAAGGGCATATTTTTTTTCGGGGATCTCCTATCGTGACCTAAACAAGCTCATCACACATATATGAACTCTAACAAGGAGTCCTCCCAACAGGATGTGTGTTAATTATGTGAACAATGGATGCTAACGAGTCCAATAGCACATTTTCTTAATCTTAACGGATAAAGATGCCTAAGAAGCAAAGATCAAGCCTTTCAAGGACAAATAAAAATGCCAGATGAAAGAGAGAAGGCCGATTAAATGAAACAGAATGCAAGCGAAGCTGCAAGGGGTACAGCTCCTACTATATAAAGTGGTGTGATTGTATTTTGTGGGTAAAAGTGGTAGCCAATTTGCTTCCAATGGCAAGCTATATGGTTTTAAGCACATGGTGGTGGATTTTCATACATGTCAAGATACCCAACTGACCAAAAAAATACAATATTTCAGTTAGTAACCACAAATTATAAGCTGTATATTTTTGCATCTGATTTTGAGGGTTTAAAATTATAAAAGGGTTTGATAAGGTTAACATAAATAGGCTGTTTTCCCTGGTTGGGGAGTCGGTAACCAGAGGACACAAGTATAAGATAGACAGACACTGGGGGCATCTGAAGGAGAATATAGGAGGAACCACTTCATGCAGAGGGGAGTGAGATTGTGGAAATCGCTGCTCAAAATGGTGGGTTTACGAAAAACATCTTTTTTTTCTTTTTCAGGATGAACTTGGTGTGAAGCAGGAACACCGATCCTCTGAGCCCTTCACTGGCTGAGAAAAATGAACCTGAAACCACGTAAGGAGTTTCTCTCATAGCTCCGCCTCTCGCTGTCGACCCACTGGCAGCATTGATGCCTCGTGCAGTCTGTGTGCAGTGACAATTCCTGTAACCCCTATAATATCAAAACGTCCCAAAGCACTTCATAGGATTTACTGTCGAGTGTAGTGACTGTGTTCTAGGGGCCTACGAAGGGTACAGATTCCTGTTGTATTTGGCTTCCTCTAACCTTAAAAGATATAAGTGTCCCCCAGAAGTCCTCACGATGGGCAATGCTGTGTGTGGGGAAAGGTTCTGGGGAGCATTGCCTTGCCCCTAGCGTTGCTGCTGATGTAACCGTCACCAAACACCGCGAGTGGAATGCTAAACTCCAGTTTCTCCAACGGTCACATATTTATGTCAGAATTGCAGTTTTTATTTATCATGTTTAAAATGTTTCACAAATAATAACAGTAATAAGTGCAGTAATGGTATTCTTTACTTTCAGATTCTAATAAAATCAAGCTGTTTGCAGTTCTTCTACTCCTTACAGTGATCGTGGTTTGTATCTTCCTGCAACCGACACTGAAAACAAACTGGTATGTCTGTCTGTATGAGGTGCAATGGGTGCTTTCTAACAGCATTTTTTTAAGGTGATTCAGAATATTTAATAATAATCTCCAGATTTGATATAGTGCCTTATCATGTTAGCAAGGTACTGTAGAGGGATTTAGGTTGTTAAGTACTTAAAAAGGAAGAGTGTGTATTCTATGGGGTAAGAGCGAGTGAGTGGGACTAGTTGGAAGCTTTTTCAAAGAGCCGGTACAGGCACAATGGACCGAATGGCCTCCTTCTGTGCTGTAAGATTCTATGATTCTAGGTGATTGAAACCTCACTCTGTGATTATGAACTTTGTATCATACGCACATTGGGCATTAGACAGTGCTAGAGAGCGAGTGGTAGTGTTCTGGGCAGAGGCGACGGCTGATGATCTGATGACTGCGACTGATGGAATCTCTTTGAGATGAAGGGTCAAGTTCTGGTGCAGTTACCTGTCTGTATTTGTTGCAGGGTTCAGTATGAAACCTGCCTGACGGATCATTCCAACCTTGGCAACAGCTTGGACATTGCAAAGTGAGTATCTCCTGGTGGCCGCGATCCTCGTTACAATCTGCTGTGAGTGTGTGTAGACGTCTCCGTGGTCTGTCTGGTGTGTAACATGTTTCTTTTCTGTTTCCTTTTCACAAGTTTTACAAAAAACACTCGTCTGTTTCTCACGTTAGAGGATGCCTGGTGGAAGCCACAGGGAAAGGCAACTCACGAGCTTCCATATGGAGTGAAAGGCACAGGTGAGAAACCACCTGGACTCCATCCCTTCTCTTCCTCGTTTGTTACAGCAAATAAACCAGGACCTGGTAAACCGGCTGTAAAGGACCTGCTTCTTCATAATGACAACAGCTGTTCTCTTAGGAGAAGAAAACCATCTGAATGGTCTGACGCTGATATGGCATCTGTTCCCAAATTATCCTGCCCCCACCCACTGCTAGGCCCTACCCCCACCCACTGCCAGGCCCGCCCCCGCCCACTCCGTGGCCTGACGGCAACTGGCCTCTCCCATTTGGAGTCCTGTAGCTCAGTGGTTAGAGCACTCGCTTTGCAAGTGAGAGATCTGAGTTCAATTCCAGGCAGAGGGCGAAACCTTGGCAAGTTTCCTTACTCCACACAGAGCCTAATAATAATCCCTCCAAAAACCAAAAACAATAATAAAATTGGTCATTTTCAATCCATGACTGTTTGTGGGACATTGCTGTGCGCAATTGGCTGCCGCGTTCGCCCACAAATATACAGTCAATTCACTTTACAGTGTGTTCTGTGAAGCGCTTTGGGACGTCCTCCCGACGTGAAAAGCGCTATATCAAATGCAAGGATTATTATTATTATTATTATTATCTTGCCCTGCCCTCTCCTCTGCCCCGCCCGTTGTCTCGTTCCCTGGAGTCCATCAGAGAATTTCCCAAGTGGCCAGAGGTGAAGACTCTGATCCCGATAATCATGGACGTGAACCAGTCAGACGCTGCTTTGTCTGGTGTGACTGGAGCGTGATGCGTAACCGATTGCCTCGTGACCTGTTAGTGGACGAGCAGGTTTTGTTGAGTGTTTGGTCAGTGATGTATTGGTTGGGTTAACATATGGGATATAAGGGAATTGGACACTTAGCTTGGGAAAATGCTGAGAGTCAGAGGAGGGAATTCAGGCCTCCACCAAACCAAGCTCTGACTCGCTGTTTACTTTGTGAAACTCATGTACGTGATGGGGAAAGAGCTCTGATAATCTGTGTCGCTGTTTCCTTTTTGTTTCAGAGAAATTTATGGTGAAGATATTAGCTCGAATCCAGTACCACATGCCTGAAAATATACACAGGTAAAAGCTAAACCCTTTCTCCACTGAGGTTTGTGTACAACTCGCATTTCATTGTGTGAACAGCAGAACCCAGTCTATTGGCCTGTAACATCCGGTTTATTTTGTGTTGTCTGAGAGATGCGATCCAAGTAAGTACGAGAGAGACATATACACAGCATCACATGTGCACATACACACAGCATCACATGTGCACATACACACAGCATCACATGTGCACATAGCGTCACATATACACAACGTCACATGTACACATACACACAGCATCACATGTACACACACACACGACATGCAGCCTTTAATTTATAATCATATTTGTCCTTTATTAAACAACCTGTTAGGTTTGGGAAATGGTGAACTTTTTGAGGTGGGGGCTTAGTCTTTGCTGTATTCTGCTTTTTTACTGGACTTTTCCCCAAACAAGCTCAGGTTCACGTCCCCTCAAAGTCTGACCTGTGTTACAGACTATTTTACTGTCCAATCTGTATCTGTTACCAGTCTATTGTAAATTACTGATCTTTACAATCTCCAGGAATGTCGGGAATGTGAATTCCGCCTCAGGGAACATTTCCTTTGTTTACTCAGTTTCTCTCTGAAACACCCAATGATTAATGATCTGACTATCAACAACAACAACAACAACAAATTACATTTACACAGTGCCTTTCCTGTCGAGAGGACATCCCAAGGCGCTGGACAGTCAGTGAATTGGACCCAAGCAGGGGATCGGGATCAGAAGGGGTGGAGGAAGGGTAGGAGGGTGACTATAGGCACTCTCACACAGATTCCGCTTTTCAATGCATTGATTCCCCATCCAGGAAAGTCTATAGTAACAGCAAATATTGTCACTATGCAGTGTTGGCAACACGTCGTCAATGTGGTTGTGTCTTATAATACAATTTTTTTAATATATCAGATTACCGTGTAAGACGTGTGTTGTCATTGGCAATGGATACAACCTGAAAAACAGTTCCCTTGGAGACGTGATCGACAAATATGACATTGTTTTTAGGTAATAACACTGTTCATTTCCTGTTTTTTTTTGGTAAGTCGGGTGTCTGCCACACGCGGAAGCCCATCACCCCCACATGGAAATCCCAGAGGTAGATTGTTGGAATGGAATGCGCTCTCTCTCTCTCTCTCTCTCTCTCCCTGGGGGGACGCCCCCCCTGCTTACCTAATTCCGGAGAATATTAGGCGCAGATTCCTGACCTTGGTCGCTGCTTGGACCAGTGAGTGTGAAGCTGCTGTGATTTTTTTATTATATTGCTGAGCGAGGTCAGGCTGCTCAACCCCATTAACCAAATTATACTAAAATACGTCCCACTTTTGGAATGAGGGTTGTCCCCGCAGACAAGCCCCTCCCTCCAAACTCTTCTCGGCCCCAAATTATCAAAGGACAATGTGACCTGAACCCTGTGTTCACAAGCCCCCGAGCAGGTCAGGTGATGGGATGGCCTCTCTGGCTGGGCAAGTCCGGCCTGAGCCGAGTGACCAGGGACTCAAGTGATTCCAGTGTCTCCCGTTCCTCTGCGTGAGGGCAGATCTCAGTGTGTGTGTGAGGGCAGATCTCACTTCTCAGGTGGGAAGTGCTGGAATACCGACCCCAACCAACAAAGAGCAGATGGCATCGCTGTAGCCAGGAGCTCAATCCTTCAGCTCATGCCATTTGAAACAGGCCACTAGATGATAATAATAATAATCCTGGCATTAAATACAGCGCCTTATCACGTCTTCTAGACGTCTCAAATGCGTCACAGATTATACTGTAAAGTGAATTGACGGTATATTTTGTGGGCGAAACATGGCAGCCAATTGCGCCCAACAGTGTCATAAACAGTTGAGTGACCAAATATTTTTTGGAGGGATTTTTACCGCCAGCCAATCGACTAATAAGTGGGTTCCTACTTACTGCTCGGTAAACAGAGACGTGTGGAGTAAGGAAACTTGCCCAACTTTTGCCCTGTTGGGAATTGAATCCGGGTCCTCTCACTTGCGAGGCGAGTTCCAAGAGCCTCTTGTTGGTTTATACCTTCTCGCTGTTTCCTCTCCTGTCCAGAAGAGAGAAGTGTCACTGTAAGCGCTGTCTGTGCTTTGCTTCTCAGGCTGAATGATGCCCCAGTCAGAGGCTATGAGAAAGACGTCGGCAGCAAAACTACGATAAGACTTTTTACCCGGAGTCGGCTGTGGTGGACCCGAGTATTGAGAACACACCTGACACCCTCCTGGTCTTCCTGCTGTTCAAACCAGCTGACGCTCGCTGGCTCATGGAGACTCTGTACAATGAGAAAAGAGTGAGTGCAGTGGAGATGGGGGAGGGGGAGCAAGGGGGATGGCAACAACAACAAATTACATTTGTGTAGCACCTTTCACATCGGGAGAACGTCCCAAGGTGCTGGGCAGGGCAGGGCCTTGGGGGGGCAGCTCTCCTCCCACCCTCTGCTCACTCCTTCACTCATCACTCTGGCAGCCATTATGAAGTGCTCTGGGCTGTGCTCTTGTCTGCTGGACACTGTATAAACAATGATTATTGAAGAGCAGGGAGCGGTGGGAAGGTGAGGGGGTGAAGGGAGGGGTGGGGTGGTGAGGAGATGAAGGGAGGGTGGAGGAGGCATGTGGATATTGTGGTTCACTTGGCTTTTCTTTGTTCTAGCTTAGGAAAGGATTCTGGAAAGCTCCTCCCTTGCTCTGGCATGGTGACCCCACCAAAACCCGGGTTCTGAACCCCTATTACCCACACCAGGCGGCCACCAAGTTACTCCACGTCCCTCTCAACGTCCCTCCGAAGTCAAAGAAGGTAGAGACTTGCATGGGGCGGGAGGGGCCTGTCTCATACGATGGGGCTATCTTACATGGGGTTACTGTTGGTGGGAGCCATACGGGGCTGGAGGAACAAGCTGCCCCTTGTTCTCTGTGACCTGAGGTTAAATCCAGGCCAGAACACGATGTCTGAGGGTCTGCTCTCTGGGGACTGAAGATCAGACAAGAGGTTCAGGTGACAAACATCCTTGTTGATCTCAGTCTCCCATGCAGTGACCTCCCTTTACAGCATCGAGCTGTTTGTGAATGGAATCCATTTCTCTGGGCCTCCCCCACCCCACACCAGGGTGATGGCTGCTGATTATCGGGGCTAATTACTGAGTGTGAGGCATGATGGGAATATCCCTGTGGTGACCAAGGTGACCGAGCCAAGGCCCACAGATGTTATGTCGTGTCTTTTGCTTTGGTTACACTCAATGTTTAATATATTTCAATCTTCATCTCTTCTCCATCCACAGAAAATTGTCCACCCAACCACTGGCTTCATTGCTGTCACCGTGGCTCTCAATTACTGTGATGAAGTCCACATTGCCGGCTTTGGTTACCCCTTAAACCAGAATAACTTTCCCATTCATTACTACAGCAAAACAACCATGAAAGAAATGGCTGTAAGTACTAGAGAGACACAGACCCTGGGGCTTTTAATGTGTGTTGTTGATCATGACTTGGCAACTTTACTCCTGAAACTCAATGAGGTTGTGAGACGGGGGTTTGGAAAGAGTTGGAGAGAAAGCCAACGGAAAGAGTTGGGTTTGTTTGGATCCAAGAAAGTTTAAGGGAGAATCTGATGGTCACAGAAGTGATCAGTGACTGTATCAGTTGGGGGTGTAAAGTCTTAACAGCAGTTGTCTAGCACTTGAGTGTCTGCAGTATCCCAAACCCAGTATCCCTGCACCCCACCGGCCCCTATGGATGACTTTCCGGCTTTTCCTTTGCAGAATTCTGGACACAATGTCACCCACGAGCACCTGTTCCTGAGAAAACTGGCGGCCGCTGGAGCCATCAAATACCTGGTTTTGTGATGTTTCCGAGAGAGAAAAACTCGTCATATTTCTCAAGCATTTTTTTTTGAGCGATTGTGAGGTTGTGTCACCCTCACTGGAAGCCAAAGTCTCCTCGTTCTGACCTGCGTTCAGCCATAGACCAGCAAGTACCTGAACTTAAAGAAGAAAGCAAAGGCGGGGTCTCTTGTGTTCGGAACATTGTTTGTGCCAGTGATGAGGGGATGGAGATTTGCTACTTTGCACCTGCAGTGACTACTGTTGACTGCGAGGAGGGAAGATGGACTCAGTGAGAGATCGTTACTCACACCCCGGGAATGAGCTGGACATCAAGACCTCGACCATCGGCTTCTGAAAGAGACAGAGATGGATTGCGTCGATTCCTTTACTGCCCAACCTGTTTCACCTTGTAATTGTCGTCAGATTCTTGTGCTTAAACTCGAGGCGGGTGGGGGGTGGTGGGGGGGCGGGTGGGATTTGTCGATTTATTTTGTGGATTTGCTGGGGGGAGTGTGGGGGGGTAGGGGCAGCGAGGGGGAGGGGTTGACAGGTGGAGAAGATGCGTTTGACTCGAGGCTCTGAGATATACTTGTTCCTCATAGAAGAAACTACGTCAACTCGTGTCATGGGCAATCGCTGTGGTATTTGTGGGCGAGGCCTCTCCGGCCGTGGACACGACAGAGTTGTCTGCCCATCGACTGGTTTCCAACCCGAGGGAGTGAGTTTTCTGGAGCTTTCTGATGGAATGTCATGTAGACGTCGAGCAGCTTCTTGACCCCAGTTTGTGTGGTTGTCACTGAAGTCACACAGAGTTATGGACCAGACACTACGATTGTGAAAGGCCAAGGGGACATGTCGTGCCTGGAGCAGTGATCAAGCGACTGGGTGATGGGGGCTGAGCCCGGAAAACTACCCTTGGCTTTTGTTGTTGGTTAAAGATCTGAATCCGGCCTCAATGTAACTCACTGTGTTCGAGCAGGTTCCACTCTGAGGCTTGGTACAATGTTCAATACAGCTCTGTGGGTCGCACTCACAGGTAAAATCTTTACAATTGATACAGGTGTGTGTTTGTGTGTATTGGATAAGTCTGAGTGTGTGTGTGTGGATGAGAGGGTGTGTGGGGGAGGTCCTGTGTGTACACGTGTGTATTCGTAGCAAAGAGTAAGAATAAAGTCAAAATGAAAAGAGAAGAAGGGAAAGATGACAAATAATTTGATACATCGTCCAATTGTGAACTATCTCACAGCGCTTCACAGGGAATTACTGTCAGGTCTAGTGACTGTTTAGCAAACGTGGCAGCCACACCGCACACAGCCAGCCAGGTTCCCTGTCAAACCAGTCACAAAGGGACCAATTCATCCAGAGGATTTGCTAAGTAAAACTGCCACCTCTTTTTGGTGGATGTAACAGCTGAACGAGAAGACAGGACCTCAGTTCAATGTCTCTTCAAAGGGACGGAACCTCCAACAATCCTGTCTTGTCCTGGGCGGCTGTGAGGAGGGCGGGTTCGAGCTCACAGCGTCTAACCCACAAGCAGAAGTGAGATGGATTGAGAGCCAGACTGAGACTCTGATGGGAAAAAAGTACATTGAACTCTTTTCTCTTCGACGTGTGTGTTTTGTTGGGCTGTTATTGCGGTAATAAAAATTGTCACGTCAATCGCTTTCTATTTTTGTGTTGTGTTTTTTCCAGTATCATCGCATGAGGTGACACATTCAGAAATGGTTATCCCAGCACCGAGGGTTTGTAATCGTTCCCGAGAGACCAAGCTCGGGAAAGACCGGGAGCAAATGGAGGGGCCTGTGGGAGGGCTGGGGAGGTCTTGATGCTACGGTAGATCCAGTAAACTAGCTGCTTGATGCCATCTGCTCCCAGTGAATGAAGGTCATATTTATGTTTATTCTGATTTCTCACATCCTGTCACTGCAACAAGTACCTGAAGTGGAGGTGGGGGGGAAGCAGTACAAGACAGTGACTGGTGGGGTCTAAAATACATAGTAGAACAGTCGTGAAAGTGAGAAACTTGCTCGACAAAATACTGATTGATTCTGATACTGTATTCAAGAGGAAGTTTGATTTTCACATAACAGGAGAGTGGATTGTAAGGGACGATGGTAACAGCAGTTGTAGTATTAACATGGACTGCATTTTGTGCTGTTTATACATGAAAATCTATGTAAATCGTGACATCACCTAAGCCGTTTGTTAATAATGTTAATAATTCACATACTTTTAAGCTAATTAAATGTTTTAGTTATAACATAAGGCTCCATCGTTGTAAGTTATATGTTATTGTGAGTTCAGTGATGATTTACTGGAGTTCAGTCAATGAAGTGTGGGCACATCATTAATTTATTCATTTTTTTGATCACCTTTTATTGCGCAAAGCATATCTTCAAGGTGCTTTTCTGTTAGGGATTGTGAAAGATTTACTGGAGTTCAGTCAATGAAGTGTGGGCACATCATTAATTTATTCATTTTTTTGGTCACCTTTTATTGCGCAAAGCATATCTTCAAGGTGCTTTTCTGTTAGGGATTGTGAAAGATTTACTGGAGTTCAGTCAATGAAGTGTGGGCACATCATTAATTTATTCATTTTTTTGGTCACCTTTTATTGCGCAAAGCATATCTTCACAGTGCTTTTCTGTTAGGGATTGTGAAAGACGCAAAAGGTAGGAGGATGAGATCAAACACAGGGATATTTTCATGTAATAATATTAATAATCCTTATGTTCCACATCGTGTAGCATCACGTCAGGACGATATCTGAAAGTTCTGCACAGGGCTTATTGTGACTGTGTGTGTCTTGTAAGAGAACTGGAAGCCAATTTGCAGTAAATTTAATTTACTACATTGGGTAATGCAATGAAAAGAATTGTAGAGATAATGAGTGTAACAATCGCGCTGCAGCTGCCAGGCTTGTAAAAACATGTTTAATAAGGAAACAAGTTCCAGCTCAACTTTACAGCAGACATCGTTAACAAATATCTTGACCCATTTTCCTTTAAAGATCATCGGGTCCTGGCTGTTGGAAAGCGTTTGACAGTTGTGAGCAGTGTGATGGCACTTTGCTTTCACTTGCAAAATCCATCACGAGTTCTTGCATATAAAATTGGGCACTGCTCACCTAGAATGTAAAACCAGCCGCAAAATTTGACTGCCTTCAATCACCTTTTCCTTCCCCCCCTCCCCCACCCCCACTCCCAATTCATCTTAGGTGCCCAGCCTCCTGACGTGAAAGTCGCTGTGTTTATATAGCTAAAACTCTTCAAACTTCGAAAGAGATAGGTGAGAAAGGACTTTGTACAAGTTTACAAGCTGCTCAGTGGGGGAGAGAGAGAGAGTGAAGCACTTTGAAATATTTCTGAACAAGCGCTGAGACTCCGAGGTACCACAAGCATATTCAGGACAGATACGTCATTCATGTACTCAGAAATGTCAGAGCACTCTGTACAGCTGACAGTAGCAGGGGGTGGGTGCACTGGGAGGATGAGATCAAATATGGCTCGGAGTCATGTTCCTGTCATGCACTGTCAAGCGCCCTGGGCTCTGCCCTGCATGAGGGATGCTGTGTAAATCCGAATTGTCAGATTTCCTGTTTCGTAATATAATGGCATATCTGATTCTGTGGTTCGTGGAAGTACGTGCAGAAGTGGTCACAAACACAATTTGCAAACAATTTTCAGGGCTTCAGGTGGAACAACATTAGTCAAATACTCATTTAAGTCTGAATATGTATTGTACAAACAAGTTAAGGGAAATGAGCAAAAAAAAATTCTGAGCAAGAAGAGGTCAGAGAAACACGAAGTTAATTCATTAAATTGTTTTGAATCGGTCTCTGAGTCAGGGTTGATGTGTGTTAGGCTCCTGTCTGCCAAGGCCTGGGGCAGTGTTTGGATTTGGAAGCAGGGGGTTAAAGCCACAAAGCAGATGGGAATATCTTCTGTTGCATTAAAAAAAAGTCATTTTTTAGTCCCCTACTGATGTGAAATGCGGTAAATATAAATTGTATTGCAGGTGAATCATGGCTTTTCCTTCCATTTGCTCCCATATGGAGTTGTGGCAGATAACATAACATAACATGTAGGAGCAGGAGGAGGCCATTCGGCCCTTCGAGCCTGCCCCGCCATTCAATCATGGCTGATCTTCTAATCTAACTCCAGCTAATAACCTGACCCTGCCTTATCCCCATATCCCTTAATCCTTTTTGCAATAAGAAACATATCTGGTGAGGTTAACATCCAGAGAAACGCAATACACTAAGGAAGTTGGGGGTCAGTGGACTGGGGAGTTAGAGAGAGCAGAACACAGTAATACTGGCAGATATAGCATAGTAAGCGCTCCGAGACACTATTCTGCATGATGGGTGCTATATAAGTGCTTGTTATAGTAATGAGGCAACAGCCATTTGAGGAGATAATAATAATCCTTGCATTTGATATAGTGCTTTTCACGTCTTCTCGACGTCCCAAAGTGCTTCACAGAATATACTGTAAAGTGAATTGACTGTATATTTGTGGACGAACGCGGCAGCCAATTGCGCACAGCAGTATCCCACAAACAGTTGTTGTGGATTGAGTGACCATATAGAAATACAACAACAATAACAACAAAATTACATTGCTAAACAGTCAGCTGTCGGGGCCAGAGCATGGGGGAGGGGTGGGGTAGGGGTGAGGGAAGGCAGAGATGTGGGAGAGAGACCAAAGGCACAGTCGAAGGGAAGGGTCTTGAGACCGGCCTTGAAAGATGCGAGGGAGGAAGCAAGGTAAAGGGACCGTGGATGGAGTTCCAGAGTGTGGGATAAATAAATAAACTATAAAATTAAATTAACTGAAAGAGAATAACTTGATTAAAGAATAATTAAAATAACAAAATAGAAAAAAGCTATAAAATTGAAACAACTGATTTTTTGGAGGAATTATTACCAACGTAAAGTGATCTGCCTATCGACAAACAACCGTGTTCCTACTTACTGCTAGGTGAACAAAGTCGTGTAGAGTAAGGAAACTTGCCTAAAGTTTTGCCCCGTCTGGGAATTGAAGCGGGTCCTCTCGCTTGTGAGGCGAATGTTCTAACCTATATGCTGCAGGACTCCCCTCTACAGTGAAATCTGGTGAAATGCTTTCAGACATTCTCTCAATGTTCTCTGGATGTCAAGGATGCTGTACCAAATGCAAGAATTAATATTATGAATTCTGATAAATTAAGCACCAATTTTTTATATCACTTGCATTTATATGTGGGCAACAATCCCCCAGATAAAATTGCTCGCTCACTTCCTGAATGGGACACCACGGAGATGTCGATGTGCGTAAATTGGTTGCTTCGTTCGCCCACAAAAACACAGTCACTCCCCTTTACCATAGACTCTGTGAAGTGCTTTGGATCGTCCTCCTGAAGTAAAAGGTGCTGTAAATAATCTAAGGATTAGTACAAGTGTATGCAGTGCCCTACCCATAGGGCTGCATTTCAGAGCACTTGAATATACTGTGTGCATAAGGTGTTTGAGACACCTTCCCAGCTGTGGAAGTTGCATGATTGAGGAAATACTTTGATATCCAATTTGGGGGATCTATGCACTGCGACTGAATGAGGCTTGCTTATTCACCTGACATTTTTGCTCAGAGAAACCAGTAAGTTTACCTGCTTCAATGCTGCACACACCACATCGTTTTCCCCGCTGCCTGTAGTCTTGTTGAAGATTTATCTTCAGAAATTTTAATGTTTAATGACTCCAAAGTTTCTGAAGTCTTTCTGGTTCCCTAGAACCACTTGTCCAAACCCCGAGCTCCGGCTCTGAGCTCGCAACAGGTCGTGTTGAGGTGATAAAACAGAAGGTGATACAACAGAGTGTCAGCTCTCTTAAAGAAGCTCTTCTGTGGCACTGCTTTGTGTGAGCTGCTGTCTGAGGAGATGTTACCTTAGAGCAAGCATTCACCTGGAGCAATGTGAGGTTACAACTCGTCTCTTAAACGGTGGATTCAGCTGAGAAAGTGTAAGTGTTTTTTAACTCCTGTGTGTAAGGGAAGGGGTGAGCGAGCTTCTGTTCTCCGTCTATAAGGATAGTTTGTCTGCGATTGTGAGGATTTTGACTTTGGAGAGGGTTGGGGGAGGAGGTGCTGTTAACCCGTGCATTGTTCGAAATGTAGTTTCTAATCCTCAGGAATGTCAGCGTTCACTTATTTTAAAGTGAGTGGTTGGGGGGTGGGTTGTCTGTGGATACTGTTTCACAGACAAAGAGATGGTGAAATCATTTAAATGCCCCAAATTCATAGTGAAGAATACCTAATGGTTGGGAACAGAAATGTGCTGGGATTGGAACATTAGCTGGGACTGCACCACAGTGGTTATAAACATACAGTGAGTTTCATTCTCTTTGGGACTTGAGCTACTGTTTGTAATGTTCCAGGAACTGAGTTGTAAACTAACAGATTTAATGATCGGACACTTTGGTTTTGTATTCAAGCTGGTTTTCACTTAGTAATAAAATAACACAGTGGCATTAGAGCACTTGTCTCGCAAGCGAGAGGACCTGGGATCGATTCCCAGGCAGCACAGGACAAAACCTTAGGCAAATTTATACTCCACACGCTTCTGTTTACCTAGCAGTAAAAAGAAACCTGGTCATTAGTAGATTGGCGGATTACCTGAAAAGGTAATAATCCCTTTATATAAAAAAGAGTGGAACTCAATCCATGGCTGTTTGTGGGACCCTGCTGTGTGCAAATGTCTGCCACATTTTGCCCACAAAATATACAGTCAATTTACTTTACAGTATATCCTGTGAAGTGCTTTGAAATGTCTCGAAGATGTATATAGTTTCTCTGTAGCTATACTTTCAAATCCTTTTAGCATTTTAATGCTACAAGGCAAATGGAGCAGCCTGTTTGCATACAGCAACATCCCACAAACAGCTCTGAAGTGAATGACCAGTTTAATCCGGGGGATTGCCAGCCACGACATAAAACGTGGGTAAAATGGCGCTATGTGGAAAGAGAAGAAAGTTTCTCTCTGCTAGGTTCCTGGCAGGGTTGGCCCATGGAAAATAACATCACATGATCACACCCAACTCACAAGAACAACCCAACAACAAAATTACATTTATAGAGCGCCTTTCACGTCGGGAGGACATCCCAAGGCGCTGGACAGTCAGGGGTCAGGACCCGAGCATGGGGAGGGTTAGTGCAGTGGTGAGGGAAGGCAGAGAGGTGGGAGGGCAACTGAAGGCACGGTCGAAGAGAAGGGTCTTGAGACCGACCTTGAAGGAGGCAAGGGAGGAAGTGAGGTGAAGGGACTGTGGAATGGAGTTCCAGAGTGTGGGGGCAGAGAGGCTGATTGTAGGGCGGGTCGGGTGGGAGACATGGAGCAAGCCGGAGCCCGCTGAATGGAGGGAGCGGGCAGGTTGGTTGAGAAGCAAATTGATCTGATATTTCTCTTTCGCTGCTCGCTCTGGACATTGGCCACGGGATTATATTTTGCCTGATCACGAATGTCCATTTTAAACTTTACCTCCATGGACACGTTTGCCATGAAACTAACACATTCTTACCACAATATTTAAAAAGAACTCTTTGTCTGCACTCCTATGTGGCTTTCTATTTAAACAGCACAGGTAAATTAATCTGTTACCTAACCTTCTTACTCTAATCAGGTGTTAACCCTCTGGCAACAGAGTTTTCAGGGCCAACCCATGGCCAACATATAACATTCATCCTGTGCCATGGTTCCCCTTGTCACCCTCGAGCACAGATATCTTCTCACTCGGCTCAAGTTAATGCTGCAAACCCTGGGTGTTTGGAGTCAGCGCTCTCAATGATGAGCACCGTGACTGTATCTGGTTTAAAACCGGTTTAATAGCATTAATCACAACACTCTTTGTTTTCCCCGAGTCTTGGCTCCTGCCAACCTGCGTGTAAAACTCTCCAGATAGGCAAATGAGGTACTGAAGTCTGGGCAGATTCCATTGCAGACACAGGGAAATATTCATGTATAGGGGCTTCCATGGAAATCTCTCTAGATCTGGGCGGGACAAGATGTGGCCAATGTGTGGCTCAACCTCTCACACTGGCCATGGTCTGGTCCCACACGCAGAGAGTTCAAGGTCGTGTTGATTCTAACCATTGAGTGTAGGAGCTCTGGATACCAGATAACCAAGCTCACATTGACAATATCGTTCAATTTATGGATTATCGGCAAAGCTACGGAAAAAGTAGTTACCAATCTGGAGAAGAGAGATTCAGTGGCTTCTGCGCACTTGCCTTCCTCGGTCTGTTCTGACCAGTAACAGTTACATTGGCTATGTTTGTACTACTTATCCACCAGATCACAGTGGGGTGAGAGATCATCTGATCACCACACATGCAATGGTGTAAAGATTTGTTTTTCACACACGGACTTGTTGGAATATGGAATACTTTACACCAAATTGTTTTTGAAACCAAATCTGTGGTAGCAATGGAATTGGATAATCATTTACAGAGATATATGAAACTGCCGACACCCTTATGATTTAGAGGGGAGTGTAAGTAGTTGATTCAGAATCAGTAATAATTGAATGAATGACCTCTGAAAGTTGTTAAAGACAAACTGGATAAATATACTGGCATTATCACCTTAGTACCTGTAGCATGTGCAGAGTAGTAACTACTTGTCAAATAATAAACTTTGTTTATTCTCTGCTGCAAAACAAAACTTTTCCAAGCTGGAAAAGTACTGGTTCACATCTCCTGACGACAGTTACCCACAACCATGAAAGCACGGAAAGAAGAGATGAAATGAGCTAAGGGACGTCTTTGTCCCAGTGCTTGTGATTATGCATTTACTTGTTGAGCTTTGTAAATTCTTTTACAGAAATCTTCCAAATCTGCTATTCACAGTCTGACTTGTTTCTCGTTTGCTCCCAGCAACACATTCCATACCTCAACCACTTTAGCTTTGACAATCCGAGTGTTTCTGCTCTCTCTGAGCCAGCTTGGGGGGTGGGGGGGGGGGGTAAAATTCCCATGTGACTGTTAGAAAAGGGAAGCAAGTTTCTCCTGGTTAACAAATCCATCAGATTAAGTGGTTTGCCACTTTATGGCTGTTAACAATATTTATTAACAAAAATAATCCTTGGATCTGATACGTCTGCCTGCCATGCTGTGTCAGAGGGCTTTAATGGATTTTAAGGTGTGCGAGCTAACCGCCTAACAAACTAACAAATGACTTGACTTGAAATCTGTCAACGTGTTTCAATGGCCAAATTTCTGGCTTTTTTTTATAGCTCTGCTTTTCCCTCTTTCAGTTGTTGTACAATCTCCATTTTCGAGATTCCGTGAAATTTTAGGACCTGTCTTGAGGGAAGTTTCCCCCCCAATCTTTGTTTCTCTGAACTGATTGAGTAAATATCTCAATTATATTTCACTAATTTGCAGTGGCTGCCATTATTTTATTTTGTTTTACAAGTTATTTTGATTTCTGTACAGTCTAAAGCTCCTCAAAGTGTCTCCAAACCTGAACACTGTATCTTATACATACAAAACCTCTACAAGTTTCTGACTTGTCTCTACCTGTTGCCTCTGAACTGCTAGATTAATCAGTGACTCAAGGGCATCAATTTTACATTGTGGCTTGCAAATGAGGAAGTTCGGAGGAATATTTTTCACAGGCAGAGAGGGCCGTATTGCCGGGAGTGCTGTTTGAGACACAATCCCTATTGGCCTCTGACAGAGAACTGGATAGACATCTAAAAAAGAGTCACATACAGGGGGGAAGGCATGGGAAGGGCAGAGGGGGGAGGGCAGAGGGTGGAAGGCAGAGTGGGGAGAACAGGCAGTAGCGGGCGGAAGGGGAGTTGGTGTTTGTTGAAGGGCAGGTAAACGGCACTGAAAGGATTGCTCTTGAGATGCAGGTTAACAGCTGAATGGGAGGATTCCCTGCCCCCAGTGACTGCCCTGCTCTTCCAAGTCCTGCCAATGAGCCAGGCTGTGCTGTGTTGTCATCAGCAGTGCCCTGGAATACTGTAGACCTGCCTGGCTCAGGAACCAGACTAGAGACCGTTACAGAGGGCTGGCTCGATTCTGACATTCTGTAGCTGAAAATATGTCACCTTGGAACCAGTTTGGCTCCCGCCTATCTCCCTCCGAGAAGGGATCTTGGTTGAGCAAAGCAAATTATCAGACAGATCTCACCTGCTGAGACAGATTTGATAGGCAGAGACAGGCCATCGCCTGAGCTGGGTGATGTTTATGTGGTTCCTATTGGAGCCTGGTCTCCTGCTGCTGAGGCTCTCTTTCACTCTCTCGCTGGTTACCTTGTTCTGACAATTTATCACAGAAACTAACCGTGTGCCGGGGCTACTGCATGCAGCACTAACCGGAAAATTGACAGGTACTGAATTTCAAGTTGTGGCGTTTTGCCCATAAGTGTTTTGAGACATCTTGAAGACGTGATAAGGCGCTATATCAAATTCAAGGATTATTATTTTTATTAATACTGATTAAACAATAAATTTTAAAAGATTAAAAGTTTCCATCGGTGAGTGAAATATCAACCTTTCTGCATCTCTTAATTTGCCCTTTCCCACTTGGGTGATTCCCGCCCAACACGGAATGTAAACAGCTGGTCTACATTTAGTGACTGTGTCGGTCAAACAAGAAACCCAGGTTTTGAACTTTATCAATTGATGCCAACTGAGTGAGACTCAAATCCGCACTTGTCAGATGTCTAATGATCGACTGGTGACTATCTCCTTCGTGGAGGTGGGGTGAGGAGGAAGAAGTTACCGCAGTTTCCCTGGAGCTGGACTGGCTCCAATGTGACATATTTTCCTTCATTGTCGGTAAAGTCAATAAACTTGAACAATGGAATAACCTCACATTGCAGGTGTTTAAACCCTTTATATTGAGCAAACATGTACCGTGTTTTTTGTACTTCTCCCTCCCCTCCTGTATTGAAATAACATTCCACAATAACCTTACGTCTTACATTATTCATCCTTTTGCTTGCTTCTCCACCTGATACCTGTCCTGCGCTCACAGCTCAGGGCGTGTCATATTCTTCTGAGCCAGATCTTCTCTCTGGTTTGATTCCCCTCCTGATAGTAATCAACTCCTGTTATTGAGAGTGTGAATTGACAGTGTTTGTTGTACTATCTGTGCTTCCAGCCTATGTCTGAACTCCTCAGTCACCAACAGCAAAACTACAAGTACGTGTAAGTCTGATTCCACTTTGATATTCCACATTCTCAAATCTGCTTTCAGAACCAAAGAAGCCTTTTCTCTTGTAGGGCTTTACTCTCTGTAGGGCTTTACTCTGTAGAGCTTTACTCTGTAGAGCTTTACTCTGCGTAGAGCTTTACTCAGTGTAGAGCTTTACTCTGTGTAGGGCTTTACTCTGCAGACCTCTGTAGAGCTAACTGCTTAGGCACTGCCCACCACTTCACACACACATTTTTCTTAATCTGTTATCTGTTTCAAATGCTTTTCTGTACTTTGTATCAGTCATTGGTTTCTTTTTATGTCTCACATCCTGTTAACCCATCTCAAAAAGTCACCAACATCTGATCGTTTTCTCAAGCCTCATTTTTTTAATTAAAACACTGTTTGGGTGAGATAAGGGTTAATAATATAATAATAATAATAATCCTTGCATTTGATATAGCGCTTTTCACTTCAGGAGGACGTCCCAAAGCGCTTCACAGAACACACTGTAAAGTGAATTGACTGTATAATTGTGGGCGAACGCGGCAGCCAATTGCGCACAGCAATGTCCCACAAACAGTCGTAGATTGAAAATGACCAATTTAATTATTGTTTTGGTTTTGGAGGGATTATTATTAGGCTCTGTGTGGAGTAAGGAAACTTGCCCAAGGTTTCGCCCTCTGCCTGGATTGAACTCAGGTCTCTCACTTGCAAAGCGAGTGCTCTAACCACTGAGCTACAGGACTCCACTCTATCTCTGGCTACTTACCTCGCTCTCGATAAATCCACCCAAATAATTTTCTTGCATTTTATTTGCTGATTTCAGTTGACATGTGAAATACTACTTCATCTGGTCTCCGTGATAGTTAAACTTCCTGGGTGTCTGACAAAGTCCGAAGTCTTGAATCCCTTTATTACTCTTCTAAGATCTCTAATGCAGCAACTGACCTTTTTAAAGTGAAATGAAGTTCCCCAAATATGCCCTTAACCTTGTCCTAGTAGCAAATGGTTTGATAACTAAACTTTGCCTGGTCTGCTCTATCCCCAAACAGTGGGAATGGTTTTGATTTTACAGAATGGAGAGCAAAAATGTATTTGCCTGGAAATGAAATTAATCATTGATAACAGAGAATTATAATATAATAATAATCCTTGCGCTTGATATAGCGCCTTATCATGTGTTCGAGACAGCACCTGTTAACCCTGCATGCCAAGGCCCTAATGGGGAGGGTGAGCCTAGCTGGACAAGCAGTGGGAAAGCTTGTGAAACAGTGCTCTCAATGACAAGTTAGCGGTTTAGCTGGTTAGACTCCAGCAGTTACCCCAAAACACACTGTGGGCTCCCCAAGTCTTGGCTCTTGCCAACCTGCGTGTGATACTTTTGGAGGCATCAAATGCAGGTTTGGAGACTGAAGCTCAGTAATGGACACCCAACTGACCAAAAAACAAATAAATTCTCCTGTCCCTCTAACTGCTTTATCATTCAATATTTAACACTGACTCTGAGATACTATATATGGATGGAGCGAGGGGTGGGTGCGGGGGCTGGGGGAGGGAGTCTGCAGCTGGAGTAACCCACACACTACCTTGTGATAAGTAAGAATCTTCTGTCTGTTTCAGAATAAATCATCTTTGAAGAGTTGAAGTGAAAGGGAAAGATGAGAATTCTGACACCAAAGATGTCCCTGACGTCAGGTGGGGAGACTGCTGTGTGGAGCCTGTGTGTCACTGCCCCGAGGAGCCCAGGGCTGTTTGTGTTGGAATCTCTGGCTAGTCACCAATCTCTCTGGTTGTTCAGTTGTTGTTGGATGGAGTTAGACGCTGTTGGGAAATCTTTGAAAGCTGCAAAGCTCAGCGTGAAGATTGAGCAAGGGCAGAGGGAAACAGGCCATTTGACCCAACTAGTTTGTGCCATCTGTAGAAGCCTCCACCCCTCCAATTCCCCTCATACACCCTCTATTCCCTTTTCTCACGTAAGCGTGAAATTTTCTCTTGATGCATTGATGATTGACCAAACATATTGCTACAGGCCTGGATCTGTAATTAATTCAAGTAATTAAGTCATTAACTTAGCAGAATTGTATCCCAGCCACTGAGAGAGATTGTGACTGGAAGAGTTTTATTTTGACACTGACTGTTACCGGTCTCAGTGGAGACAGATGTTCACTTTTCTATCTCTCCAATTCCAGCATCAGGACATCAGGACCCATCTCAACACTTCAGACCCCATCCATACCTTCCAGAATGACAGCGAGGCAGCTTTCTGTGTTTCCTTAGAACGTATTTCATTGCTTGACATGGGGAACAAGTGGTGGGTGGGAACAGTGTAATAATGATAATAATAATCCTTGCATTTGATGTAGAGCATTATCATGTCTTCGTGATGTCTCAAAGCGCTTCACTGGATACACTATAAAGTGAATTGACTGTGTATTTTGTGGGCGAAAATTGTATCATTGTTTCCATCTAATTTTAGTGACAAATAAGAAGAAGATATTTTTTGCCGTTGCTTTCATTACAATGTTGGTCATCACTTTCTTTCCAAAGTTGAAAGACACCAACTGGTGAGTTGCGTGCAGCCAAAATGAAGGGTTTGGGGACTGTTTACAGAGAGCTTTACCTGCTTCTTATCTCATGTTCTTGCTGATTGAAAGCTCAATCTGGTCTCCGTCCCATCTTCCAGCCTCTGGCGTCTCTGGTCAGATGGTTGAAGATTCAGACGCCAAGTTGAGTCTGTTTGTTACAATAATAATCATCTGTTATACTCTTTGCACTTTATCGCAGGGTAGAAATTTGTATTTTGTAGGCAAATGTGGCAGCTGATTTCCACAGATCAACATTCCACGAGCAGCCTGAACTATAGGATCAGTGTTTTCTGGGAGAATGTTGGCCAGGACACCACGAGAGAGAAACTCCCTTCTCTTTTGAGATGATGTAACAGGTTTCAACAATACAAACAAAATCTGAACTCGCTGTCGTTGTCCAGTCACTAAATGACCAAACTGGCTGGAAAAGTCACAGGTCACAGATTAGCTGACCTCAGAGGGGGTACCAGCCGGTCAGGGCTTCAGGACCGACTGCATCGATCACGTGATCGAGTGGCTTGCCATGGAGGATGTTAATAAAACATAATAATAATCCTCACATTTGATACAGTGCCTTATCATTGGGACATTGGGGGGACATAATAATAATAATAATAATAATAATGATAATAATCCTTGCATTTGATATAGCACTTTTCACATCTTCTAGATGTCTCAAAGCGCTTCACAGAGTATGCTGTAAAGTGAATTGACTGTATATTTGTGGGCGAAACGCGGAAGCGAATTGCACACAGCAATGTCCCACAAATAGTCGTGGATTGAAAATGACCTGTTTATTATTGTTTTGTTTTTGAGGGATTATTATTAGGCTCTGTGTGGAGTAAGGAAACTTGCCCAAGGTTTCGCCCTCTGCCTGGAATTGAACCCAGTTGTCTCGCTTGCAAGGCGAGTGTTCTAACCAATGAATTACAGGACTCCACGGACATCTCAAAGTGTAGTGACTATATTTTGTAGACAAACGTGCCAGCTAATTTGTACACACCAATGACATCAGCCATCTGGAAAATCAGTATCTGGGGGATTGTTGACCAGACACTGGGAGAAAAAGAAAAACTTCCTACTCTATGGAATCTTTAATATCTCCCTGAGTAGACACAGACACAGATGGGACCTTGATTTAACATCTCATCCGAAGGACAGCACTTCTGACAGTGCTGCACTGTGGAGAGACCTAGACTGTGAGCTCAACATGATTAGGCAGTCATCAGGGATATGATTCAGATTCAAACCAAGAGTTCAGGTGTGTGGAAATTAATCCAGGTGTATTTCCATACACATCTGAATTCTTGGTACTTTGGTTTGGATGCTCTAAAGAATGGGTTTTGCGGGGTCAGACACCTGGTTGAGGTATGATCTCTCTCTTTCTAGGCATACAGAAGAAATGAAGGTATGCCACAAAGTAGATTGGGGCAAAAGCATCAGCTTGGAGTTTACAAAGTAAGTAGCTCTTCGTTTCTCGTTTAAAACCCACCCTCAGGATTTAATTGTTACCGAACGTCTCTGATTTGACCTTTGATTCTTGCCTTTTGTTCTGCAGTTCCTCAAGAAATTCTGAGTTATTCCTGAAGTCAGGGAATACCCATCTCAAGAAGCAAAACCTTTCAATCCTTCAACTGCCGTATGGCATTAAAGGGAATGGTGAGTCCTGATCCTTGCCTGGTTCCTGTCTGATTGTGTGAAGCCTTGTCTGTGCCTCATTTCTGGAATTCTCTCCCTCAACCCTCCCACTTGCCACCTCCTCCATTTTTAGATCATGCCTTAAGACCTTCCTCTTCGACTGTGCTTACAGTCACCTCCTCCCTCCCTTCCCCGACTCATCATTAGCAGTGTGAACAGTGTGGTCCTGGGAGGGTGTCCTTCCTTCCCTTTAGACTATCTAGGGTTGGTTTGGATTCCAGTAGCAGCAGCGCTGTGAGGAAACAAAAACTGTCTAATGCAGTGATTAATGTGCGGGGAGGACAGGGGACTATTATAATTTGCTTCCAAGTTATTATCTTTAAATATACAAATATTGGACTGAATATGAACCTAGCAGCCAGCTTTGTACACAGCGACATCTCACACCCAGCCACGGAGTGAGTGATTGATTGTGTTTGAGGGATTGTCGGCCAGGACACCGGGAGAAACTCGATGATCCTCTGTTTGCTGTTGTCAACATTGTCCTCTTGTTCCAGAGGTGTTAATCAACAAGATATTGGACCTAATCCCTGCCGACATGCCGAAGAGCATCCACAGGTAAACTCTCACACCCCATATCTCCTGGTCGCACCTCAAGACTCTGCTATTGGTCTCAGTGCCTTGGAACAACCTCCTGATGTGAAAGGCGCTACACATATATAATCTGTTATTGTTATCGGCCAGATGTTATTTAGGAGGAAATTGTAAATTTCTGTGAATCCAAATCTCAGATGTGAGCTGAAACTTTGAATGACATTTGCTGTTCAGTCCAGGTGAAGACACAGAATGAATTCACCACAAAAAATCTGAAACTAAGACCTTGTGTTCAGAATTATGAGTCCAGGTTAGTGGCTCGGGGCAGCTCAAGTTGGCAATTGTTGGCCACCTGGACTAGATGGGCTTGGACTAAGTTGGTTGAACATTCTTCTTTAGCGGCTTGAATGACAAGAGCATCACGTGGTGCATTAGATAGAAAAAATTCTTGCGTCTGTAACATTGGAAATCTCTCAAAGTGCTTCACAATAACGAATGCCAAGTGTAGTGACTGTGTAGGCAAAGGAGCTGTCCTGATCAGAAATGTCCCAGGATTGTACCCTGGACTGAGATCGGGTGGAATTGAGTGTTAAACTATCTCCGGTGACCTTAGGGTTGAGAAAGGATAATTGTCACTCATTTGTCCAGCTACCAATGAGTGACCACAGATAAAGTCTGATCATGAGAAACGTCCACTTCAGTTTGTACATTGTTAGCGTTTTGAAGATTGGTTGAGGCCATTAAACAAAACCTAGGACGAGGGTAGGCTGGTTGTCAGGAAGGATGGTCAGAAGGTGCTTCTCCATTGATCTCTCGTTATCTTGTGATTCTTCGCACTCCAGTCGGTGTGTGATGTGCAGTCACGACATAGAGGGTTTTACTGTCTGACCGAAGTCATCTCTGTTTTGCCAGGCTGCCGTGTAAGACGTGTGTTGTCATTGGCAATGGGTACATTCTGAAAAACAGCTCCCTCGGAGCGAAGATCAACACATATGATGTTGTCATCCGGTAAGAATTCTTCCCATCGTTTCCGTCTGTCCCACAAAGTCTCTGTCAGCGTCCTTCACACTGCCCCTCACAATGCCCCTCACATTGTCCTCACACTGCCCCTCACACTGCCACTCACACTGCTCCTCACTGCTGCCCTCTCACTGTCCCTCACACTGCCTCTCACACTGGCCCTGACATTGCCACTTGCAAAGTTCCTCACACGGTGTCTCTATCATCTCAGAATAAATAACGGGCCAATTAGAGGCTTTGAAAAGGACGTCGGCAACAAAACCACTTTGCGTTTGTTTTACCCCGAGTCAGCGATTGCCAACCCCAGCCGTGAGGACAACCTCGACACCCTGCACGTCTTCGTGCCCTTTAAGGTGGGGGACATTCAGTGGCTGAAGACAATTCTGTATCATGAACCAGCGGTGAGTATTGCCTGACACTGACTGAGGCCCCTAAACACCGGCACAGACTGGTTGGGCCGAATGGCCTATTTCTGTCCCGTAACATTCCCTGTAACTGTATGAAACGATGCTTCAACCTAACATTTCCTCATGGAGACAGAGCTGTGCGGGATTGGGCAATTGTGATGTTGACAGCACTGGTTGGGAATGCGGCAACAAGAGGAATAATCAGGGGAATCCAAGGAAAGTGGGAAATCTAAAGGGAATGCTGGGATGATTTATGAAGTTGAATGATCTGGGAACATTTCACAAGTGAACACTGTCACGTGTGGTAACTGTATCTGTTGCTAAGCAGTTATTTTTTACATTAAAGCTTAATAAACAGCCGCTGAGGTTAATGTGCAACTAATCTACAGGATTGTTCGGCAGGAGAGACTTGGAGAAACTCCCTTCTGGGGTCACATTGCCTCAGGGATTTGCTGCCACCTCACTGTCTCTACCGTCACACCCTCTCCCCGTCCTTCGGGAATCATCCCCCTGGCATCATCCTCAAAGCTTCCGCCTCAATATTACCCCAAGTAACATAGTCCTGGTTCTGCTCGGAATGGCACAGGCTAGTGAGGGCAGTGATTGGCCAGGGCTGGGCTGTGGATTGGAATAGTCGACATGTGAGATTTTACTAGTAAAGATCAACACACAGTAGTGCCATGGGATCTTTGACGTCCTCCAATGATGTAGTGCTCATCCCCACCGCCCCCCACCTCCAGTGCTGGTCTGTGAGCTCAATCCCACAACTGTCCAACCTGAAGAGGAGAGTGTGAGCGAGGGAGCCTGGCTGAACCTCCAAGTTATAATAATAATCCTTGCATTTGACATACAACAACAACTTGCACTTATATAGCGCCCTCCATGCCAGCTAGTGTCTCAGAGCGAGAGATGTAGCGCCTTATTATGTTGTTGAGACATTTCAAAGCGCTTCACAGAATATATTGTAAAGTGAATTGACTGTATAATTTGTGGTTGAAACACAGAAAACAATGGCACACAGCAGTGGAAATATTATACAGTACTATATAAATATAGTAATAATAAGAGAATGGGATAAATATTAACCTTATTGATGGCTGTGAAGTTGAAGGAGAAAAAAATTCAGTTTTTTAAAAGCAGTGAAATTGCGCTTGATTGCAGATTTTTGAAAAAAAAAGCTTAAAAAAGGTCAGAGTTTGAGTAAATAGTCCTGGTTTAGTGTTGTCTTGTGTATGTAGTTGGTTTGCAGGTGCACCTATTGTCAAGAAGGCAGAATACACACTCCACCCACATGCATGTATTCACTGCTTTTTCGCCTCTCTACCTGAATTCTGTCATTGAGCCATCAATATAAAAGGTGCATTAGTCAAACAAAACCTAATCAGACGCCCGGTGCCTCAATGAGGTTGCTGCCTCGCCCACTGGCTGCTATTTGCCCAAGTGTAAGCTGAATAAACACCTCATCAGGCAGAGAGATGGAGCTCATAGAGAGAGAGAGACTCTGGTTAGCAGTGAGGGACAGGTGGTGCCAGGGACAAAGAGAGGGAAAAGCTGCTTTCAGAGAGAGAGAAAATCCTTAATTATCTCTTTAATTCATAAGAGGTTAGGACTGTGAGTAGGTACCAAGCTGCCATGCTCTCAAACACCAAACGCCTTCAGTGAAGTGGATTGGCTGCCGCGTTTTGCCCACAAAATAGTGTAGATTTGGCTGATAATAATAATAATCCTTGCTTTATTTATTTATTTATTTATTTATTGCACTTTATCATGTCCTTGAGGCATCTCAAAGGCTTCACAGAATATACTGTAAAGTTAATTGACTGTATTTTGTATATTATATGTAAATTCTTGACTGTTCACTATCAAAAACATTTTGTTCCAGTTTCTGCAGGGATTCTGGAAGCTTCCGCCCTCAGCCTTCAGGACAAATTCCTCCAATTTTCGCTTACTGAACCCCTACTACATGCACCAAGCCGCAAAAGATTTTCTGAAGCTCAGCCCTTTGCAGGTAGGGCCTTGTCCTCACACACGTTTCTGTGAGGTTACTACAACAACTTGCATTTACACAGTGCCCTTCACATGGGGGAAGCTTCCTCGAGTGCTGGATAACCCAGAGGTTACTGTTCCCTGATAAATATTTGTCTCATTCTTTCTTCCTCAAGTGCTGATGCACGGTTCTCCACTCCACCTCCAACCCCCACCACACATGTCACTCCCCCTTCCTGCTCGCTCCCCCGCTCGCTCCGTCCCCGCATGTTACTCCCTCATCCTCCCCCTCTCCCCCAACTCCACATTGTCACTCCACCCCCTGCTTCCCCCCCCACCTGTCACTCCCCTGCTCCCCACTCTCCCCCCAGCTAGCCGCTCCCCCACCAGCTAGCTACTCCCCCCACCAGCAAGCTGCTCGCTGTTGATTCCACTTCCACGTGACCTGATGACCAGGAAGTCGGCCATTTTGTCGTGCTGCACATTAGCCGACACGCAGAACAGTGTTCCTTTAACATCGATTAATAGATGGTTTTGTTGTTATAATCTACCTGTCCGAAAATGATTTCTTTATCTCGCCCATGTTTCATTGCTCTGTCATTCACATTCTTTCTCTTTGTTTCAGCCACCTTCTCTCTCTCTTTCTCTCAGTCTGTCCATCGCTTCTATTACCCTTCAATCCCCCTCTCTCCCCTTGTCACAGAGAGGACATCAGCCGACCACTGGGTTCCTGGCTATCATCATGGCCCTGAATTACTGTGATCAGGTGCACATCGCTGGCTTTGGCTACCCATTCAATGACCTCAATGGCCTGATTCACTACTATGATCAGAGGAATATGAAAACAATGTCTGTGAGTGAGAGTGTTTGGGTCTTGTTCTCGAGTTAGTAAAAATGTGGATTTGGGTTAGAAACTCCAGTATCTCTTCTCGGTGAATGAATCCAACATGAATCAAACTCAGTGTCTCACGTCCGTTCATCAGCTCGTGTCCGTGACCATCGTTTCTGCTGTTTCTCTTCACTGTTTTTGCTTTTTAGTAATTGTGTTTTGTTATTTCCAGGGCCCGGAGCACAATGTTGGACACGAGGATGTGTGCCTGAGGAGGCTGGCACACCTTGGAGCCATCAAATACCTGACAGATTTATGACAATTCTCTGATTTTTCACGTCAGTTTTTTTTATAACAATATTGGAGTCAAATTTTGTAGCATTTCTCAATCGGACCAAAAAATCCTGAGTCTGGGGAGGGGGGACCTCCACCCCCCCCCCCCCAGCAAAGCAGGATTCAACAGGGAATTCCTCCGGCTTCAACCATGCATGGGACCTCCGACTCAGTCTGGGTTTCCCATGGGGCTTGGTGTGTCCTCTGATCCTGGATGGGGGTCATGGTCTCTCAGGCACTCGTTTCCAATGGTAATGGATCTGAGGGATGCTATTGGGTGTACGTTCCTCTCGGGTAATATGTCTGATATTTCTTGGGTTAATTAGCATAACATATGGGTTAAACACCCACAGATTATATCCTATTGTAATAATTCCCATTATGATGAGCTCCATCATTTCCTTGGTTCCCTTGTCTGGACTCTATGCTCTGCTCAGGGTATTGAGGGATATAGAGAAAAGGTGGATCAATGCACTTAGGTACAGATCAGCCATGATCTAATTGAAGGTGGAACAGGCTCAAGGGTCTGAATGGCCTCCTGTTCCTATGTTCCTTGCAGCTGATCCTCCTGATCGGCTAAGTATTTGCTGATGAAAATCACCCGGAAATCGGCTTTTTACAGAGAGATTCTTGGCATAGGCCACTGGTTCAGGGTTGTAACTCAGGAAAATAACAAAAATCTGTACATTTGTCATGTTCTGAGGAGAGTGAAAAGCACTTCACAAGGTTTACTGTAAAATATCTGTATTGTGTTCACAGACAAACATGGCAACTAATTTGCATACAGAAAGATTGTGGTATGTAAATGGTGTACATTGTCTATTATGTTCATTGTCTACTATATTCACCTACATATCTTACAATAAATACATTTACAGTAAACCCTGTTATGTGCTTTGAAAAGTCCTCCCTTTAGTAAAGGCATCAAATACAAAGGATTGATTATATTATGTCTAATAAACTATTCAGGTCTGTGAGTCCAGTGTTTATCTCATGGATTCTTGGCCAGGACACCCGGATGGAAATTCCCATCTCTTTTCAAGTTTTACTGTGGGATCTTCAAAGTTCTCTTGAATAGGAAACAGATAGATGCTTGGTTTAACATCTCATCTGAAGGCTGGTGGCTGCTCCCAGCTGGAGCGTCAGCCTGGACTGTGTCAGTTCAGAGTCCTGGTGCAGGGCTTGAACCCACAACCTTCTGACTCGGAGGAGAGAGTGTGACCAACTGAGCCAGATTGACACCTAAAGACTGCCCAGTGATATTGGGAGTGTTTCACTCAATGGGTAACTGTTCTTTATTCAGAGCAATGCCCACTTGCTGTCTCAAATGGCTCCATTGATAGTGTCTGTGATGAGGGTGGGGCAGCCAGGTTCTTTGTCTCATGGGAAAGTTTACTGGTTGGTGGGGAGTTTGTTTCCTTGTTTACATTGCATCAAAGCTCTCTTTTTAGCTTGGGTTGATTTGTGACTTGAATATGTGTCTAATTTATTGACTATTATTTTCTACTCTACACACTGAAGCATTGGGATCTAATAAACTTTGTGATTATGAATTGAATGTAAACACTGAAGTACCAATTAAAAAGAATTTTACAAATAGCAATTTACTGTGTGCAAAACGCATTGCCTATAACCGTGAGAAACAGACAATGTGGTTCTGTATCGGGAATAACACCAGACGTGAAGTGACTGACTAACTGGCTGATTGTTAGCCACCAACTCACAGGATAGATAGTGCTGTGAGGTCCTGAACATCAACCTGAACAGCATGTCTGCCCTTCAATGTAACCTCTCATCTGAGGAACAGGGTTGCTACAATAATAATAATCCTTGCATTTGATATCACGCCTCATGATGTGGATTGACTGTATATTTGGTGGGTGGAATGTGGCAGTCAGTTTGCACACAGCAATGTTCCACAACAATTTGTATACAAATATACATACTACATATACAAATATATATTCAAGGCGCTGGACAGTACAGCATTTCAGACCCGAGCTGGGGTCAGGGAGGGAGAAAGGGAGGGGAGGGGAAAGGGGGTGACCGATGGCATGGTCGAAGAGAAGGGCTTTGAGGCGGGACTTGAAGGAGGCTAAGGAGGGGGCGAGGCGGAGTGATTGAGGGATGGAATTCCAGGGGTTGGGGGCAGAAACAGAAAAAAACAGCTGTAGAGCATAAAGGTCTTGATTACCACACATTGGCATTTGGCAAGACTGCTCTTGTTAACCATGCTGACGTGTTTCCCTGAGAGCACCTTGTTTGATTAATGTTAAAGTGAGACCTACAATTTAAAGAATTTTAACACAAGACAAGAAACTCAAGTAACAAACCGAGAAGTACTTTGAAACGTCTCAATGACATGATAAGGCATTATATCAAATGCAAGGATTATTATGCATTAGAATCCAGCACAGAAACAGGCCATTCAGCCAACTGGTCTATGCCGGTGTTTATGCTCCACATAGCCTCCTCCTGCCCTTCATCAACTAAGCCTTCAAGCATAACCGTCTATTCCTTTCTCCCTTATGTACCTCTCTAGCTTCCCCTTAAATACATCTACAACAACAACATCTATGCTATTTACCTCAACAACTCCTTGTGGTCGCATGCTTGGGACGTCCTCCCGACGTGAAAAGCGCTATATCAAATCAAGGATTATTATTATTATTATGTTTCACATTCCCACTACTCTCTGTGTAAAGAAATTTCTTCTAACTTCCCTATATTTGATCTATTGGTGACTATTTTATATTGATGGCCTCTGGTTTTGGTCTTCCCCACAAGTGGAAACATCTTCCCTATATTAATCCTGTCCAAACCTTTCATCATTTTAAAGACCTCTATCAGGTCACCCCTTACCCTCTTCTTTTCAAGAGAAAAGAGTCCAAGTATGTTCAGCCTTTCCTGATAGATAACCTCTCAGTTCTGGGATCATCCTTGTGAATCTCCTTTGCATCCTCTCCAGTGCCTCTACATCCCTTCTATAATGTGGGGACCAGAACGGCACAATATTCTAAGTGTGGTCTAACCAAGGTTCTAAAGCAGTTTACCATAATTTCGCTTTTCATTCTGTCCCTCTAGAAATGAACCCCAATGCCTGGTTTGCTTTTTTATAGCCTTATTAACCTACGTTGCTACTTTTAGTGAATTGTGTATGTGTACCCCAAGGTCCCTTTGCTCCTCTACCCCATTTAGGTTTTTATTTTACAGGATGTATGTGACTTCCTTATTCCTTCTACCAAAATGTACCACATCACACTTTTCTACGTTGAAATGTATTTGCCATTTAAATGCCCACTCAGCAAGTTTATTAATGTCTTGCTGTACTTTGTTGCTGTCCTCCTCTTTGGTGTTGTCTGCAAATTTTGAAATTGTACTGTTGATTCCTAAATCCAAATCATTAAAGTATATTGTAAACAACAATACTGATCCTTGTGGAACATCACTGCCCACCCCCTGTTAGTCTGAGTAGCTACCATTTAATCCTTGCATTTTTTGATATAGCGCTTTTCACGTCGGGTGGACGTCCCAAAGCGCTTTACAGAACACACTGTAAAGTGAATTGACTGTATATTTGTGGGCGAACGCGGCAGCCAATTGCGCACAGCAATGTCCCACAAACAGTCGTAGATTGGAAATGACCAATTTATTATTGGTTTTGGTTTTGGAGGGATTATTATTATGCGTGTGGAGTAAGGAAACTTGCCCAAGGTTTTGCTCTGCCTGGAATTGAACTCAGGTCTCTCACTTGCAAAGCGAGTGCTCTAACCACTGAGCTACAGGACTCCACATTTACCCCTACTCTCTGTTTTCTGTTTTGCAGCCAGCTTGCTATCTATTCTACTATTTTGTCCCTGACATCACATGCTCTGACCTTATTCATTAGTCTATTATATGGTACCTCATTATTTATCTGCTCCCTCATCTGTCCCACACTCCCCAATTCCAGGTCTCCTCAACTCTAACCCCCAGCCCCTCACCCCTACCCCACCAGGCTATTCCCACTAAAATAATCCCACAAAGAATCACAATAATTCTCAGGTGCATTGTAAACTGCAACTAGAAATACAATAAAATCTGATAAAATCTCATTGAAAAAATATTTTATCTTAAATATATCATTGTCTTTTCTGATTATTACACAGAAAAACTACTTGAGAAGTAAAATTGCACGTCGATCCCTGAGATTAGCGTCTGGGAGGTTGACCCTGAGCGCAAACGTGTGTGATGAGGGGAAAAAGTGAAACAAAAATACATAAGCTCAGTGGGCTCTGGCCTGCTCCATGTCCCACGCCCAGCCCACCCCACCATCGAGGGTTGGGCCTTCAGCCTCTCTGCCCCCAACCTCTGGAACTCCATCCCACAGTCCCTTCGCCTCGCTCCCTCCCTTGCCTCCTTCAAGGCCCATCTCAAAACCCTCCTCAAGGTCAAGGTTGTAGACATTTCCCTGAAAGAAGTGAAATAACAGAGTATTAGAGCAGCGCCCATCGCTCCCCCCACGCCAGGAATCAGCCGTTTTATCACCAACAAAACAAAACAAATCCATGTCAGCAGAGAGACTGGGTGTAAATGAAGCAGTTATTATTGTGCCGAGTATTTAAAGGTTTAATCCCTCACAAAAGGAACTTTCAAATCCACAATGACACTGGAAATCAGTCGCCTGGAACATTGATCAGTTACCGTGGTGACCAGATTGACAGAAAGACTAAAAGAGAACAGTAAGGACCCTTCAAGACCCTCCTCTTCGACTGCGCCTTTGGTCACCCTCACACCCCTACCCTTTTCGCCCTCCACCACTCCTGATCCCAACCACCAGCTCGGGTGTGGATCCCTGACTGTCCAAGGCCTTGGGATGTCCTCCTGATGTGAAAGGCGCTATACACATGTAATTTGTTGTCACAGTAAACCCCCTTGTAACTCTTTGAGATAGTATCGAGAGTGTTGAGCACAAAGCAAGTTGACGGTAATGATACGGAGCTTATCCAATGCCAGCAGCTCCAGGCAGCTCAAAAGAAACTGGTTTCTTCACAATTCTGCTTTTCAAGTCAAAT